CTTCACCCCAACATAACTCGTGACGTAATGTCAATAATGACATGTCAGTTTTATCATAACTGACCATTTCTATAGAGACATTAGTTAAATAGCGGTAATCGTAAATCATATCCACGTTGTTGATTGAAACCTAATATTATACGGTTGTCAACGAAAGCCGTTGAAGTTTTTTTTCACAACTACAAAAGGATTTCGTTAAGTGTTGATGTATTAAAGATTGTCCAAAATCTTTTGAATTGAACAGCGTTAACCTTTAGGATATTTATAAAAATCTGTTCTTAACGAAATTTAAAACCAACGGAAAGTTAAATGTCTGATGATGTACAACTAAAACAACTTTGCGGCAACGTTATACTGTCGTGCGGGATGAAGTATGTTAACTTATCTACGCAACGATTTACCTTATTCTAGAACGTATGTAGAATTATATTCAAGTATATGATGCCTATATATATTCTCAGTTTCTATGTTTGATGGGTTTTACTTTTATTTTCTTTCAGTTTTTATAAACCTTATACTTAGAATCGATATCTAAATTAACCAGTGCAATCCACGATTTTCAGATATAAATGTCTTTCGAAGAACTTGGTGTATGTCCCGAAATTATAGAATTGCTAAGAGATAAAGGAATTAGTACGCCTACTGAAGTTCAGAAAGGCTGCATTCCAACAATTTTGGAAGGTTTTGTCTGTAAAATCTTAATTTAGTTTTAGGAAATGATGTAGTAGCATGTGCCAAAACTGGTTCCGGAAAAACAGCAGCATTTCTGGTCCCCATACTTCAGTCACTAATGACGGAACTCAAACCATTGTATGCTTTAATAATTACTCCAACAAGGTATTGGTTATCTTATTTTGTTTCTAATATTTTACTGACATGAACGTATTGCGGAATTAGCTAGCTGCTCTTTTTTTCTCGAATAAGAACATTATTTCAAAAGAATTTTGACTGATCAAAAGGTCTTTCTATTTTAGACTCCTCATATAGTTTGAAAAATTCTAGTTTGCTAAATTATTAATACTTTTTCAGCTAAAATAAAATGCTCTATAACGGTTTCTGTCAAATAGAATCGATTGGTTGTTAGCTTTGATACGTGGCCGGAAAATCTATGATAAAATTGTGACTGCGTTCATCTACGGGATATTAAGATGAGTGATTTCAAGATTCATCCAACTGATGCCACCAAGAGATACATTTTTAATTGACGTGAACAGTAGTTTCCCTCATATTGTTTATTGAATGACCCAGGGATCGTTGTGTCTTCATTCGAGCACATAAACATCTTTGAAGACTTACTTTACAAGGATAATAATTGTCTTTATTTCCGTGAGATCTTAGTTTCCAATTAGCAGGACCTTATCATTTGTGAGTGTAATTATTATTACAATAACAGACTCCTGAAAAGACAGTTCTTAGGTGAAAAATAGCATACATAAATCGCATGAAAACAAAATAAATAAAATATCGACCATAAGTTGCTGTTTAGAAATATCCGTTCAGCCAAAATTATTATTGCCTTATATTTAGAAAGCTTTAACATGTGCCTGTAAAAAACGCAGGGAATATCTCTAACATTATCTTGGGAATTGAATTTTTAATACTTCTCAGCTATTCTTGAATTAGCCTTAAGTTATACTTTTTGTAAAAGCTAACAATACTACCCAGGTGCCTAAATAAAAGCAATTAATGTGAATTTCGGACCTGAAATCCAGTGGTTAAAAGTCAAGTGCCATCTGCACTGAATTTGGGACATATAGTACTCATTCTAACAGTTCAGATGGACATATACAAGACGTGTCTAATAAAACTATCACGAACCCATCCATAAAATCGTGATATATGGTCAAGCGCACATTGACAGACCTAGATTCTGTAACTATCAATTTTATAAAGATAACAGCAAACATAATCTAAAAAGTGCAGTAATACATGGATATATTCATTTTATGTAGTGTTTTTAGGGTTTTGGTGACATCTACAGGTTATAGTACAGCTGTAAAATAGGGTCCTTTGTTGGGAGTACAGAGTTTCACTCTTCAGTTTGACACGAGAATGTTTATGACAATATTAATTCGACCACTTAAATAAAATGGAGAAACTATATTTTTCTTTATCTCGCTAACTATTCCTAGATCTGATGGACTAGTATAACATATCCACGTCTTCTTTGTTTTAGGGAGTTGGCACATCAAATTGGGGAACAAGCCGCTGGGTTGAATTTAATCCAAGGTGAACCACTATGTAACGTGTTAGTGATAACTGGTGGGAAAAGCATAGTTCATCAAAGTACTGACTTAGCTCGATCTCCGCACATTATCGTTTCTACTCCTGGGAGACTGGCTGATCTTCTGCGTACCCAAATAGCTGCACAAGAAGCTGATACTGAGTATAAGCCAGAATGGACTTTATCTAGAACAAAAGTTGTAGTTCTGGACGAAGCAGATAGACTGCTAGAAGATAACTTTGGAGAAGATCTAAACACTATATTAAAAGCACTTCCAAAACGGCGCCAAACGTTACTTTTTAGTGCTACATTCAGTGATGCAGTCAGATCTTCTTTAGAGGCTGCAAAATCAGTCGCCTCCGCTGAAAATAGACGCCTCCCTACTTTATGGCAGCCTGAATCCATGACTACATGTCCATCTGCAGGGGCCGTAACTGTTGAGACCTTAAGTCAGTATTACATTCTGATGCGCCCTGAACACAAAGAAGCATTTTTGGTTCATACTGTCGATCAATTCCTTTCTGAAAATCCACACTCACTTATCATGATTTTTACAAATAAATGTAAATGGTGCCATCTCGTCGGATTAATGATGACCAGCCTAGGTATTAAAACAACCTTACTTCACTCCGCTATGACTCAAAAAAACCGTATATCTTCATTGACTCTTTTTCGTTCTAGTCAGATTCGTGTTCTTATTGCAACAGACCTAGCAAGTCGTGGACTTGATTTTCCGACAGTTGATATTGTAATCAATCATAATGTTCCTATTCGACCTAAAGATTACGTTCATCGCGTAGGTCGGACTGCTCGAGCTGGAAAAGCTGGTTTGGCATTGACATTGTGTGACCTTTTTGAAGTAAAACGTCTAAAAGCTATTCAAACATTTATCAGTAAGTTATACTTTGAATTGATTTTCGAAAAATTATTCTTTTCAAAAAATATTATATATATATATATATACAACATATGGCTTGATCTTTCAGTGCTATCTAATGGTTCTGGCACGATTCTGATTGAAAAAGCTTCCCTAACTTGTCATGTAGTAATACTTATGTTAGCAGTCGACGTTCTAAAAAAAACAAATTAACAATGTGCAAACGTCTTCAACCGTAAATCTCAAGTTTGACTACTTAAGGTGCAAATAGTAGGCATATACTAACCACTATAGTCTAGAAAGGTGCATTTAGTGCAATGAAAACTCATAAAGATTTGTTTTCGTTAAATTCTGATATACACGTACGAGATGGCAAAGGTCGATAACTGGTTTTCCATTTTTTATTATCTGAAAACTAATAGATCATTATGTTGATTTGGGTGTGATGAATGCATTTTACCATAAATTGTATGGGTGTTTCGGGCAGAGAAATTCCATTTCTAGTTCTGATTAATTGTACTCTAGCTTAATTCACATTTATATAAATAGTGCATACATAATGACCACTGTAGCGATAATTCATTGAATAGTCCCAATATTATGCACTAAATTACTGAAAATACTCAATCCAATGAATATAAGCTGGTAATATTTATCACATTTTATTATTAACCGGGTTTTTATCAAATAACTACCAAGTCAATAAATCTAAATGTATAAAAGAAAAAAAATCCACTGTAATCACTGCAAAGTATGATTATACTTCCATAAATTTGTCCAGTTAACAGTGAAAGTTCTCATATTTACTCATTTTAATGCTGTGTTGTTGCAGAGGTTCTATACTGAATATCTTGTATTTTAATATAGATAAAGAATTGAAGACATTTGATGTGAACGAGAAAAAAGTAGCTCAAATAATTGCCGAAGTATCCATTGCTCGTCGTGATGCAGAACGCGTAATTATTATCATTAATATTTATATTAAAATATATTTTTCAGAAACTAGATGAAATTAGATTCGATGAAAAGCGTGAGATCAATAAGGCGAAAAATGTAAGCTATTACTCCTTGTTTGTAATCTTTTTTCTTTCTAGCTAATGAAAACCAGAGGGTCGAAAATTTTGCATGAAACTGAGGATCTAACTCCCAAAACTGTGTAAATAAATTCTTTCTTTTTTCAATGATTTATGCCTTTTGACTGTAGTTTTGAATTGTTATTAAGAGTGGCACAATTGTTTCACCTTCTATGGTTTAGATGAATAAACTGAGATCGCCAGCGACATTAACTAGTGTAATTGTCGTAGGGCTTTTTGAGTGGAGTACGAGGCATCGAACATTAGTGTCATCTGCTCGCTGAACTAGAATGACAGAGTTTAAATGAGTTCAGTATAAATGCTTAACTATTTAGTTGCCTATTACAACTGCATCCTAACGTATAGATGTTAGAGGTTTTAGTACAAGTAATTTTTATCTGTATTCATAGTCAATCGTATCGTCATTAAGTGTAAACAGATAACTGAGCGTATTCCGATTCTTTAAAATTCTTAATCTACACTGCATATAGCGCATTTTCTACTTTTAAACTCCGTAATCACATTTTATGATAAAATGCAGGATTCTTACTTTGTACGTTCTATAAATCCGCGTGTTCAGATGACCGCTGCTCTGAATGCAGATAGTTCGGAGGCACTGTAATTAAACGCTAAATGTTTTCAGTAAGATTTCTTTCTATTTGTTTCCAATGTATACCAAGAGATGATCATATGTAAAAGTCATGCAGCTATCTGGTTACGTCACTCACAAGTCTCGAGTAACAAAAGTGTAGATAGATTACAATTTAATCAATTTTAAAAATCCAAATACGGATTATCGCAGTGAAATGTTTAGTATTAAGAATCAGCGACGTTTAACGAAAAATTCATTGTGCTTGTATTACTCAGTCTGTTAAGGTTTATTTCAATAAAATGGTTATTGACGTGCTCTACATCATTCTTCTATATCTGTCCCATCATATCTGGTATACTGTGGGATATTAAACAATTATTTTCGAATAAAGATCACTAGACGCTAACTGCACACGTACAAGAAAATATACAGCATATTGCAAATGTGCTTTTATGTAACATGATCAGGACAACTAGTGTACATTAGTTTACAGTTTATTTCTGTTTATAAATAAAGTAGTACTATTAATTAACAAAGAAAAAGATATTTAAAAATGCATAAATTGTAGAGCAATTAAGAATATATATAATCTTTAAAGCATAGCATAATTCATTTTAAGCTCATGAAATAATTAAAAAGACATGTACACAATGACACCAGGAAACGATTAACCTGATTAAATAAAAAGAAAAGACCAACAAAAGTAATAACAGTACTGACTATTAAAATAGATATGCTTAAAAAAAGCATTTACGAATATATAGAAGAATCAATATGAAAGAAAACTACAGAGAATTCAAGTATACACTCCAAATAAACTATACAACAGTCGTATTCAGATGTGGAATAATAATTGCACAACATTCCCAGGACCAAAATACAACTCACTTCAAATAGTGTTTTTTTTCAGTCTATTGTACAGGGTATTTGAAATAATCATAGTTAGGTAGCTGCAATGAGTTTTGCTGCATACAGGTATTCGTCCCATTATTGGTTTGCAATAAATGGGGCTGAGGGTATACAAAATCACTGGCGGACAAATCATCCTGGGTGTGGTTACTTGCAACGGGTTGACGATAAATATCTGATGGTAAAGAGGAAGACTCCGAAGTAGATATGGAACTGGAAGGTAGTGTAGAAGGATCATACCACCCATGAAATGCAGAAGTAGGATGATCAGTGATCGGTTGCCGATATGTCCTGGAATCTGAGGTAATATCAATACTTGGCAAGTATGTGTCATGATTAACAAACGGTCGATTTATATTCAGATATGACATGGCATGTGCTGACATATTTTCCGACATATCACAACCACAATCACCTACTGGATCTGATGGCATAAAGCATATAGCTGATGGTCGCGTTAATCCACTTTCAGATGTTTGAACCAAGCAATCACCTGTGTTCAGGGTAGATGCTTGGAAAGCGCAGTTAACATCCAGAGAATTATTGTGTTTGTGATCTGTAAATAAAAATGCAAAAGTTTTTCGTCAAGTCCAAAGATGTGTAAGCAATAAATAAATAAGTAAATACTGTACGGTAAAAACGTGGAAAACTTTAATAACGCCTGAAAGGTGTCATTAAACTAAATAATAGATAATTGATATTCAGGTGAACATTTCTCTGAATATTGAATAATATGGGACAGCAGCAATAGTGTGTGCCATGAATTATCTACTTCAAATATGGAGATGATATCCAGTTACATATTTGAAGCGGCAAGAAAAAATAGCCAGATGACAACTTTTTATCCTGGTGTTTTACTCTACAATACCTTTTTGCGCAAGCATAGTTGTTGATAATGCATTAAACATTAGTAAGCCATAATTTTTTGCTGCACCTCGTGAGCTGTATTACTAAAGATAATAGTGGTCACCCCGGACGAACACCATGTGTAGTTGGTAATTCTGATGACAATTTATTATAAGCTCTGACTAACCATTAATTACGATAATCACGCGAACCCCAAGCAGACAGTTTAAACCTAATATATAACATAGCGCAGCCCAATGGTCAATGACTTCATGAACTGGTGCCACGTATCGGTTTAGTCGCTCCTAGCTTTTTTCCAAATCGTTCCTACACCAGACGTCGCCCATCGAGATAGACGTTGGTTGGGCATATGTCCCAACCACCTCAACTCATGAAGATTCACGACTTCAGTTGATTTGCCGTCCTTACCTAGTAACCTTTTCCTAACCCCCAGTTCAACCAATGGTCCCAAGATGCACGATCATACATGATCGAATAATAGTAACCTATTAATATTCTCAATGGCCGTATTTCAAACCCGCAAGGCGAAATGGAGAGAACTGCTGCACATTTCGCCTACGTCGTAAGTGACGCGAGAGCTAACCGAGCTTTCTGGGTCCGTGCCGAAATTTCGTCAGACACCAGGCTATAAAGGTTGATGAGACTCCTAAGATCAATGAAGGAGTCAATATATTCAACTACTTCACTCTACCATCAATTCAGACATTGACGCGGGCTAATCTCAAAGCGAAAATTTGTATTCGGAAGGAGAGTGTCACGTCCTAAACGTGTTTGATTTGTTGCTGAGGGTGGTTAGAAGATTGCATCTCGTTAGCGTCTTCACCAAACAGACAATGTTTACATAAAAAGCGAATAGAAAAAGCCATTTCTGGTTGATTTTACTTTGATAAATAGGGGGTTTTGAACTGATTATAAGAATCGACTCCAATGTTATAAGGGAACCAAGAGAATGAATAAAAAGACTCATAAGCTGCCATGAAAATTATTATCCTGTTTTATGGATTCAATTTTGAGTTAAAAGCTTAACATGAGCCACTAAAGAACGGTCTTGGTTTTGAGAATTTAATTAACAGAACAAACTCCAAGAGAAATAAGACGAAAACCTGGATTACTGTTAATGGTCTATGCTATTTTAATTAGATTGTAACTCAAGCTGACATAGAAATACATAACATAATAAGTAACATGAAACCTACCAAAATTGTTTAGCGCCTGGACATCGCTGGTCGAAAACTCTGTACCGATTCTTAGTGTGGTGTAATTGTTCGGCATAGATGATAAATAGTCACCAGACGCGGCATCTGTGTGGTGTTGAATATTAACATGCTCTTGATTTGATTGTGGTATTAAATGTGAATTAGAGCATGACAAACTATGTAACGAACTAGGTTCGTTCAAAGATGAATCAACTTGACGAGAAAATGGGTATAATTGTTGATCAAGATTGGAGGATAGATTCATCTCCGTTGTATTTGGTTGTATAGCGAATCCTGGGTCAAAATGATCTGTACTATCGTTCGTATGTCTCCAATAGGTAGGCAAGGGTGCTTCTTTTGCTTGATTAACTGAATGAATGTAATTTGAAGGTTCGGGGTTCGACTGGATTAACCGATTGCTTGGTGCTGTATTCATATGATCATGTACTGTTGAACAATTAGAGTGAGTTACATGAGGTGTCCTATCATAAAAATCTGCCTTAGTTTGACTGTAAGCGTTGTTTTCGGCACAGGTATTATTTGAATTTGAACCTGAAGTCTCACTTTCGAAAGGCCTAAAGTAGAATAAAGTTAATTGAGTTTATATTCGTAGTATCCCAGATATTAGATAAGAAATTGATTGAAATAATAGACAGAGGATTTTAAGCATGACATAAGATATTATCTAATAAGTCTTAAATATAACTAGTATATTTACTCATCACAATAAATGAATAAAAAGGTTAGAATAACAAAATCAATAGACTAACTTTATGGAAGTTGTCGTACAAACTACATATTCTACCTCCTCGTTGTAAGGATTCACAAACGCCGACAAACGACACTTAACGAACACCAATTCAGCGGATAATTTGGAACGCATATGTACCATGATTGTAAATGATTGGCCTTTGAGCTTCCAAGCTGATTTAAAAAAAAAGATTATACCATTGTGATCCACAATTTAAAATTAAGACAAAGAATAATAATATTCTTAATACGAATGTAACATGGTTTGGAGGTAACAGCGAATTACTCTAGATCTATTTTGAGTCAGAATAGGACAACTTTCTCGTCCAAAATACGTATTGAATGAAACAGATCATTTGGTCAAGATCTCAGGAGATTTTAAATGCATTTCATTGTATAATGAATAAAGTCAGCGATTATTGATTACATAATTATCTATAAGAACAATCGTTATTTAAACAAAAAAATCACAGAGAATTAATATAATTGAACATTATGCTGAAAAAATTGAAATGAACAGAAATCTACAAAGGATTAATTCATACAAATCAATGTTAAATTGAGCACAAATTGAACTAATTAAAAAGTCAAATCAATAATATATCAAGTGGATGAAAATTACATTAAAGTAGATAAACAGTCTCTATTCAATTTTAGTCCGACAAACTATATTTAAGAATTTAACATCTGTATTATGATATTTTCTAATAGTCTTCTACTCAGAATTTGGTAAAATAATTTTCCGGGAAAAAAAATGTTTAATTAGAAAGGTATTGGATAAAGCAAATTATAAGTCATATGGAACTTTGCTTCAAAAGCTGTAATATACTGGGGGTGAAGACTGTTTGCAAATCAAATTCACATCAAAAGAAAAATGCAAAGGAAACTGAATGCATACATGAATATGCACTTAAAATTTATTTTGAAGTAGGAGGAGTTAGCAAGCAACAAACTGTCATTTCTAATCACTTCAGACTATTTAGTTATATGAAAATATTCGACATCGTTTGTTTGTAAAATTAGTTCATAGATGATAATCATAGGATTTTTTTTCCTAACCAGGAAGAGAATACACCTTTAAATCCTAAGCCAAGTATTTAGAAGTAATGCATTGAAGCTATTCGTTCATATGAATAAACTTTATCAGTTTATGACTGTTCACTTATTTCATTTTTTTTCCTATCTTAGTATCGCTTGCATATTAATGTTTTTACCGACTTGTACACACTGTACCTCTTTATTTTTAAAATCATTTACCATTTGCTTTTGCTGACCTCGCTGTTATATACTTCTCACACTATAAACAATGTATATCAGAGTATTATATTGTCTTAATGATAAGGTTTTGGAAAGTTTAGAGTAATCAAAGTAACGTTTTATTTTACAAGCACTATAAAAAAAATACAATTACCTTTATCAAAAACTTCTTGAAAACTAATCTTGTCTCTAGAGGACGGAAGAAGATTTCCAAAAGCTTGTCCAAGAACTTCAGTTGTTTCTAAGCCAAGAACATTTTGAACTCTTTGATCGCAAAATGTAGTTAGTGTATCTGATGAATGCCGTGTAAGGAATTCATTGAAACGATGAGGATAAAGATCAACAACCTCTGGTTTATTAACTAATTGTAAACGACCTAAAGCTATTAAACATTGAGATATATGAACATTTGGACAATTATTTGTATCGGAACGACCAAGGTGATTATTATCAGAGATTGGAGGATTATATTCATTGTCTGCAGAGATAAGACGATCTGAAATAAGATGAAGTAATAATCCCAATGTTAAATACACATTTTCAAATTAAAAACAAGGCTATTATAACTTTATATCTACAGAAAAATCAGTATTTAATACCGACTATTCAACTAGTGCTAATTTGAACAGTGAAAAAATAAGTACAGGAGTCAAAAATATTTGTTAATTTAGAGGCATGAATCCGTTTGATTTTCTGTACAAAACAACAACAATGTACTCGGGGAAATGGAGACATTATTTACTGAGATGGAATGTGGAGATGTGTTCAAAAAGGATTGGTTTTATAGACGGAAAACTATTAACAGCTAGAAAAATATGGAGGGAGCATTAAATAGCTGTTTAATTCTGATCGCGATCCTGTAACACAATCAGTGAACACAATGTTGAAACGCCCGTAGAAACAAAAACAAATTGCTAGTCAAGTACTCCAGCATGGTTCCAGTGATTTTCTGGGATGAGTTTAATTACGGATGAAAATTATTTTGAAAAGAGATGTATTTTTTTTGTAGACGTTACTGTAACATGTAAACATACTGAACAATAACTAAATTGTTACACCCTAAACAACATTCACTATTGTATTCATAAATGTAACAATCTAATGTATCGGTCAATATATAAATCAACAGTTGAACTAATTTTCCGACGACTTTTATTTTGAGAAAGTGAGAAAAATCAACATAAAAGTGTAACTTTTAAATGAGTTTATGTTAATCGTTTGTCATTGAGCTCGTTTCGTTACAAACACAACTCTACAAACTCAACTTTAGTCTGTGCCAATTCCATAGTGAGTTAGCCACTTTTACAAGCAAACAATTAGCATTTAACTAATTCACGTTCGAGAGTTTCATGCTGATTATTTCGTTGGACGACAACTAACTGTTATTATAAATTATTTGTAAGATTTGAGTACATATTAACACTAGATTATGTAACAAGACCTTCAAATCGATCTCGTATACTGAACCGTACCAGCATGACATGAATTGTAAATTTAAGATCTGGCATTGACAGCAGCATAAGTTAACTACACCTGGAGCACTTCTGTAGTTACTATTGATCCCGAACCCGGGTGAAGGGGGAAAGTTGGGCATGGGGTTAGCGACTATATGATACAAGAAAGAATCATGTTATAAAGCATCGTGAAATAAAATCTCTTAATCGATCTTAGAATTTTTTACGCTTAAATAACAAGCAAGATTGTGTTGCCACAAATAATTAACCAAACATAAGTTTACACAGAAAGCCGGAATTATTAAACTATTAACTACCTTCTGCACTATTAGAATACGGCCATTATTAGTGACATCAAATATATGTTCAAAAAAAGAAAGATTTTCAAAAATGAATGATGCAAACATCAACGGGCAAAAGAAGTCTAATGTGTAAAAATTTTATTAGAGAATGCTTCAAGGTTAGAGAGACAAACAACATGGTTAGTTTAGATAAGATTTTAGAAATTCCCGAGCTTTATTCTATGTTCAATGATTATGAATAAAACGAAAATTGTTTTGATGTTTAAATGTTGTAAGTAATTAATCGCAAGGTTCATTCATTCTTGCAGTGAACCTGTAATGTTATCAAAAGATAGTAGTTAAATTGCAACTGAATATCATACAGATAATTTAAGCATCATGTTATTAACAAACAGTTTACAAGCGTTCAGTTATATATTTTAAAAGTGAATACAGTCGAATAAAATCATTTTCAAAACTGTTCATTAAGCCATTCACAAAGACTAAGTGAACAAAACATTAACGAACCTGGAACCATAACAAATTTCCCAAAAAAAATACGTTTAATAAAAAAAGTATTTTACGTTCATCTGTTGGAATAATTATTAAAAATTAATAAGTTTAGCGAAAACATGAAAATCCAAAAATGCATGTAAACATTTGAATAGAATAAACAAATTCGTTTTATTTTACGTATATCGAGCTCATGGTGAATAACTAACTTTACAGGTAGATTTTCAAGCATCCACATCAGTTCACTACAATTGATTTTCGATAATTATCCCTCACTTCATACTGCCTTAAAAGTGTTTATAACAACAAATACAATATAATTCCACTGGTAAAACTTTGAACACAGTAAAAATGTAAACGTTGTTAAAGTAAATGTTGCAGCTGCCTTTCATACTGATATTTTATGCTTTCAGTTTATTATAGGTACAGATTACGAGTTCATTAAGTTATCGCTGAGTAGTTAGTCACACATTGTGATCAGATTATTCGTTATATATATATATATATATATATATATATATATATATATATATATATAAGTATGATGCAATGGCTTTATTTGATTATATCATTCACATTAATGCTTATCATATTAAACTTGGTTTTCGTCTAGAAATTAAACGCATTAAATAATCCCATGAATTCATTACTATCCTAAAAGAGTAACAATAACACTCATTTGATGTTGAACACAAAAATAATGCGGAGATTCGCAGAGCTCTACTTAATAAACTATTTGGTGTACTTTTCAAGGTGGAGGAGACGTAACATTCATCATAAAAAAACAGATTGTAGTTATGTCATCCTATGTCTTTTTCACACTATTTATTATTGACAATTAAGTCCAAAAATCACTTATAGAAGTTTAATAAATGTTGCTTGAAGAACAGTGCTTTTTGGGTTAACCATGAAATGGTCGGTTAAAAGAAAATTTAAGAGTAATCTCATCCAAATAGACAAGAAACAAACTGTTGTTGTGGGAGGGAAATTTTCAAAAAGAAAAACAACATCTAATGATATCACAATTTCTTTTCGGATACATTAAAGTCGGCCACTGAATTCATAGAATCAGCAAGTGCAAAATCTACTGATTTGATTTCTGACTGGTTCTAGAGTTTCTTCTAACCATTTGGCAGTTGCACAGTACGTAGAATTACTTACATTCAAAACAGACCAAAAAGGACCACCTTCCTTATATACCATCGGGATCCCACACAATCATGCAACAGCACAATTCAGTTTAAGGTTTTTGCTGGTGACTTTTAGGATTCTTGTAAACTTTTGTTATTTGATCCGTTTTATCCTCTTTAGTTCTTTCTTGAAAATGTTGTTTGCACCTATTAGTATAAAAGATCATTTACAAATATAATCCCTATGAATCATGAGAGCCAGACCAGGCCTATAATCTGGATGAAGCAAGAATAGACTAATATTGCTTAGAAATTCATTTAGTTAAAATTTGTGTTCCTCTAACAGATTATACCTTGAGATAAATTTGAAATTGGTAGTTTATCAGTAAAAATAAAAATGGTTCATTTGAGTTATTTCAAATTCTTGTCAGACTGCATTTGAGTTCGATGCTCGCTTGATAAATCTTCCGTGCAGGATTTTTATGTGAAATTTATCAACTCCTACTGAAGTGTTGAAAAAATTTTGGGATCAAAGATAATGATTACTTTTGGAAAGTGAACAATATACTAGTAAAATAACAAAGAATACTTTAGTAGTATTTCGTAGATGTTCAACTCTTTGAATTTTACACTTTGAATGAGCCCCAAGGCATTTCTCTTCATAAGAGTACTGACTAATTCTTCAACCTTATATAAGCTGTATAGTACTTATCCAATTAATGCGATATTACGTTCAATTTTCATTTTGTATTTGCGATTCAGTGTATGATGGTGTAAAGAATGAAAATCTACACAGACGTGATTTCGACAGAAATCCTTCTAGCATAGACTAGGCTGCAATAAAAACATAGTTATTTTGATGTTAAAAAATAACAATCAATTTATACTGTTTCATATTACATGTGATTATTTAATACCTATCAGATATGGATGTTGACTGACAATTAGAAAGATGTTATTCAATCAGATGTCTTCAAAATATGCAAACTATTCTTCTATAAAACCGAAAACAATAGTTTTCATAGATATGAACGGGGCTTCGTTTAACAATGTTTCTTCTATTATTAACGGTTTGTTTATTAAATGATAGGATAGAAAGTGCATCATAGAATTTAGTGTAACTAAATTGAAATTCTAAATAAGGATTAGAATAATAAAATTAGGAAACTAACAATACTGTCCATCATAAACACAAATGGATTAGAACATGCGTTGAAATGCAAAAAAAAACCAAAACTAATTAAAATCGATGCAATTCAACATTTCAAAATGAGCAAACTACAAAAAATAGAAAAACTATCATTTCATGTCAGATCATTCATTCATTCCCAATACAATCGAAACAATGCGAAAAATTTGTTTACCAAACGGTTCAACTGAAAACAAAATACTCAATCCCACTTACCGATTGGACAAATTACTAGATATTTTTTTTGGTCAGTAGACTGATAATAAAGAATATATAAATATTCATTTACTTAATGTTCTATAATAAAATTAAAATATGAGAAAATGTCAGGTCTTCATTAGATTTGATTTTAAACAATCACCAGGTAGATATATTTAAATTTTAATAGTCTAGTATATTTACGGAGTCTCATCAGTGCTAATCGCCTGGTGTGTGATGAAATCTCAGCACAGATACAGAAGGCTCGATTGGCTTTTGCCAACTTGCATCACTAATGATGTAGGGGAGATATCCGTTTGCTAAATAAAGACAAACTTTATTAGAATTATGTAATATATTAAGACAGTACAATTTGATCAATCTGATCACATATACTTCTTGTTCAGACATCTATATATGTAAAATAAAAGCCAACTTGACAAATCGGAGGATATGAGTATAACAGAGATAATCAGACAAAATACATAACATTTAATTTTCACATATCAATGCCTTAACAAGTATGTGATTAGATTGGTCAAAATATATTGTGCTAATATTTCACATTATCTTTGTCATTTTATCGTATGATCTAAATTTATCAGCTGTTTTAAGTTCAGTTCATACAACCAATCTAAGATAAATTTATGGTACATTTCATTGAAGGTAATAATTTGTAGACCAAAAAAAAAATGTAAATTTAAGTGTTATATGCGATCGATTTTTCGAATTGCTGCGACCTTTGTCCGAGTAGTGATGACTAGTCGCTTAAACTACATTAATGACCTAATGTTCTTAAATAAACGGGTTTTAAAAGAGAAGAATAAGTGAATGATAAATTGCTTTAATAAGTGATGACACGCTTATACACAAAATCTAAGTCAATTAAAACATAAGTGATTACAGAATTGTCGGCAATGTACGATTTAATAGAAAATTAACTAATGATTTTAAATGTAATTTTCACTAAGTTAATTTTCCTACTAATTCCAACATAAGTAAGATATCTCAGTTAACCCAATAGTATGTCTAACAGTGCTTTTCTTGTACTGAAGATCTTGAACAATCAGAAATTATTCTCATGAATTGGCTAATAATCCTAGTTAACACAGGAATTTAAAGAAAACACAGAAAACTGGAATGGTCAACGCTAGTTGTATTCCAAAACCTGAGATAAATATTCAAATGTATTCATCAAAATATGCTGTAATACTATTTTTGATAACAAATGAGAAGCCTAACTAGTAAGTACTACTATTGAAAACTTATTTTTTTAAACAATCGTAATTAAATTAGAGCGTAGAGAGGCACTACATACTAGTCAGTCAAACCATTCAACATTTAACTGTTTCCTAAATTCCTCCTTCTTATTAATAATTACCCTAATCAAGCTGTCGTTTAGTTATACACAATGTGTTGGTGACTGACTTAATATCAACATGGACAGAAAAAACTTGTTTAACTATTCCCAACTGTCAGTCGAAAGTGATTATAGCCTATATTATGAATATAGTCACGGTCCATTTCGTATTTCATTTTGGCTTGATGCTTGGTTCAAATTTATTAAGACGATATATGTTATCTGATAACCCTAACCAATTACTAAAGACTACAATATAAAAACTAGTGTAGAAGAAGGGACCCTTATTTCCTTAAATAACCTTCAAACGCCCTGGTACGACCAAGAGTGGGGAGAATCTTCCCTCCCAAAATATTGTCATACGACTACATGTGCACGGCCACTGCCGGGCAAGTCCTACTTCATGTCTTCTTGGGGCATGGGTGCTGTTTAAATTGAGGACGAAAAGAGAATGTCCGGTGGGGCTTAAAGTGAGTTGATTCCAAACCAATAGTGTAGCTGGGCTCCAGTATCGTGATGGAACGAATGGCGTATGATCCTGTTGTTGATTACCGGCTACCATAGGACTGCATTTCCTAACGTTTCTCCATTGCGTTGTGGACTAGACCTCTTGGTTAAAGGCTCGGAAAGTGGCTTCTTTATAAAACCCCTTACTTCGGTTTGGGCATCCGGACAGTTTCCCAGCCCACTCACGAATTCAATAACTTGTATGGAGTATGTACATTTTAGGTGTTTAAATAGATGAATGGATTTCACAAATCCTAAGAGATATGTAATCGTTTGATTCTCTGTTTGTCCTTATCTACATCTCAATGGTAAAGAAAATATCTCATTTACGACTTGCGGTTGAAACATGTGTTACGAATGCCCAAACATTGATTGCCCCGTCGAGCTACGCTTTGAGATGTAGGAATAGGTTGGAAGAAAGCTAGTGGCGACCAAGCCAAAACATGCCACAAATCCATGAAGTCACTGACAAGTGGACTGAGTTATGTTGGTAGTTATTAACTACCTGGTTGTGGTCCACGAGATGATGGTAATCGATGGTTAGAGACCCTGAATGAGATGGCTCAAAAACATTTGTGATGGCGCAGGTGCATCCATTCTTTGCGTTCTATGAAATTCTAATCTTCTGAATTCTTCGTGACCGTTTTTTTCTTTTTTAATCGATTCGTCTGGGGTATACATCTCTAATGATATATTCCATCGTTAATCTTTGTGATTACTGCTAATACTTCTACTACCTCTACTATTATGGGATTTGAACTGACAGTTGCGTTGGTGCTAATGTAGTACGACACCTGATGTACATACATACGAAGTTCTACGTTGTAGCTGATTGATTAACATTTAGAACTTATTTGCAACCTGCTTTAATGCTAGCTACTAATGTACGTCGGGAATAAGTGGTGGTCAAGCATAAAGAACACATGCTCTAAACATTTCAGCCGACGAACGTTTACTGAGGTTGACAAATGACTAGCCCATTTTACCTCAGTACCTTACGGCTAACCAAAGAAATGATTAAAATATATCTATGAACAAATACAAATAACTTGTGTATGTCTACCATCTTTATAGACCAAGTTTCATGACCGTTGATTAACATATGGTCGACTGGTGTGCAAATTACTGTAACGTCGTTTGAGAGATAGACATTTTTCCAATAAGATAGGTTGTGCAAGTTGTCAAAAGCCAGAAAAGCTTTTAGTATCAGTGTCAAGATTTAATCACTCACCAACTTACCGTGATTTCCAATGTAGGTGAAGAGGTCAAAGCATCTGACTACTTCATTACATTTGACCAAAGTAAGCATTTATCTAGACTAGTCCAAAAGCGCTACTTAACATTTAGAAGAGATGAAACACATGTCAAATATTTTTATTATATTGTTACTCAGTTATTTAGAAACCTGCTTCTACTTAGCTTTTACGCCAAATAGAGCCAAGGAGTATGCGCATTCTATTTAAGACAAGTCTTACGTTGTGATGGAGTTTCTTTGTTTGCACGACAGGTTTAAGGTCAATAATAACCAATCGAGATCGAGGTCAACAGAACAAGCTACGAGTCATACGTGCAGAAATTCGAATACTTCACTTCTACCTGAAGTTTGTACTGATGTTGTTCAGAAGAACAATCAAAGCTCCACAACCGAAACATGCAGCTCAGAGAACGTAACTCCATGAAAATCATCCACCTGAGCTACAAATTTTCTCCTCCATTTCAAGTCTTACGTTGCTTGTGTTCACAAGTTATCTTAGTTGCTAACGAGTGAGCGCTGAGTGAGGTAAAACTAAAATGTGATTAATATTATCTCTCCAAAATACGTTTTAAATACAAGAATAAAATAACTTTTGTTCATAATCCGCTTGAACATGTTTTGAATGCTTAAAATTGGTCATAAATGCGAAAATCACTTGGGTTATCATGATGCCTGGATTGCATTAAAACAGTAATCCAATAAAAAATTATTAAATGAATGCATTAATCTAAGCATGTTTTAAAATATTAAGCCTCATATATAAAATACTAATTACAACCACCAAATGCTACTGTGTACAAACATACCTTATCGAAATTATCTACAGCATAACTTTTATTTCAGTGTAACTTAACAATTACGATCAATATATCTGGAACTGTGGAATAATCCGGTTGTGCAAAACTGAGCTAGGCGGAGAACGGTTCGGATGTGAAACGTAATGGTTTTGTTTCGATAATTAAGCGACTGTTGCTCAATGTTTTTCTACACAACAATAGTACTGTCTAAATTATGTAAGTAATAAGTATGAAAAATATCTAGTTCAAAATAGCTAGATAAATGATTTGTAAGGATAGATTTCATCACTTACATTTAACAAAGCAATAAAGTGAAACTAAACTCGATTTGAATGATGTAAAATCAAGGAATATAAGGTATCTTCAAAAATGAACTAAGTAAATCAAAGTTTCATGACATATGTTCGTCACTAAAAACAACTTACCAAATAAGGGACATGCTTGAGATCCTGTAACTTGAGCGTTAACTTGAACATTAGTCGAATTGGAGTCCATTATAGGATTGTACGGTTTCACAAAACCAGTCACATGAACAACAGCATAAGAACACTGACTACTTGATGAAGATATTCCAAAAGTCGGTCGATGTCGTAAACGTGATCGAGCTGTTAATCCTAAAGAACTTGAAACTCCAGTATCTGATTGAATAACAGACTGGATAGCTGAACCTATGCGCATTCGACAAATGAAACCACGACGTGAGCTCATACTCCCTCGCAAGTGGGCTAATAATAATAATAATAAGCAAAAAGGTACATTTGATAATGAATAGCTATATACATATCAATTTCAATTTTAGTTAACAGTTGGAAGTTAAAGATATAAAACCAAACAAGAAAAAGCACTTTCGAACGACCCCATTATTGATGGAATGTCTCAAATTTTTTCATTCTTTTACTATCATTTTCTACAAGTAGATATAAACTAATTCACGACATTTAAACTGTTTGCATATTTAAAAAAAATCCAGTCTAGATTAAATTAAATGATTTGTTATGTTTAACTGAGGTAGTATCATAACATCAATGATTCGGAAATAGGCTAGGACATAGATAAACTGGAGCGAGAAAGCTATATGAGAACTGGGATTTGATTTGACATTTGCGTCTCTGTGCTAATGTGGTATGGCAACATGAACTTAAGTACATACGTACGAAATTCTACGTTGCAACTAACTGACTGACTGAACTGCACATTAAACCTCATTCATATATCAGGAAAATGACTAACTGATTACATAACTTCTAACTATATTATTTATTACACGCTTCTCATAAATAGTTATTCTGTTGAGAATAATAAGTTATTTTATGCTATAAGTGAACAAAAGCTCTCGCAGATCACTAATCAACTAGTAATTTTTGTAAGAGAAAATCAATGTATCATCAGTATTCTGAGTTCTTTAATGAAAATGAAATCAAGTAGGAATATATCTGATTGGAAACGCTTTCGCTCACGATTCGCAAATCTAAAACCAGAAATTGTTAAGTTTCGAAGTAAAATAATAAAAATGAAGAGAAAACAAGCTATCTAATTGAACTTTGTCAACGGTTCGATACAATCCGTAAGCAGGTATTTACAATCAAGATACGTGATTTCATTATTATATATCCAGGGTGTGTAGAGGGGAGAATATCTTACCCGAAACTCGTCAAGTCACATGATGGAATAAATTGCGCATATTTGTGATATTCACTGTTTTCGATAAATACATAACAATTTTCACCTTAAAAAAGCCGATCTTATTTTTACTTCGTAACTCCGCCTGCAGAACCTTCGGGGCTACTGCCGGTCCCAAGACCGGATAAAGGAGAAGGGTTGGGCATTGGGTTAACAACCACATCCCACCAAAAAACTAACTTGCCGAAAAAACGCTAACCAAGAAAAATAATTCAAACCGTTTTAACTATGCCATGGGAGTTGGAAAAAGAATTAAGACGTCTCGTGATAAAAGCCGAGTTTCCTCGGAAGTCACGAGGTCGATGCCTCTTCTCACAATCAGAGCAACCATTTTTTAGCGACATTGAACGTTCGTACATTGTGGGAGACTGGAAGACTATTTCAAGTTGCTGCAGAAATGAAAAGATACAACCTCGAGGTGCTCGGCATCAGTGAAACGCATTGGACACAAGTAGGACAACTGAGACTAGCTTCAGGGGAACTGCTGTTATACTCTGGTCATGAAGAGGAAAACGCTTCACATACACAAGAAGTTGCACTGATGCTGTCCAAACATGCACAAAAGGCACTGATAGGATGGGAATCCTAGGGACCCAGGATCATCAAAGCATCCTTCAAAACAAAGAAAGAGGACATTACAATGAACGTCATCCAATGCTATGCACATACCAACGACTACAATGACGACGTTAAAGATCAATTCTACGAAAGACTGCAGTCAATCGCCAACAGATGCTCACCAAAGGATTTGACGATTCTAATCGGAGACCTAAATGCCAAGGTCGGCATGGACAACACTGGATATGAAGACATAATAGGACGACATGGATTGGAAGAAAGGAACGAAAACGGTCAGAGATTCGCAAACCTATGTGCCTTCAACAAACTGGTCATCGGCGGAACAATATTCCCACACAAGCTCATACACAAGGCTACATGGATTTCACCGGATCACACTACTCAGAACCAAGTCGACCATATCTGTATTAATAAAAAGTTCAGAACTACATGAGTACGTGAGAACCAAGAGAGGAGCTGAGATAGCCTCAGATCACCACTTGTTGATCGCCAAAATGAAACTGAAACTAAAGAAGCACTGGATAACGGGGCAGACAACATCACACAAGTTTAATACAGCCTTTCTTCAGGATACCGTAAAACTCAACGAATTCAAGATAGCCCTCTCCAATAAGTTCCAGGCCTTGCAAGATCTACTCAATGGAGAGGAATCAACATTGGAGAACGATTGGAAAGGGATCGAGGAGGCAATCACTTCAACATGTCACGAGGTTCTGGGTCACAGGATGCACCATCACAAGAAATGGGTCTCTGTTTGTACTCTTGAAAAAATTGAAGAAAGGAGGAACAAGAAGGCAGCAATCAATGTCAGCCGAACAAAAGCAGAGAAAGTTAAGGCACAAGCTGAATACACAGAAGCTAACAGAAAAGTGAAGAAAAGCATCAGAGCCGACAAACGAAAATATGTGGAAGATCCAGCAATGACGGTGGAAAAGGCAGAAACAGAAGGAAACATGAGAAAATTGTACGATACAAGAAAAAAGCTCGCCGGAAACTATCGTAAACCAGAAGGACCAGTGAAAAGCAAGGAAGGCAACGTAATCAGCAACACAGACGAACAGAGAAATAGGTGGGTAGAGCACTTTAAGGAACTATTCAATCGACCAGCTCCACTGAACCCACCCAACATCGAAGGAGCATCTACGGACCTCTCAATCGATGTTGGCCCAACAACAATTGAAGAGATCAGCATGGCCATCAGAAAAATCAAGACCGGCAAAACAACAGGACCAGACAACATTCCAGCAGAGGCAATGAAAGCAGACGTGGAAGCAACTGCAAAAATATTTCACATACTTTTCAATCATATTTGGGATGAAGAACAAGTACCATCAGACTGGAAAGAAGGATACCTCATCAAAATACCAAAGAAAGATCTCAGTAAGTATGAGAACTACAAAGGCATTACTTTTCTCTCAATACCAGGCAAAGTCTTCAATAGGGTATTGTTGAACAGAATGAAGGACTTCGTAGACGCCCAACTTCGAGATCAACAGGCTGGATTTCGTAAGGATCGATCGTGTACTGACCAAATTGCTACATTACGGACCATTTGTGGAACAATCACTTGAGTGCAACTCACCACTCTACATCAACTTCATTGACTACGAGAAAGCATTCGATAGCGTGGACAGGAAAACACTATGGAGGCTCCCTCGATACTACGGCGTGCCTGAGAAGATAGTCAACATCATACGGAATTCTTATGATGGATTAAACTGCAAAATCGTGCACAAAGGTCAGCTGACAGACCCGCACGAGGTGAAGACCGGTGTCAGGCAAGGTTGCTTACTCTCACCCTTTCTCTTTCTCCTGGTGATCGACTGGATTATGAAGACGTCAGCATCTGGAGGGAAGCACGGTATTCAGTGGACAGCTAGGACGTAGCCGGACGATCTAGACTTCTCAGATAACCTGGCCCTTCTATCTCACACGCAACAACAAATGCAAGAGAGGCCGATCAGTGTAGCAGCAGTAGGTCTCGACATACATAAAGGGAAAGTAAGATTCTACGATACAACACAACATGCGCCAACCAAATGGCACTTGATGGAGATTCTTAGGAGGACGTTGACATCTTTACGTATCTGGGCAGCATCATCGACAATCAAGGTGGATCTGATGCAGATGTGAGGGCACGGATCAGCAAAGCAAGGGCTTCATTTCTACAGTTGAAAAATATCTGGAACTCCAAACAAATATCAATCAACACCAAAATCAGAATTTTCAATACAAATGTCAACACAGTTCTACTGTATGGAGCGGAAATTTGGAGGACTACCAAAGCCATCATCCAGAAGATACTAGTATTTATGAACATTTGCCTACGCAAAATACTTCGGATTCGCTGGCCAGACATTATCAGCAACAACCTACTGAGGGAGAGAACAAACCAGATTCCAGTGGAGGAGGAAATCAGGAAGAATCGGTGGAAGTGGATAGGACATACACTGCGGAAAGCACCGACCTGCGTCACAAGACAAGCCCTCACATGGAACCCTCAAGGCAAAAGGAAAACAGGAAGGCTAAAGGACACGTTACGCCGATAAAAGACATGAGAAGAATGAACGAAAACTGGAAAGGGAAGCCCAAGACAGAGTTGGTTGGAGAAAACTGGTGGGCGGCCTATGCTCCATTGGGGGTAACAAGCGTAAGTAAGTATTTTTATTTCGTGTTTGCTACTACATTTAAAAAACACGCTTTAGGACGGTTAAAAATTCAACTCCCAATAAATTATAGCTTACGAATATCTGAACGTAACGTACATTGATGACCTTCCTTTTTCAATGTACCAGATTTTAAATCCAGTATCCGTCCAGGAGCAGGAGATGAACAAATACTATTGGTCAAGTTTGTAGGAGAACTATGGCGTTGTGCGGCGCATATTTGGGTAGATACCAAATCAGATACTGATGTAGGTGAAGAATCAGATGCGACAGAGCACATTTTAAGATCTGATGCAGCAAGCTGTTTGGGGAGATTGATTGAATTACAATTTGATAACGAAGCATGACCTGTGAGGCCTAAAATACTAGCACCTTGTGACGGTAATGGGGATCCAGTTAGTTGTTCACAAATTTTCTCTGCATCATCCGGGTGACATAACTCATACAGAGTATGCTGATACCATTCTGACTAAAATGTTAAAAACGATAATATAAAACTCGACATTACTAATCACGTGTATTCATTAAAATGTCTGCTCATCTACGATATTACGAACAAAAAGTCAAGGTTATTCTAATTACACATAGGCAGTAAATATATATATATATATATATATATACTTCAGCATATAAAATATAGAACTGCGTACCTGAGTTTGATTGAGCACGGCTGTTACACTGTCAGATACATAGATAATTCTTCCAGTGTCACATTGACAAACAAAAAGAAATCCATCTGCAGCCTTCGAGAAAGATTTAATTAAAATGCAACATCAAAAAATATACAACCAAAAAATATAAAGACTGAATTTATAACTGTACTGATATAACAATTTTTCATGTAGTATATGACAGGACAGATAACTCAGAAAAACCAATAAAGTATATTATCTAAATGAGAGAGTCCAACTTTTCTCATCACAACGAAATTTGTTTGAGAAACCTCCAAAACTAAATACTGAGCACTTCAGTCAGTCAGTCAGTCAACAACACAGACCTTCGTACGTATGTACATCAGTTCAAGTTGCCATACCACATTAGCACAGAGATATTATTGTCAATTCAAATACCATAGTAGTAGAGGTAGTAAACGTATTAGCAGTAATCGGTGAGATTATAGTTCGAAGTTATTATTCAAGAAGTAGAATCTAGTGAAATAAACTTAAAAGAAAAAGATAAAGGTGATGAGGAATTCAGGTTACAATTTGAGAGAACACAAAGAATGAATGCACCTAAGCCATTGCAAACAAATTTGAGCCATGTCACTCAGGGTCTCTAACCATCGATTACTACCGTCTCGCGGACCACAACCAGGTAGTTAATAACTACCAACATGACTCAGTCCACTTGTCAGTGACTTCATGGATTTGTGGCATGTTTTGGCTTGGTCGCCACTAGCTTTTTTCCAACTTATTCCTACGTCGCAAAGCATAACTCGACGAGGCAGTCGGTGGTTAGGCATACGCAACACATGTCCTAACCATCTCAAGTAACAGAGTTCCGATATTTCATCTATTGATCTGCCATCCCTACCTAGGGCTCAATTCCTAAAGACAGCATTGCTTACTCGGTTGTTCCACGATATACGAACAATGCTTCGAGGACATCTATGATAGAAGACCAATGACCAACGAATATCTTCTACTCTTAACGGCCATGTTTCACAGCCATAAAGTAGGACGGAGAGAACTGCTGCGCAGTACACTCGTCCTTTGGTAAGCAAACGGATATCTCACCTACACCATTAGTGATGTATGTTGGCAAAAGCCAATCGAGCCTTCTGTATCCGTGCTTAGATTTCACCACACACTAGGCCATCAGCACTGATGCGACTCACAAGATAAGTGAAGCGATCAACACGCTCAACTACTTCACTCCCTATCTCTAGTTCAAGTGCCGATACAAGCCAATCTCGAAGCAACATTTTGCATTTTGAGGGGAGTGCCGCATACCGAACATGCTTGCATTGTTGCTTAGGGTAGTCAGAAGACTGCATTTTGCCAGCGTCTTCACCAAGTAGAACTATGTCATCGGCATATTCTAAGTCAGCAGGCGATTTTCTTGGTAGAAGGTCTACTCCTGAAAATTCAGACGAAGATAATTTTATATCTAGAAGCGTGTCTATGACAAAATTAAACAAGAATGGAGAGGATGGACAGCCCTGAAAGACACCAATTGAAGTAAAGAATTCCAGAGACAGTTTACAATAAGCTCTCACACAACCAGTGGTGTTCGAGTAGAGAGATTTTATAAGGTCAATGTACATCTCTGCTACACCTTTTAATGACAGACACTGACACAGAACTTCACGATCAACAGAGTCAAATGCTGCTTTAAGGTCCAGGAAGACAAAAAGTGTCGCACACCTAAATGTGTGTCTGTGTTCCAAGACGTATCGTAGTGTGTTATGCTCAGTACTGTTAATTTGAGACCTTATTTCTTAATTTTCATAAAATTTTAAATAATCAATTGATATCTATTGAGCTCACTAAACCAAGATTTATATAGTAGGCAAGAATTAAACCTTACAATCAGGCTTTAAATTTCATTGGTGTATGGGTGGCCTATGGAACCAGTAGCTACAATCTTTGATTTTTCTAATGAGTTATATTCACGTTTATTTTAAAGCTGCAACAAAAACAATAATTAGGCACAAAGACTCACTTCTAAGACTAAATGCTTTAGTTCTTGATCTGAAAGGAATGACGGTTTGTATGATCCATCGGATGTTGTACTCCCAGTTCCTAAAATTATTGAAGGAAACCATTAAGATACCAGGAAGGTATAACAATAAAAAACTCAATTTTCTCCGTCAGCTCGAACTGTTCGACAAAGCTGAATATTGTGACTCAGCATCTACATGATATATTTCAGTTCACTAGTATAAAGTAGTAAACAGAAACCCATGACACGAGTCAGCTATCTCAATAAAATATGAAATAGAATTAGTAAACATTTTTATCCCCGATCATAAAAGTTCAAAGAAAGCCAGAAGTGGCTAAAACAAGATTTGGTACTAGTTTATGAAGTCTTCGATTGCTGACGATGTAGGGTAATATGGCTCAGAACTGTTCGTAATTATGTAAGTGAATAATCCTGTTATCATTGTTATTATCACTTTCTACAACTGGCATTTAGATGCGCTGGTGCTGAGACTTGAACTGATGCAGGCATGTGCCAGGTTTAATGTCGCTTACGCTTAACTGACCATGCATAATCCAATTTATGAGTTCAGGTGACCAGATTAATCTCAACAAGTTTCGGTTATTACATACCTGACACACACGTGAAGACGTTTAGCCTTTTCAAAAATACAAAAATACCGCAACTAACGATCAAACCTTACAAAATGCCCATTAAATCACTTGATAACTGCAAAGGATAGGTTAGATAAGTAAACTTCGATTATTTGTGAAGAGACAATATCCAGTTAACAAGTGTCCAAATATTAACAGATAATACGTTCCTAGAAAAAAAAAGCCGAACCTATTAACATATTTGGCATATCATACTGTAGGCTTTGTGATTTTAAAGTGAATGAACGAGTAAAGAGATGAAAAAACCTAGAATACGGTACGAATATAAACCGCTAATCAAAAACGATTTCACATATTCTGCTATGATGTTTAACACAGTGCGGAAAAAACAATAGTGAACATAATGACATCAGTAAATAGGTAGGAGACCACAACAGTGAAGCCGGAACGCCATGCTAAAATATCACCAGAATGCCATACGTGAAATGATCACCAAATATGAAGAAAATATATGGAAGCCTAATTAACGAATTAAAGACCCGTGTCTACCCGTTCTTCCAAACTATTTTCAGCCTCCCCAGTACACTAAATCTCAAGCTGTAATCCTAAGAATTAAATCACGAACTAAGACGTAGTTATTCATTGAATATGCTTTCAGTTTTAGTATTTCACTTTCAACCGTGCTGGTGTGCAGTACAACGATTTGTAATAACCGGTCAATCAATTAAAATCAATGTAGATCCAAGTGCGTAAGTGCCTTAGCCCTGGTTATCACTCCAAAAACTGGGCACTCGGAAGTTGAATAGTGAAGGAGTAGAAATAATGTTGACCTCAATTATATTATAGAAGATTAGACATGCAGAATTCGGACCAAAAATTGAGATGGGTAAAAATTAGAATTATACATCTAGGACAAAATAATGATTGAAATGGGAAGATTTGCTTAGATTTATAGTTTTTCTTTTTCAGTATCAAAACTGTCACTACAGGATCGATTTTAGAGCCAGTGAGCTAGACTAGACCATAAATAGCATATATTCGTGTTATCTGGCTAAATAAGATAGCAGACAAAAAAGCCTACTCGTATAATGACTGCGAAAGCATTTCCAGACACATAAGAATCCCAAAGATGCTTTCTAGAAATATCTAGCTAGATAGCGATTAGAAAATCATAACTTTTTAAATTTCAGGTTTCTTCAGCCTATTGGTATATTAAAAGAAAACGCTAGTTATCAGTACGAGAAGAGAGTATTCCTAGTGATTTAAACTTCTAAGTGATGCATTTACTATCAAACAGTCGTCAGTAAACGCATGAAAAAGACTACATGCTTAGATTTATCTGAGAACTTGATGAAAAACCAAAAATATATAAGAGAAGTCGAACAAATATTATCCACTGATTACTCCTGAGACAAATTGAAAGGAACGGGACTGTCAGAAACTGACGAGTCCAAGGGAAAAAGCAAGCAAAGACAACAGAAATAAAGAGCAGCCTCAGATAACGCCAACGATTACTTAAATAGTAAGCTATTATTATATACTACACAGTTAGAATATATTTGGACAGTACCTCGTATAGATTTCATGTGGCTCACAGCCATCCTCAAGATAGTAAGTTTGTCAGGCTTCCTCGCAAGTGAACTGCAGGTCGGCACCATTTCACACAGTTCGTTTATATAGGCAGTCATTTTGTTCCGTCTGCGTCTTTCTATTTCACAGTGACTCTCTCTAAGAGATTCGAAATATGTGGAGTATTAACTTACCTCGCATACCTTTCTTTATCTTGTTGGTCACCACCATCGTGTTTACACGCAGACAGTCTAGTACTTGTTACCTCAAACATGCTTAAAGGAAGTAACTAAAAAAATGTGGAACTTACTCTCTTTCGCTTCCACCATCACTATCTCGAGAGAAATCTGGAAGGTTTTCTACCCTAAATAAAGAAATATTGTGTCATCAGAAACGCAAAATTCGAAAATCATTTTTATTAGTTAATTGAGACTTACATATCCATTTCGTCAATAGCGGCACGAAAACACCATACTTTTAGAAGAAACGGCCAGAGAGTAGCGCAGTCAATATTCACAGGACCCGCCTAATATGTATACATCCCTTAAAACCAAATTCGTATCAGTCTGAAAGTTTGCACGAAGAAAAGATCATTTTCAAACCGGCAACTAAGTCTTAACAAAAATAAATCAACATTTCTTCTTTGAAAACATGACTCGGTTGATTGCTTACCGCCGACGAGAATCGTTGTGCTCTCATTAACACACTGGAATATTTAGACATTTCCAAAGACACTAAAATCTTTATCACTCAGAGGCGAAAAAGCTAAATGAAAAACATGAAAAAAATCATACTAAAAATTAACCATCGTGTGGAAGACCCGTCTGTCTAGACAAACTGCTTGCTTTCTTGCTGCATCGTCCGCATTATATACCTGTAAATTCATTTATAAACAAAGAAATTGTGAAAAAAATGCTAAGCCCACTTGTGTTTTCCCGCTACTCAATTGCCTCGTATTCCAATATTTATTCTGTTGAGCGACGAGTACAACCACACCTCTGGTCTCAGTGCTGACACACTCCTAATCAGATTAATAATCCTAGTGAGACTAGTAAGTAAAAGATAACTATGAGAAATTAGCGTCCTAAACACTCAGTTATTTAATCTACTGAAGATAAAAAACACAAAAACAGTAACTGTATTCTCTGATTGTCATTATTTGGAATCAAGTACTAATAAATATAGGTTCTGTAGTTGCTGGTTCTTTTCTAACTGTGATACTGCAGCAGCTAGGCAGTACTGCGGGTTCGTACTGTGTCACTCCTGTCCATGGTTCCGGTACGTTCCCAACTTCGTGAAAAACACAGCAGAACTATCAAGAGCGAAACGAAAAACTCCACTGAAAACGATCGTATCAATTGTCAGTAGTATTTCCAGTTCTTCCGACAAGGGCTCTGCAAAGCAGGTGATCATGAAAATCACGACCCGAATACAGGTAAAATTGCTGACTGATGCGAACACGCCAGTGTCAAGTACTAGTTTAAAGCTGTCTTTAGATGCTAGAAGGGAAACGTTAGTCAGTACGGCTCTTAAAATGACAAAAATTAGGGATAAAGCTGTTAGACTAGGTCCCTTGATTTTACTTGACGTTCAAGTCTCGGAAGCTAGCTCATTTGAAAATAAGGCACCCTTTGCTAAAGAAACATCTGACAACATTCGGATGATGCCTGTGATGCGTACCAATGCCCACAAACTATGCCAAGTTTATTAGGGCAGAAATGTTGCGAAAGCTAAGTATCCACAATTAGGAGAAATCCAGATCCAGCAATTGATACAGAAGAAATCTGTTAACATCTCACGTACTTTAGGTAATATCTCTTCTGAAATCTGGGGTAGATATAACAAAAATTGGATAGTTAGAGATGCCACGAAAAGACCGAAACTCAATCAAATAACGGTTAGTATGGCGGTCAGTGGAATGCTTGAGTTGATAAGCGCTAGCGCAAACGATGCTTATGGACATGATATGCAGCAGAGTAGATGGAACTTCGCGTATTTTCGCTATCCCTGATCATGCACATCCTAATCATCAAGTGCCAGTGTTAGATACCTTTGAACATCAGAATTTCAGAGGAACTGGCGGAGGCCCTTTAGGCTTGGAGCAGATGGAAGTTCCCATTAACATGCCAATACACCTTAAGAAGCAATTTTTTCTTGTCGCCGGAAGAGATGTTGCAAAGTAATGAGGAAAATCGTCAAGCCTATCGACAACAACGTAAAAAGACAAACGGACAAATTAAAACAGATCGATAATATTTTCATTTTCATCTGAAGATCATGAAAAAAGACATCAGGTACTGGATTGTAGGATTAAGCAGACTCTTCATAAATCCTAACACCCAGATACATACGATGGTCCAGCTGATGATCTAAGTAAGATGTCTGGCCGAATACTACAAGCTGGAGACCTCAACACTCCCTCTCCAAACAACAGTAAGCAGGACTAAAACCCGACAGGATACTTCTGTGAGCGGATCGTCAAGGCGCTTGCAGCTGGAGTGTGACCGAACCTGTGGGTGGCAACAGAAAATCGCCTAAGAACGGAAAGCTGTTGAAATCAGTTTATTTGTTAACTAGTGATTAATTAATAGTTGGGAATATCCAGTTCTAAGAACCAGTAAAGAGAAGTGACCATAATATTGTCGCAATCAATATAGTGATGAATGAAAACGCTCTAGTCGCAGCTCTTTCCTATCTCTACGAATCGACTGCAGGGTCAAAGTTTGAAGAGATATCAGGAGCTCAACGACAGACCTTATGTACTTATTATTGACATTATAAATGAAATAAGCTTAGCGACATCAACAGTCGCGGACGAAGAAAAGATCTTAAGATTCTAGGAAAGCAAGCTTACCCTTAAGAAATTGAAGTACAGCCTCAATATTTCTAAATAATTGCTGACCACGATAAGGACGCTTCAACGGCCAAAGTCAAAAGCTTCAAAAGAAGGCTTAAGAGACATGCACTCACGGCGCAGTTTGCTCCGTTCAAGAGTAGTGGATATTCGTAGGTTACTAATATTCGATTATCGGTGTTTTAAAAAGATTGTTCGTATATCCGAGTAAGCAATGCTGGGGTTAGGAAAAGGATACTAGGTAAGGATGACAGATCAAGCGGCAAAGTAGTGGTGGTTGGAACATGCGTCACGTATACCTAACAACCGACTGCCTCGACGTTGTCTGAAGTAGGAGTAGGTTGGAATACAGCTAGGGATGGTCGAACCAAAACATGGCATAAGTCCATGAAGTCACTGACAACTAGACTGAGCCATGTTAGTAGATGTAGACTACCTGGTTGGGGTCCGCGAAACAATAGTAATCGATGGTTAGAGAACTTGAATGACATGATTCAAAATCGTATGCAGTGGCGCAGATGCGTCCATTCCCTATCTTCGCTCGAATACTAATCTTCTGAATAACTCATGACCTTCTTTCTTTTCTTGAATTTATTTCACTGGATTATACTTCTTGAATGATATCTTCGAACCCTAATCTTTTCATTAGTGCTTATACTTCTGCTACCTCTACTACTATGTTTTGAATCGATGATTCCATCTCTTTGTGCTAATCTGGTACGATAATTTGAACTGAAGTACGTAAAGAGAGAAAACAGCGAATCACACTTGGTAAATCCAGCTAGTTAAAATAATGTGATGATGGTAAGATCCATAGAATAACATAAATTCATACAATTCGTGGCTTATGAGAAGCCTTAAAATATAACGAATATATGTTATTCTGAAAATATATTCCTTCTCGTTCTATTTAAAGACGACCAAGTTACGAAAGTTGAAGTGGCGGTTTCCTCTAAGGCCAGACTAAGAATCCTGGACATTGCTAAACAAAATTGTTGTCGTACACTTTCCACTCATTAAGACAGCCATTTCCTCAGTTGCCAGGTAAAAGTCTAACTCTTACGGACAAAAGAACAAAAACTCCAAAGAACCGTTAGCAGTTTACCAATCATAAACAGCATGATGAGCAATTCAGTAGTAATATCTTATGCAACAATAGGAGTTAAATGCTCGCAGAAAAGCTATTCTATTTGATTGGTAGTCGAGTGAATAGGGAGTCACAACTTTGATTGACGTTTCTTGGTGACATGTAAGTTGCAAAGCATAACAATAATTAGCACTATATAACTCGTGGGCCCAGATGGTTGTTCGCTTCGTTCTGTCAAGGGTAATCTAGATTAGTTAGTCCGATGTCAAAATCATCTTAAATTAGAAGTTATTCACTCCAGTGAATAATGTTAACGTTGCCTCAATCGCTTTGCACTGCAATAATACAAAGCATCAAATAATTCTAACCATATGAATAGATGAACTTAACAGAATGTGTGGACGGTCTCTGTCAGCAGCGTTTAATACCAGAAAGTGCCCCAGTCCAGTGGTGATGCTTCTCAGACAGCATTCCGCTACTAACACTTATCTTAATTCAAAAAATTAGCAGTAATGATAGATCCTTGGTAACAAATAAATGTTTACGGATATCACTTGGCGCTGTTACTTTCATTGTAATTTAACTCAATGTTATGAGGAAAAACGAATCATGCTGATATGTGGAAAAAAAATTTGTGTAATACCAGTTACCTTAAGTTTACGCGATAGGTTTTTTGAATAGAGAACTGTGGTTAGTCAAATATCTCCTCACGAGTTAATGGTTACGATGCTTTTCAAGCGAAATTTGGGTCTCAGTGGGTGAATCAAACCCTAGTTTTTTTAATAGATGACATACTTTGTATAAATTAATCTCCTAATAACCGTGAATTCACTATCGTTTTCTAATTATCTAAAGTTCTTTCCATAGGAAAATTATGGTCTTGATTATCGGGACACAGTGGAAATTGAGAACATTTATGCACAGGGTTATCCGAAATCGTGTTTTAACCAACCAACATCTTGATATCTAAGTGACTTAAAGTACCGCAAGGTTCGTTGTTGTGTCAGTTATCGTCATGTTTCTGCTTGATAAATGTGGCTTTGTTCTTGCTATTGGTATATATTTATCGGTTAAAATTCATTTAAATAAAAGAAATAACTAAACCCTGCATAGATTTTGGGATATCACTTCGAATTTTTGTTCCGATCGTCTTAAAAAAAGTACAAGAACTAATTACGACTCACCCAGATCATAAATTACCAGCCAGAAGAAAATCCTAAACATGAGAAATCTGATGGTGGATTCTGAGTCGTTTAAATGCTTAGCGGTGTGATAGTAAATTAAGACATTAGATAAATACATTCAAAATTTGCAATGACAACAGTACATATTTTACAAATTTTCTCGTAATAATAGTTGTAACCATATGCCTTCGAAAAAGGCCAATTCTAAAAGAAAATGTGTCGAAGAAACAGGATTACAGTGCCAAAATTCAAGCTGGTGACAAGGATATTGATTATTGGGAGTACGACACTATATCAGTCAAGTTGATTAATATGTGGAGAATTTGAGTAGTCGCTGAAAAATGCTAAATGAGTCAAAATATAGAGACTTGAAACAAATAATTCCTATTGGTATTTCCGATGCATTACAAAGAGATTCTTTGTTCGAATACTGTTCAAAGTTATGTCTAGACAATTTTGTCAATATATTAGGTAAATCTGAAGTGGTCTTGTTGTAAACACTGATTATTGGTTTTATTGTCTTTGTTTACACAGCCGGGTTTCGGAAACTCTAGGTAGGATTAGAATTTTGTTGGTAACTCCATTCGTAGAAATATTATACACGTTTGCAGCGTTTTTAATTCAATTTACCTGAATTTTTGCAGTGTCTCACGGTTGCTTTTCAAGCTCGTAACTCAACCATTCGAGCACTCTGTATTGGTAGTCTTAATGACGTCATGAATTTTCTAGCATATTTAGAATAATATAAGTGATCCAGTTAAATATAAACCTGAGAAAAGTTTTGGATTCACGGTATGTTGAACAAAACTATGAAATCCATGTGTTGCGATATCAGATATTCTTGTGATAAATGAAAATAAATCACTATTAGCTTATGCATCTAGGTATGAGAAAGCGGTAGCAGTATATTTTCCTTCATAATTTAGATATAGTACGAGATAGTGGAATATACAATCACCAGAATACCACTTTTCATTGTAAACTTTATTACAATGTTAGAACTTTAAAACCTTATATACTGGTCTTTTTTGTCAGACTATGATATTTGGCATTTCGCTAACAAAACTACAGGAATTAGTGTCTATAGGATGCATAAGTACTTAAGGAAGCCTTCAAAAACAATTAATACATTTGCAGTATAACGTCCTCTTAGAGCGATTTCGTATTTGTTTGAATATCAGAGCCAGAAGATATGCCTTATTCCCCGAAATTGTGTTTAAAAGGTCATTCTCCCAGATAAATTTATTGTTTGCAAAATTTGGCTATCTGTTTGCCTCAACTGTAGTAGTTTAAATTATTATTGGACTCTTTTATTATTATCAGAAAGGAACAGAGACATTGTTCACCGAAATCCGTAGCTCATCCATATGTTGTGCCTTGTCGGTTTACTCAAACAGGATGAATCTATTGGCGTGCATTTGAGGAAATATTCCATATTCAGTTGCGACTGCCATAAATTCTTGACATAGGTCACTATAGATATTTAAGTTCGCGTTAGCCGAATACCTGTAACTTATATCAGTTCAGAAACCTGTCGCTTTCACTTAGACAACCCTAAAGGACATAAGAGGTCAGCTGATTTGTTATCCCTTTTACTTTTTTGCACGTATTTTTGACCACTTATCAAACAACCTATTATGAGCAAAAATTGAATGCGGATCGCCACTATAAACCTCCACCGAAATTTGACTTGACTGTTTTGCATAATTGGAGCGTCAAGTAAATTATTAGTGATAAAAAAACAATATTTTTGGTGTCCTGATTTTCAGGATCTAGAACTCTTAGGTTTTCCGGCTAAGTTCAAGTTGCTTCTTTAGAGGCTGTTCACATAAACAAGCAACATAAGTAATTCAGAGAAACAGGACGGAAAACTTATTCCATTGTAAGACTAAATTACATAAATTCTACATACACGTACATTCTTCACAATAATGGGTCACGTCAATAAATACGCTCTTTAATTGAATACCACGTGATAACCTCTGTTAACCGTTCTAAAAGCTCCTTCATATATTAACCAGTTACTAAAATTTGATGAAACAAATGGGTTGTCTGAAATGATGACAAATAAGTATAATGATACTACTTCGAGCAAATTTAAGTTGGCGTGAAAGGCGGTAAGGTGGGGATCTCAGGCTTGTGACAGCTCATTTAACATAGTGTAAAGGATGATTCAATTTATGATCGGATGTGATTCTTCAGAAACCTAACTGCTGTCTATCATAGTGCCCTACCATATTCTGCTGATAGCATAGAATGTCGTGTAGTGAACGAGAACACAGGTGGGGCAACGAAAATTACAGAGTTACTCAGTAAAATCGGAAAACCATATCGTAAATTGTTAATTTGCAAAATATCAGTTCATCATATCGAACTGGACTGTTCCTGTTGCCAAACATCAATCCATTGTCACTATTCATGCGTTTCACACAAACTCCATTGTTTTCCAACTCTTCCTTTCTTGATCTTTCCCCATCTTCCGCTGCCAGACGTTACGTTGACACTCACGTCATATACTACTTATAAGTAGCTCACACCACAGTTGTATTACCAAGGTGCTTATTTATCTGTGATGAGCGAGTTAGAGTTTGTGTCTTCCAAGTCGAAGGTTTTGAATAAACGTTAGTATTTTCACAAATATGAGTGAATCCCCGAGACTGGGTGCAGTGCCCAGTATTTTTGCTTAAATGAGGGGAAGCTTCCTTCAGATAATTCAGTGAACCTGAGAGTATTAGGAAGATGGAATTACTTCTCTAGTGCTTTCATAAAGTAATTTACCTGAATTCTACTAGTTGCAAATTAAATGATAAGTTGGAAGAGTCCTGCTGCTCAGCTGCTCTAGAAAATGGGGATTTTGTTACGGTACAGTTTAATTTTTAGTGAAAAAATACAGGTTTATTCGGGTTAAATTCAGATGCATTATTTAATGAGTAAGATATTGTGGTTAAAACTATCATCTGATTTGTACAAAAAATTATTTAGCCTGTATTACTAGTCCTTTCTAAATAGAAGGTTGGGCTGTATGCATATCTGACACGTAATAAAATGTTAATCGAGTTTACTGTTTGTTTTTCAATAAAATTTCTTCAGCTATAAAGTTCAAAAGATGTAAGGGAAGGACAATTTTACAGGAAGTTATTATTCATATTCGTAGTTTTGATTAGGATAGTTTACAGCCTAATTATTATCATTAGAAGATCACTTTTGAAGATTTTTTTGATTAATCCAAATAGAAATGACCATTTTCAATGGATCATGCTTAAAAAAAGTCTTTGAATTCACGTAAACTTGGCTTTAACCGTGTATATTCATATACGGGTATATGTAAAACTTTTAATGTATACAATCTACTAAAATCCACTTCGACCGCTACCGAGAAGACTATGGATAAAGTTTCCTTAGGTGTTGAATAGATAATTTTTCTAACGACAAAAAAACTACAATTTACTGTTTTCTTTCTGAAGTTTATGTTTTTGATCATCTAAAACTTCAAATAACTTTACACCTTTGATAACATTAGGAGTTTAAGGTGAAAAATTATTCAAATCAAGGTAACCAAGTGAGTTGTGCAAAGAACTCGTCACCTTTACATCTCAGTGGGAGATTGCACTTTATCAAATTATTTAGGCATATTTTTATGGCATGTCTACCAAACACAAAACCTATCTGAAAATATTCCAATTCCAAATACTGAATAACCATATCAACAAGTATATTATCAAACTTTTGCCTATTTCAGATAGATCCCTTATAGTTCAATTATACTGATAAATTTATTTATGATATTCAAACAGAAATGGATTGTGATTCAAACGGTGACTATGGTAAGTCAATCGCATGCTTCATTTTTAACAATACAGACCAAACACCTATATACTCCGCACGTGATCTACCACGTAGCGAGGTAGGTTTGAAATAATTCTCTAAGTGAAATAACCCGATGAATTATATTAAATATAACATTGAAATTAAACTACACATTATTTAGATTGAAGAACGTTTACGATTCTATCAAATGGAAGTGGATAAAAAAGATGATTTAATACGGCAAATGACAAAGTGAGTACTTCATTGATTTCTTCTGATAATTTAAAAAAAATAATAACTGTCTTTGTAGATTAACTGCAAACACACCAGTGATTCAATTGTTTCATTCACCTGATGCACAACTGTCTTCACATGAGAAAATTGAAGAAATTAGAATGAAAGTTGAAAAACTTCAACAAACAGTAAGAAGAGTTGTTCACCTTTGCTATGTTTAGATTGCAGAAAATAAAGAAATAATACATGAAAAAAATATGATAATTAGTGAATTAAAAACAGAATGCGATGCTGTACGATTAGAGAATGTAGATCATTTAAAACGAATTGAAGAATTAGAAAATCTATCAGTGGAACAATCATATAAATTACATTCTTGTGAACAATCTGAAAATCAACGAGATTTAGTAATTCAATCATTACAAGAAGAATCAAAAATAAAAACAAATAAACTTTTAGATCTTCGTTATCAGTATAAGTAAGTAACCTGTCGTTTTTTTTATGATGAATGACGGATTAGTCATGAACTTCTCGACAACAGGAGTTCATCGAGAGAAAAGTATACTACGATAGCAGTGATGAATTCGGTGAGCGTGTTACAGTTATAATACATTGTTAGTTTAAGACAAAACGATAAGATAGTTGAGTATTAGTGGAAAATTAGTTAACAGGCTGTATAAAATACATATACCGTTAATTTCTGCATGCTATATTGTTTAGAGTGATAGTAACGGTTTAAATAACACTGTATCAAATAAGTATCTTTTATGTTACTCACAGATTAGTTGAGTCACTTATTCAACTTTAAAACTATTGAATTGATTTATTAAAGTTTTAAGAAGCATTAGTTAGAGATATTCATAGTTATATATTTCATAATTCGTGTAGAAACTGTTTTAATTCTCAATAAGTAATATAATTATAACTGATCATTAATTATCTATTTTCTTCAGGATGTTAGAAGAAAAATATGAAAGTAAAGTTCAAGATGAAAAGTCGGCCAAAAAAGAACTAGGAAAGTATTTGAAAGATTTAGCAACTTTGTTAGAATGTGAAGCAAAAGAGCAATCATGTATGCTTAAAGTAATGAACAACATTTCTGATATATTTGTTTGCGTTTAGCATTTTGTTTGTATTAAACCATAGTTTGGTGATTATATTGTTTTGTTTTTGAATGTTTTAACGTTAAAAGCACCAATATCATTGAAGACAGAACATTTGTTATAGGATAAAATAATAATGAATTTATGTGGATTTCGCCAAAGTTTATTTTATTTTCAATCTTTTTTCATACTACTAGCCCCCAGTGAAATCCAATAACATACATAACCTATCCTATGAAAATGTGAGCAATTTTGCGATTACTCATTATCCATTTAATAAGAAACCGTCTGTGCGATCTGATTTTCCCTGTACTTCGACCAGATGAATATACTAAATTTGTGCTTGTTGAATAATACACACGACCAAGTATGCTGATTCGTATTTTGTGATGAAATCATGCTAAGCCTACCCCTAACCACGTTCAAACTTATTGCTATACATTACACTTAATGTGAATAAACATACTTGTATTTATCAGTCACTCAGTCAGTTACAACGTAGAACTTCGTACGTGAGTACTGTTAGGGTATTCATCCAGTATCCTAGGAGAGTTATTTGTGAATCTAATTCTATTGGTCAATTCCTGTCTGTCGTCCTAACTGTCAATGTCACATACTTCAATGTTGTTTCCTATTCGACCTAACGGTATAAGTAGGCATTATCTGTAACGTTTAATGATCTGGACCCGAATTCCTAGTTAAGGTTCCTGACTGTCTTCTGGATGTTTGTAGAATACAGGTTCTACTTCATATCAACTCTCCTACTTTTACTCAATGGGGGTTTGGGACAATCGGATTAGAGTAGCCTGTCGTGTCACCGGATCCTAGCTCTCGTTTTCCGACTAAGGGAAACTCGTAATAGTTCAAACATACCAAATTACGTGTTTATGTACATGCGTAACAAATACATAAGTCCAGGTTGCCATGCCGCATCAGCACAGAGGCACAACAGTCAGTTCAAATCCCATAGTGGTAGAGACAGTAGAAGTATTAGCAGTAGTGGAGAAGATTAGGGTTAGAAGATATGATTCGAGAAGTATAATTCAGTAAGACAACTTTAGGAAGATCGAGATAGAGATGATGACGAACTCAGAAGACTCAAATCTGAGAGAACACAAAGAGCGTATTTATCAATAATTCATCTACATTCCAGTCTTACTATGTCATTAGAGAAATTATTGGTTGATAAGCAGTAATTTAATAAAGTGTTTTGAATAAATGTTTTTTCAGTTGTCAAACAAAGTATATCTTGATTTTTAAGAAAGAATCTTCATTATAATCTAGTGAAGAAACAAAGTCAGGTTACATTTTTTAATTTCCTTCTCCACTATTTTTTAGAAGGTCATTGATGGTTAGTTATAAACTATGAATGATAGCAAATTCAAAATCCCTATACCAAATCCTCATTTCTAATTGTGACTGTTCATCAGTTTTGATCTTTTTATAGTATTTTATAATTTATTGTAACAAACTGGATCACTAAATAATTTTAATGGGCAGTAGTTTCAAAATCACTAAAGCTATAAGTAGTTTTCAAACAAATTGTACATAATGTATGTTAATTTGTAAACATTCAATGTAACTTCATATGGATGAGATGCGGCCAGGACGCATGTTTCTTCTTGTATAGGACTCATCATACAGATGTACTTTCCACTTCTAGTCACTTTTCATGTGTTCTAAGATTAAATTATATAATAATTGATACATCAAGACAGCCACCCACAAAGGATCCGTAAATGTCAACCAAGACTGATCAAGTTCCAGTTAAAACACCAACAACAGGCTAATTCAAATCATGATAAATAAAAATTAAGCTCAACCGTCAAACTAACTTATTTACTGGGTAGGAATTTATGTGATTTTTAATGAAAAAACAAATCTACATATCTTTTCTCAATGAAATATGATTTTTAGGTAGCTACTTACAAAAAAAACAACTAATAGTATTACTATTGAAACCTTGACCTTTTAAGAATCAAGTGAATGTAACTTGTTTTATTTCTGACCTAAATTAATCTGATATTTCCCAAAAATTATTAAGTATACTGTAAATGCTTATAAACTTTTATGGAACACAGATTTAAATTGATTTCTTAGCGTTATCTTGTTTGTATGTTATTCTAAATAATGAACAGTTTTCTCTAATTTCAAGTTATACAGAGCAGATACCTAAGGGTTAACTCTTTTGGTGCAATTATTGAGTGGCAATTTTTAAACCCTGTTTCTGGCGCTCTGTTTTTGGAAAGATAAGTAGTATCGCTAGTCTTTAAAATGAGGAAATCACTGACGAGTATTTGTCTTATATCGGAGCATTTAGACGATGCCTAGCCATGTTAAGTGACTTCGAAATATGTGTCGCAAATACTATGATACATCCAATCCTCTTAGCCAAAATCTAGTAACTCAACTTTCACTGAGTTGGCGTTAATTATTTGTTAAATATACTGTAGATAAAATTCGACTTGAATATTATTTGAACAGAAACTGTTGGTAAACGTTTGTAATTTTTCCTTTGTCGATATTTAGTACTGCAACTGATAATCTCTGTTGCCATGTATGCATACCTAGAATTTTACCTGACTTAAGCCTTTGGTCATGTGCTCTCAGTACATTTAGTATGTGACTAACAATGGAATCAAAATTCTTGTTTGCTTCTAGTTCAGGTTCATCAGCTAGATATACCTACGTCTCAGTTTTTGATGTTCATATTGAAACTTGAAACCAGTATCTTTCAATTCAAACACCTAACTCGTTATCTACTTAGCTACCTTATTCAAATGGCTAGTAAATTGTTCTAAAGGAAGGAAAGTATTAGTGTAAGCATGAAGTCTATGATTATTCTTAAACTCATTCTTCTTGTGAGCATCTGCACTAGCGTGCAGGAACATCTTGCTGATAGTTTCCAAAACTAACACACGTTTAACCGAATAAATCAAGAGTTAAGTCATTAAAATCGAAATGAAATAACATACAGCACGGATTATTTATATGCCTTCAATGAACATGGAGTGAGTTTCTACTTACTGTTTGCTACTTATAGTCATTGGTTATAAAATACTGGTCAACTGCCTATACTTCACTAAGGATAACAGGCGTAAGTAAGTAAGTAAGTACTTGTAATCATTCTTTCAACTGATGGCAAGTTATTTTTTTTAAAAGCTATATCTTTTTGTAGGCAAGTTATTCACTATTGTACAGAAATGTGAATTAAATGCCATTATTCTGATTGCTCTATCCCAAAGATAAACATTTATTATTTAATTGAATTCATGTTTGAATCTATCATGCACCACCTGTAATTATTCTATTCATTGTATTTCACTTTTATTCATTTTCATTGCATATACACTTTTTTCCTCACAACTTCATTCTGATGAAATTACATACAGTTAACTGATATACTCAGATCGTTATGTGATTGTAAAGAACAAGTTAAACGACAAGGTGATACAATCGAAGCCTATGAATTTGAACAAAAAGCATCTAGAGAGACTATATCACGTTTATCTGGAGAAATTAACAAAGAACAAGAATTAAGACAAACTGCTGAAAACTGTGAAAGAGAAACTAGGAAGGTAAACAAGTGAAGTTTTTTTTTTAAAAGTTACATGTTTTTCAAAGTATTCACTTCATAATGATCAATATTCATCTACATTAAGATTCGTTAAAAAAAAATCATTACATTTACCAAACATTCTTCTCATTTGAAAACCCTGACTATTGTTCTTTTAAAATGAATACTTTTTAAGTACTAGTTAGTGTAAAATCTAAACCAAGATTTTTGTTTCAGTTTAGAAAACAAGATATTGTTGATCTAAGCCCATTTTAGTAGGTGAAGAATACTCAAAAAAGGATCCACGTGAATGTTAAAACCAGTGGTAGTGGTCAAACATTATGGATTATGTGGTTCGGAATGCTTCATGACAATTCAGGTGCACTTACTGCTTATCTTCTCGTTGATGTCAAGTTTCTTAATTACCTTGAAACAAATTTTTTTTAATTTAGCAATTACTTATTTTCTTCTAAATTAAATCTTTTATACTCAATCCTTTCTATTGACAGTAATACTATTAATAATTCTGATGTTGATGCACCACTAAAACAAGCTTTACTTTACCACTGCTCGATTAATTATACAATACGAGATATATGTTAAAAAGTTCAGGGGGAAATCAATGCCCTTCATTCTGATTTATAAACTTACAGACAGTAGCAAGTACATGGATGGAAGTGAGTGAGATATATCAGTATAGTTTACTGAGCACTTTGATGGAAACTTATATCTAATAAGTAAACGGTTATTTACAAGCACAATCACAAATCAACTCATGTTCAGTCAGCATACTATCGACAACTATCAAACATTCAAAAGCACTGACTAAAAACCAACACCAATATCACCTTATTTTGTAGAAGCAATTGTCACTAAGTATTTCCAAATTCAATTATTTTTGCGAAAGGGCATACCCTGATACATATCTCATTATTGTGGTGGTTATGATCGTATTCGGACAGTTTTATACTCTCACATAACCTTATTGATGTCTGCATGTCGATTCAGTCTCGGTTCTAATCTTGTTGACTAGTTGTGTAATAACTTTCTATCTTCATGAAGATTATAATCATCACCTAACCTCTTGTCACCTGAATGACTATATTTTTAGCACATAAACACATCAACAACTCCATCGGGAATCGAACCCAGGACCTCTGGTCCTACGAACGAATGCCTAACATCGGTGCCACAAAAATGGAATCCGTAGGTGTATGTATCTAACTTCAATGATAGTCTGACTAAGGCCAGACTCAGGTGATAACTATGAAATCTCAATATTCTTCACGAACCCACTGTACTAATGAAGCCACATGTCAATCATCACTGCGTTTATTTGTATACAGTATATTTTAGCTAATTTGTCACGATTTTCACTTGTGTTTTGAATATCTATCTCAGTTTCTTTAACTAGACCTTGTCAACCTTTTGTTCTAAATAATATTACTCTTTACTGTTTGTTGTAGTTGACAAGAAAGAATCCTTGAAACATAAATAATTCATTTCATTATGTAGATCTTATTATTTTTTGTTTATGTTCATACTTATTAGCTACTTTGTAATTGTCATTTTTCAGGAACTAGAACGAATTGAATCAGCTTATAAAAGATCGGAAAGTTGTGTTTATTTATTAGAAGAACGTGTAAATAGTTTAACAATATCACTTCAAGCTGCAAGAGATGATGCAATTGAACGTGGACGAAAACTTGACAGAATCAATGAAGTTCACGCAATGTTTCAAAGCAAGTGTGACGATGAAATCGCATCGAAACGTTCATGTATCATGGAATTGGAAAAATATGGTTGGAATTCTGATGATTTACAAGAAATCAAAAAATTTATGTAAGTACAATTACAGCGTAAAATAGAGTTGAAAAATTTTGTAATACTGCTATGTGTAACTATTCGAAATTCTATCGATCGATCAAATTTAGAATTTCCAATACAACCTCAAATACTGTTCTCAAATCTCCAATATATATCACAGAACACAATACCGTTAGAAGAAGTTGTTTATGCGGTCGAGTACAGAAGGAATAAGCTTTATAGATAATGCATATTTATACAGTTAGGTTGAATAGGAAACAACATTGAAGTATGTGACACTGACAGTTAGAACGACCATAATATTGACCAGTAGGAATTGACCAATAGAATTAGACTTTCAAAAATAATTCTCTTAAGATATTTGATGATGGAGAATTGATACTATCGATATTTTATTTAGACTCTTCAGCTTTAAATCGATATTTATTCCTTTGTAATCATCAATAATGTGACATTTGTGATTAAAATAGCCACCAATTAGCATTTGAATTTAGTAGATGAAAGTTCTGTGCGTGTGTGTGTGTGTGTAACATTGATCTCTGTTGGAATAGATAGGCTAGAGGCTAGCAATAGATTCATATTATTTGAGGTAAGAATTTCTAGCACTAACTCACTTCATTAAGCTAAGTATTGTAAACCTAGGAGTCTCAGAAAATCGTTTCAAGTAAGTGTTATCTGCACACTATTTTATACAGTCAGTTTTGTTTGTTATCTCCATATTGATCGCTTTGATCCATTGCCCTACTTTGTATACGACTCACAATATTCCAATCAAGCAGTAAATATTTTGCACAAAGCCAAATAGTCATTTATTTTTATCTATAAAAGTCTATCCATTCCAATATTAAGCATTATAAAATGATATTTTAAATACTTTTTTGTAGAGATGCAATGGTTTCTTGGCTTTCATTTCCCTTTCCATATGAATTATCATCTCTCTTCAATGCGATTTCACAAAGGATTGAAGAAATGGAAGAATCGCTAAGACGACATACACAGGTAAGTTATTAATTTTATTTCTATGCAGTACAAGAATAAAGTAGAAGCATTTATTTATTTTACTGAGTTTAAGATCTTTTATACATAAAAGTGTTGTCTTTTCGTTTTATGCCAATAACACTAGATTCATAACTTGGTTAAGATAGATGCTACCGCTGATTTGCTCACTCAAACAACTTGTCAGTGTTGTAAAATCTCAAACCTTCTCAATCGAAAGAATACTAATCCTCACAATTCAATTATGCTTCATTTAAATCTGTTTCAGTGATTATTCATGCAAATCATGGCTCCAGAGTAAAGTATGTACACCAAAAATTTAAAACCTTTCATAAACACCTTCTACAGATGCTTTGATTTAGTTCTTGCCACTATTGCAAATGTTTAAATGGAAAATAATCACGACCGTAAAATATAATACAATCCCTTCCAAGCTACAGTATACAGTAATTCTTTAGATCAGAAGTCGGATCAATTACCTTGGTATACAAAATCCATTCTATATATAATCAACGCCCCAAGTCAAGAATCTCTCGCAAAAAGGTCGACGCATTGTGGTACAAGTAAATCCAGTTGTTTTACATAAGAAAAGCTATACATAGTACAGCTTCCTATTATTAGTACTGTGTAATAGGTCAAAATACTTCTCTTACTTACTTACGCCTGTTGCTCCCAATGGAGCATAGGCCGCCCACCAGTTTTCTCCAGCCAACTCTGTCTTGGGCTTCCCTTTCCAGTTTTCGTTCATTCTTCTCATGTCTTTCTCTATTTCTCGGCGTAATGTGTTCCTTGGCCTTCCTGTTTTCCTTTTCCCTTGAGGGTTCCATGTGAGGGCTTGTCTTTTAGTAGTTCTCCAAGTTTTCACTTCATACAGTAGAACTGTCTTCACATTTGTATTGAAAATCCTGATTTTGGTGTTGATTGATATTTGTTTGGAGTTCCAGATATTTTTCAATTGTAGAAATGCAGTCCTTGCTTTGCTGATCCGCGCCCTCACATCTGCATCAGATCCACCTTGGTTGTCGATAATGCTGCCCAGATACTTCACATCTATCTGAAATTATGAAAATTTTATCAAGCAGCTATAATCCTTAAGTGTGAACAGAGTACTAAAACTAAACAAAAAGTTGAAGTGCATGTAACAACAGCAAACGCTACAAACCTCCGATTTACCATGCCGATTGTGTCATCAGAAATCTAGGTCATTCACATAGTCTGTTTTTGATTAATCAGTCAATCAAGTAGCAAACGGTTATCAAAGTTTCTGTAATTTGTGTTAGTAATTTACCATCAAATCAAATGATCATAGAACTGAAAAAATGGTGTATTTCTGTAAAACAATATATATATATATATATAAATTGACGTCTGTAATAATTATGAACACAATAAAGTATGTGCATAGACTTCATGCGAATATAACAGCGAATATAAATATTCAAGGTTACTTTCATTGTAGGCTCAAAATCAACTGAGAAATTGTTGGAAATACAACTCAATTCAATCAAGATCTTTTACTGGATCACACTGTGTATCCTCTATTTATTGAGCTGAGCACTTTCCTCACTTTTCAAGAAACTACTATGTAGATTCAGTGCTAATGAGTTTCCACTGTTATAGAGTATTAAACTAGACGTAAAACAGTCATCAACTGTTCTCTGGAATTTTGTTTTCGATTGACATCGGTTTCAGATAAAACTTACTGTCAACATGTACATGTTTATCCACCGATACATTAGTTTTATTCATTTTTTTTTAGACTATGAAGTCTGTCTACTAAAAACCCTGTAGACTTATAATATGAATTTTATTCACATACCAACAATTCTTGTATTCGCTGAAACATGACATTTGAAATCAACTAATCAGTATTTCTGTGTTTTTTATTTTATATTTTCCATCAAAGGTTAGTACGGACATAGACTTGGAATTAAATGATTTAAGAGCAGAACGATCAAATTACAATACAAATTTCGAAATGCTTAAAGAACGTGTTGCTTATTTGGAAGAACAAAGAGCCTCGGATGGAACATTAATTGATGATTTAAGAAATGAACGTGATCGAGTAAGTAGTTTAGTTTATCTGAGAAGTAAAAAGCACAGTCAAAAATATTTTGAATCATCCATACTAAATTACATTGGCCGTTAGATGTTTGTTTACAAAAACTAAGTGTATCTTTAATTCTAAAGTAGATATTTAGCTTTGATAAACTTTGATAATGCAGTTACAATTGTTCCAAACTAATTATAGTTTTTACACAAAGAATAAAAGAGTCAGATTAATGATTGTTAACAATTAGTCATGAAAGTTGATTGTTAAATTCATTTCATTTTGATAGAACACAATGAGAAGACATAAATGATCTGAAAAATGTGCTGTATTTAAGCTATACATTTGGAATAATCTGGTCATACATATTCACTTGTCAGGTCATTTTATGCAAGAATTTATAAAAAGTCAATTAAATAAAACTTCAAATAAACACAAGGTGGTAATTGTAAATGGAGCAGAGAGAAAATTAACATAGTTTAGAAACAATAAGTAAATGTCACATAACCCTAGGCCATAAAAAATGGCTTAAAAATTACCAAGGCAAATTCAAAGTTATAACAAGTTGTTTCTGTAAACATAAAGGGGGGTTTTTATTTATGAATAGCAAAGGCATCCATAAACCTCAAAATTCGTCATTCAACGTTTCCATACAATGTTTTCAGCAGTTTTTGTCCACTGCAATATAAGTGAGGTTTGGTAAAATGCCTTTTCAATAGGGCTCAATGGATTTGTACCACAGATACATTTAACGACGATGCAAAATTCTTAACTGAAGCATTGATTTCAAATGGCTATCCGCTAAAGTTCATCAATAGGTGTAGAGATCAGTTAAGACAAAAGCAAGTTTTTCATTCTGTTGAGAAGAAAAAGGTTTTATATCACTTTACCATTTAGAGGTAAAGCAAATAGTCTAATATTAAGACAGAGACTAAAAGCAGCCATAGACAAAACATATAACGCTGCTAAACTGATCATAATTGAAAAGACCAAGCCCATGATTTCACATATACCTAAACGTTGCTCGAATGATTACATCACATCCCATTGCATTTATCAATTTACATGTTTGTGTGGACACATACATAGGGAGGAGTAATCGGACTTTGCAATCAAGGGTTATGGAACATGTACCTAAGTGGCTTCAAAATCAGTTAACGTCAGATGAGCCGATTAACGTTGGAAATAGAAAACCGTGTTCATCGATCGCAAAACACAACTGGTAGGGCATAAGATTGACATCAAGACAGACTTCAAAACATCGTATAGAAATGTTGAAGGACGAATTTTGAGGTTCATGGAGGCCTTGGCTATTCGAAAATTAAACTCCCCCTAATGGGTGCAGAAACAATTTGTCGTAACCTTGAATTTACCTTGGTAATCTTTAAGCCTAGGGTAATGTCACAATTTTCCTACCCCTCCTTATTCTTTTCATATTACATTAATTTCCTCTCTCCTTTATTTACAATTATCACCTAATGTTTAGTTGAACATTTATTTATTTGACCTTTTATTCATCTTCATATAAAATGCCTTGACAAGTGAATATGTGTGACCAGATTGTTCGAAATGTGTATAGCGCAAATACGTCACATTTTTCAGACCAATTACGTCTTCTCATTGTGTTCTATCAAAATTTATAAAAGGGACTTAATTGTTTTAAATGTTTTGAAGGCTGTTTTATAAAACAGACTAATAGTTTTAAAATTCATTTCAGATTTTTAACAAATTATTTGTCACCATAGGATATAGAGATACATAACATTTTACTCTTCTAGTACCTAATTATAATACAGTCTAATTTTAGTGTCCATTGATTACATTAATTTTCGTTCGGCGGTGATTTACAACTATCGATTTCTATGATTTAAGTGCCATATAAAGCTTATTGTTCCAGACTATAGCTGACTGGTTGTGTTTTATAAATAATTATAATTTCTGCTTCTAATCAGACTGACTGGTTTTTTACAAATCAGGAAGCACTAGACAGATGTTTCTTCCCATTCTAGTACTTTTCGACAATGTACGTCGACGATCTCACTATGGATGATCAGCCAAGAACTGTCAAATAACACGTTGAGTTCTGAACTTGGAGACTGCTCGGTTGGCATCTTGTGGTTTGCATTTCGAAATATGGTGCTTGCTGGTTTTCAACAGTTATCTAAAATCATTCACTCCACGATAAAGCATAATATTCACAATCATCTATGCTAAAAAGCAGACAAAAAATCATTGAAAATACATTGAACTATCAATTCATACAACATGAATTTCGGAATAGTGATTAATTCAAAACATTTTATAACAAATTGAGTAAAATAGAACATTGATCGATTCATGGTTTCAAATAAAACTTAACAATCTTCACAACAACCCCGCAATGCAATTACATGTGCTCATTAGTGACTAGCTTGGTGACGAATCTTCTCCGAGTTCTAGTGGGAAGTCGTGACCAGTGAAGTTCAAACCTGTTCGGATGTATACAGTGTATGAGGTTGCGCAACTCCGTAAATTTGATGAAGTTAGACATTAACACCGTTAGATACTGGCTCAGTGGTCTAACGGTTAGGGCGTTCGCGCACAATACCGAAGGCCCTGGGTTCATGGTATCACATTTATTGCTTGACCTGAAATTCCTAAGCTATATTGTATGTGAAGCCGTCGTTGTGGCCTACCAAAAAGTTACAAATTAGTATATTCCATAAACCGGTTATTAAGTTACAAATTCTCCGATTGATGTGTTTATGATGTTAAACAGTGTGGTTTAGATTTTATTGTTTAAAATTTAACTTATTTTAGGTAATAAATTCATGAATAGTTCCAAGTCATTCAGGATTTAGTTGTTAATTTTTTTTCACTAACATTGAAAATTATGAGGTTTTTAGTACTTCATGACTGTATTATCGTTATTTGTTTCTAGTTGCACTTCCACTTATGTAAATTGGCTCAAATTCTCAAAATTGATGAACCTGTCGCTGAAATGGGTGCAGATGTATTAGGAGATATACTTTCAAGTAAATCAAAACTTTTTTTGAATTTATCGTATTACCTATAAGTTAAATTCATTTATTTAAAACACTGGCTACACTTTTCTTGTTCTATACTATAAAGTTTCACTAGAATCGCAAAGTTTTTCGTTTCATTCACGCAAATTTTTATTTCTAACTAGCTTCAACAGATGTAAAACTCAATTTAAATGTCCTTTGTCAATTATTCTTCTAAGGATTATGATATTCAATTCCTTAGAATTATGTATAGAATTCTTTATACTTTTAGATCATAGTTCATGAAAATTTCAACAATAAAACAAATTTATTTTAGTAGAGAGAATTTTCAGTAATTACTTTTAAGTTAAATCAATCTAACTGATAGTACTAATTAGCAATTTGAATGTGCACCAAATGACTAGACATGAAAATCTTAGGATAAATAGAAAATAATAGTAATGTGTAATCATCAAAAGATGTTGTATTTTAACTAGTTTAATTACATAAATTACTATTAAAAATATCTAAGAAGATGATGATTAGTTCAATGCATCAGAAGTAAAATGGAACGAACTAAGAAAATCTATACAAGATTATATAGTTATAAAGACTATAATTAACCAAATTTCTTCATATCTAATGCATGTTAATGTTGGGGACGTTAGATCCCCAGAACTCGCTTGATAAATGTCTTTAGTTTGGATTTTATTCATGTGCTGACCAGTTGACTTTGAGATCACATTTCCCACCAGGAAAAGCCTTGGCTGTGATTGGTTACTGTGTCATTTTAGTGCGCTATTTTGTGACTCTTCCAAGGACGTCTCTGTGATGTATAAATAAACGTGATTTGTGTGCTTGAAATCATTGTGTGCTGGTTGGGTGTTTGTAGAATACACTTTCGACGCTACATCAAGACTTTTCGTTAGTTTGTTTTGGGTCAACGGATCAGAGTAGCCTACCCGGACGCTGGTTCATTGTCTCGTTCTCGTTTATCGACTAAGGTGAACCCGTAATAGTTTTAAGCATAACTAGTGACGAGGATAACAGTTAAAAGTTTTAGATCAGATAGAATGAATGATGGATTAAAGATACATATTTTTCATTAAAGACAAACGTAAACAAAATGTGGTTCATTAAAATGTATATTCTTGCCTTTGTCTTTTGAAATGACATGTATTTTAAGATAACAAGTTATATTCAAGGATGTATACAGTTACACTATTACTTTTTAATTAACGTGGACACGTATTTGAATACAGAGGACTTGCTAGACTCTGACTAAATTAACATAAAACGTTGGCTTATAGAGTTGAAGTTGCTTAAGGAGTAACTTTTCAGTAAGATACACCATTTTTTCAGGTTTATTGTCATTTGATTTGTTGGAAGATTATTAGCAAATTACGGAAACTACAAAAACAGTTGTAGAACATTGGTAGCCTCAGATCAATGCTTTTGGTGGTATTGAGCTTTCTATACGTTCATTGTTATTATGAACGACATGATGTTATTTTCCGGACTGTCAAATAAACCACACAGTTCAGAAAATTCAACAACAGCTAAACAATGAGACTGTCTAGACGTCCTGATTGGTTTCGTTTCAAGAGAGATTTCCTTTAATATTAACCGTTTTAAGTATTACATTGTAATTGAAAGCAGAATATAGATATTCAAGTTATTCCCTCTTATTACTAAACTCAACTATTTTGACTTGTGTCTGCCTACTTCGGCTAAGATGAATTTTAGAGGATGACTGTTTCCATACAAATATTCCTAAATAAAATAACTTCTTAGATATTTTCCAGAACATACTATTTGGACATATGTTCAATATTGCACCGACCTATCCGGCGTCTATTTCAGTGATTATAATCAAATTTTCAAAAATCTCACTTTAAATATTCTTCTCAGTTTTAAATCGGCTCGTAAAGATTAACACTATGAAGTAAACTGCATGAAATTTCCATTCCTTTTATGTTCCACTGCTAATTCTACAATGACAAATCTTTAGGTGATGTCAAATAAAAAAGAATATTACGAATTCAAGGTTAAAGATAAAAAGAAAATAGTTGACAAAAAAGATTTAAGTAATTTTTACATCAAGTCATTAAAAAAGTATTCTTGCATATTGTTCATCTTTCACAGTAATTAATTTCTGATCATTGTCTAATCTTACCTTAGTATTCACTGTGCTGAAGTTCAACTCAAATCGATAATCAAAGTGTTCTAAATCACCGGTGCTGCGTCTTTATCCGATTTTACACATTTCGTTAATATTTCCCAATTTTTAACTGCTACCATGTTGTGGTGAAATAATAATTATAAAATAGCTGATTTCCTACTTTTGTATATCAAAATATCAATTAAATTTGTTGGTACTGACGCAGTATATCTGGCTAAAACTTAGTTTTCCGCACACATTAATTTCATGGTTAATCATGATTGTCTTAAAATAAAGGTTACGATTAATTATTCACTGGGTAAATAAATGAAGAATAGTGATTTTAATTAATGTAGATAGTGAGTTCATTGTTATTTTTGGATTTGTTTTAATTAGACAATTTATAATATGTCATAACTTTCAGTTCGTCTCACACAGTTGCAACAAGGTGAAACAGAAAAGCAAGCAAATCAACGTATACAAATTTCTCGGTTACAACGTGAACTACGTGAAACAAAAGATCGTGCAGAATCACTTGATTTACAAATTGGAGTGATGCGACATCGTTTAATCGATGCTCAGGAGAATAGACATCACACTGTCTTGCCAGCAAGTAATACACCTATGACATTAGCTACATCGGAAAAGGAAAGAAGGAAATTATTAAAAAAATTAGAAAATGGTAAAGAATTAGAGAATAATCTACGTCAAGAAGTAGTTATGTTAAAAGCTAGATTACTTGAATCTAGTCAGAGTAAAGTGAGTAATTGATTGAAGTGACGTTTACAGATTTTCTGTAAATCTTAAAGTTGATTTCGATCAAAAACTGGCCTTAGTTAAATAAACATTTTAAGATGAACAACACACAACAGTAAGGACCTTTTTAAAGTGATTTAAATGCATGATAATCCTGACTAGTGACCAGTGCTGAAATTCTTAATGATAACTTGAAACTATGTCATAGGGTGAAACAAAAGCTTATCAACATTATCATCTATAGATTGCCTTTACATCACAAATTTATCCAGATTGATAATATTGATCATTTGATGAAGAGTTAGTGTTTTAAAGACACCTTGTTGACTAGGCGCTCTAATTTCACTAGAATTAATCGTTTATAAGTGAACTCATTATCAAATTGTAGAAGTAATCTATGCTCAGTCTGTCCGATTTTCGATAAATTTACAATAAAGTCAATATGAGGTTGCAGAGATTGTAGTTTCATTAAGATTATGGACTGGAAAAGTGGAAGCATTGAATGGCCCTCTGAACAAAGTTATAGAGATGCTCTATTGGTCTCATCGTAGTAAGAAAAGGCTGTACCATGATGTTTCAGTAGTTGTCTAGTTGAAGTTTAATTGAGTTATAAACTATTATGAATTATGTGTTAAGTTGATAAAGTATAGTTAAACTTGGTAAATAAGTTTTTTAATAACACATTCAATGATGACCCAATATAAATCGATAAATGAGTAAATTACATATTAAACTATCTCAATTAATCTCTCCTATTATCATTAATAATCTGTTTGATTTTATTACTTTTTAAGCACTGTTTGATCTAAACAAGTAATTAATAGTCATGAGGATAATATTTTCATAGCATTTTCCAGAGTTCTGAACATGAATACTTAATAACTTCTGAATAAAATTAAAGTTTATTTCATCTCTGTAAACTAAACCATGACTATAATAGATCGTAAGTAATAAGTCTACATAGATTGGTTCTAAAAAAATCTCTCCAATATCCTTTAGTTGCTGACGTAATTACTTCATGGTATTACGTATGTTGTGCCTTTCTAAGGAGTATTAACAACTGTATGTTTGACACTTGCACGTATACATTAAGCCATTTGATATTGATTTCTATGTCTACTTTATCTCAAAACACTTCGTCGTATAGTTTTATATTTGACAAGCGTTAAAAAATGAATATGAAAGCAAATATACTTAGAATACAGTTCCTATATGAAATTGTGTATTTTCTGTGTTCTACGAAGGTGTGTTCTACTTGATTAAGATGTACTGGTTTATTCAAAAATAACCTATCACTCAGTAATCTGACTATTTTAATTTTTGTCTGAAATTTACGACTATTTCAATAACTGATTACATACGTTGTGGTTTCAACGAAAGTTGACTCACGTATAAACTACTGGAAACATGTTTCTATCATATCCATCAAGAATAAGGTATTTTGTTCAGTTGTAGTATATCAAGCAGTAAAGTACTAGATTCTGTTCATCAAACAAACTGGACTTGATAGCTAATAGGGTGTTTTTAAAATAAACCTGAGATTTATTCTGCCTTAAAGTTTATTTTTGCAATTGTTTGACTTGTGAAGTATTTAACTGTCAAATAATGCAATTTTCATAACTTTTAGAAATCAGTTAATAAATTTTAAAAAATAACTGAAAAGTACTGGATAAGTATTTTAATTTTTCCCGTAAATTTGACTGAAAGCAAAATCAAATCTTAAATATCTAGTATTTAAAATATTCAGCTGATACATTGTTATTATATGATGTAAATTTGTGTAAGTCAGTGAATTCATAGTCTACTTCAACTGTCATTCTATTTTTTTGCTTTAGTGACAATGATCAAGTTTACATTGTATAAATAAATTTCCAGCAAGAAACTCAACGTATCTGGAAGTGCATTATTAATTAGTAAAATCAGATAGTATTATGCAATTTACTGTGCATTTTAAACAGTTGTTTATGTTGCAACACAATGTTATTTTTGTTATAGTGTTGTTGAGATTTGTGAATTTCATCCAAATCCCAAACCGATCTAAGTTAGACAACCATTGAAAACCTAGGAGTGCTGGACGGCCGCTTTGTCCTTGTACTGGATTCCTCAGCAGTGAAAGTTCAGCACTGGTCACTCGGGGATCAGACCCAGGACATTCTGACCAGCAAGCGAACGCTCAACCAATAAACGACCAGTCCAGGATCCATGTTTAACTTTAGTAAGTTCACGGTATTGCATGGATGGATACTTGCCCCATACTCAACAGGATTTAACTGTGACCAGTGGACCATAGTGGGACAAACAAGGGCCACTTAATGCTTCCAGGTTTCTAGTGGTTGTCTAACTTTGGTCAGGTTGTATTATCAACAAATCTTAGTACTGTTCATTTCTGAACCTTGGTCTATTTTTAGCTTGCCCAAATGAGTGTATCCAAAGCTTTACGAGCTGCTCAGAATAAAATCGATGAATTAGGCTCAATATGTGAAAATCGTGACAATGAACTTAAAAAATTAACCACAGAATTACATGAATCCAAGAAGAATTCAAATATTGAATTAGAAAATCAAAATGAAGAATTATTAAAATTAAGACAAGAGATAAAACACTTACAAAACTCATTGGACAATAGTCAAAAATCTGAAGAACATGTAAGTTGTTTTCAATGAACGAATGGGAATGAATAATTTGTGCAATTTATGTGAAAGAATTAATTTTATAAGGTAACCCCAGGATCCTGAATACATAATTTAGTACATACTCAAGATCTTAAGAAGGCTTAATGAAGAGTGTTGTTTCAAAAAACACTTTATTAAACAAAAAACTTTATATATAGGTAATTTTTTTCTGGTTAGCGTTTTAAAAAGATGAGAATGCTGATCGGTGGCCTATACTCCATTAAGAAGAACAAGCGTAAGTTAGTAAGGAAGTAATTCAATTAGTTATTTCACATTTAATCAGAATAACTTTCAAGCAGTTTTTTCATATTTCTATCAGTTGTTCAATTTATGCATTAATTTAACTTTTATTCAGCTTTTAGAATTCCGTAAACTTGTGGCAATCTATCTTGGATTAGATGACGAACGATTAACTGTGCCAGATTATGAAATATTAACTCATTTAGATCGTTTAGTCTCAGCTAATCAATCTCATGTTGCAAATGCTGTGGCTACAGAAAGAGCATTAGATTTAGTAACTGGTAATGTCAGACCTAGTAAGTAAAATAATATAAAATAATATAAAACAATTTTTATATTCGTCCATAACTATTAGTTGAACATATTGTCAGTACTTTGATATATATGTATATATATATATATATATATATATATATATATATATATATATATATATATATATATATATATATAAAATACTTAATGATTAGCACACAATGGAATATTTTCAAGTTCATTGATAAACCAATCTACAACTGTTTCAAAATGTGCTACAGACGATAATTATTCAGTTAGAATTGTTTCTTTCTCACATATAATAAAATATCACTTGTCACTAAGTATTTCCAACTTCAATTATGTTTGCGAAAGGGAATTTTCTGATATACGTCTCATCATTTTGGTGGTTATGATCGTATTCGGACAGATTTCTACTCTCACATAACCTTATTGATGTCTGCATGTCGATTCAGTCTCAGTTCTAATCTTGTTGACTAGTTGTGTAATCACTGATTATTTCGAACACGGTTGTGTAATCCCTTTCTATCTTCATGATGATTATAATCATCACCTAACCTCTTGTCACCTGAATGACTATATATGAATATATAAACGCGTCAACCCAGGACCTCTAGTCCTACGAACGACTGCCTAACATCCATTTCACAGAACCAGAATCCATAGGTGTACGTATCCAACTTCAATAATAGTCTGACTAAGACCAGACTCAGATGTAGACTATGAAATTTCAATAATCTTCACGAACTCGCTGTACTAATGAATCCACACGTCAGTCTTAACATCGTTAATTGTGTATAGTATGTCTTACCTCATTTGTTACGATTTTCGCTTGTGTTTCGAATATCCATCTCAGTTTCATTATCTAGAATTTGTCAACCCTTTGTTTTAAATAATAATGAAATAGTTCATTTCCTTCCGTAAATTTCATTGCTTTTTCTTTGTTGAAATTTCTACTTATATTGAGATTGTATAAATATTTCGATCATTTAAAATTCAAATTTTCTTTAGTTTTGAAGTCAGTCATGATTATAGTTTCAATTTGTTATTTAACAATTAACTTTCCTGTTTTATATTTAAGATATTCCGAATCATTATTGCCGGTGACAAAAGTAAGAACTAGGCGTCGGGTAATAACCCATCGCCTCTAAGAATGAATCGTCGGAACAATTTGTTTATATACTGTCGAAAGGTTTGCAAGTGTACATGAAATATAATTTAGTACTTTATAAAAAGATTTTCTCGTTTTTAAATTTTAAGATCAGTGGGTTGAAAGGTCTCATCCAAGTATCAAAATAAATCTTTGTTATGATTCATTTTTCGTGGCTGTTTGAATCTTCCTGCTGACTATCTCACAGGTAGTCATGTTAAACATGAAGTGCAGGTCATGGTACATATTATTAGGTAGATTGTTAGAGCGTTCAATGTCAATTCATATAATATCTTCAACATCAACTCAAAGCACAAACTGGCTTCTTGAGTTTCGAAGCTACATTTAAATTTCCCAAACGCTACACGGTTAAACGCTTAATGTTTTTGGACTGAGCCTAAAATGTTGTCAACTTTGAAGTACTGTGATCCATGAAATGGAAAAATACGTAATGAAAATATTTAAACACAGCGCAACCTGATTTTTCATAACCGTATGGAAACAGTAGCCTTTCTACTTTAAAAACTTATAAACGCATTTACTCGAACACGCAGGACGACTTTGAACTGTTATTCTAATATGTTTACTTTCGTATGTCCTGAAAGCGTTCGGTTAGTAAGTAACACTATCTGAGGAAAACTAGCATCGCGTGATGGAAAGGCGTTAAGTCGGTGATCATCTAATACTGTGATGTTTTCCAATGATAAACCTAACATAGTCTTATTCGAACTACTAAATAGGTTAATAATCCAAACACCATATGATCTTCCATATATACCCCTAACGTTTTAACCTAGTCAATGAGATTACATGCGAGTGTTCTAAAAGTGCTTGGCTAGAGAGACTTTCGACAAGTGAACCACATAAACCTGTTTTTTTGTATGTACTATACTTATTCGTCTGACTTGTGTCTATCTTCATGTCCACATTGTTCATTCTGTCTTATGAACAAAATAATTATTTGTCATGAGTAATATCTTGAGTCAAGTTTAAGTTTCACCGTTCTTTCTCTTATTTTTTTTTGTCTCTAAAACAGCTTCAACAAGCATATACATCCAAACTAATCATGTTTGACTCTTGATTTCTACATTCTCTGAATGTGATTTGTCGACAGAGCATCTATGAAGTGAAACTACCACTTCCAAACGTGTTGTTTCTGAAAACGTTGCTGGCACTAAGTGAAGTCGCTTGTTGAAATACTTAGAGTTAAGGTTGCAATCTGAAGTCTGTGTAAGGCTTCACTCTTGCGAAATCTGTATTCATTTTTTGAGACTTGTATACTTACCCTTCCTCTTCAACAGTCTAAAATTGATCCAAAGTCCTTCAAGTACTATTCTTTCTAGTGACATTTCTACTACAACCACTCCAAATTTGTAGTGACCACTAATCGCTGCCTTAACTAAGAGGATTATTTAAGTCTCAAATCCCTATATATAGCAGAAAGCCCTTGAAAAATATAATACTATAAAAGATATCTTACACTAACTTGAACGCTGCTGAAAGCGCAACTCAAACATAGAATGCTTAGTATCTCAATATGCACAAAGAACCACATTACTACACAGAATTGCGTGTTGACTAACGCTGTAGGAAAGGATGACTTCAAACTGGGGGCAAAGAAGCGTCATCCTGTGAGAGAAAACAGAACGCAGGCGTTTGTTTCTCGTGATTATCACTAATAAGAACTAGTGGCATAGCATTCAAATGTCACTTCTCTGGTAGCTGTCCTCACTGCTGCTGTGAAGTTGCAGTACTTAAGCAACGCTGTGTGCTGATCTGAAGTCAACTGAACACGTTGTTTTGGTATGTTTACGCAGTGTTGTAAGATTAAGACGACCCATTCAGAGGAAATAAGACATCACTCTTGTTGTGCATTGAAAACAACCAAGGACAGGTCTGTGGGATCTATTTCAAAGGTGAATCGCAGTGCCATCATTTCGAACTCGTCCAAGAAATAACCATCCGCTCCATAAACCTCACTTATTGATAGTGAAAAGAGGTAGTAGGAACTCTTAGAGGGAGTAATAACAGTGGCACAAAAATTTACTGCGCAGAAATGTGAGCATATATAGCTTGTTTGCGATTCTTTTATCTCCTTCTATGTACCAGTGATAGAGGGTAGCATAATAGTTAGCCATATAGCTTCCCTCAAACAGTAGTCTGTTGACTACCCTATCCTGATTGCGTAAGATTTAATTTCTGCAGACTCATAAATTCAAGATCAAAAGGCCGAATTACGTAAAGATTGATCGTGTGCTGAGCGATCAGTTTAATTGATTCACTACCACAGACCAACTTCGTTGATTACGAGAAATTATATGGCAGAGCGCTATGGATGTCACAGTTGCGGCTCTTTTGACATTGTCGTGTACCACAAAAGGTAGTCAACATCATATGGATTTAGAAAGAAGTACATCACTGAAAAATTCTGTATGGTAGGCAGCTGAAAGGACCATTCTAATTGAAGGTCACTTTAAAGCAAGGTTACTTACTCTCTCGCTTTAAATTTTTCTGGTGGTCGACTGGAAGATCAAGCCTCAGAACCTCAGTGAGAAGCGCGGAAGCTCAGATGCAGGTAGACAATTTGGACTTCTCAGATGATTTAGCCTTTCGATCCCTTACACAACAAATGAATTATAAGTTGGGAAGTGTAGTAGCATATTCTGCAGCAAACAGCCTCAATATACAAAAAGGGAAAAGTAAGATCCTCTTATAAAACACGAAATGCATTAGTGAAGTCAGATTCGATAGAGAAGTGTCAGAAAATATGGAAAACAGCAAATACCTTTACATCAACATTGATCAACACAGTGGATTCGTTGCCGACGTATGTGCACCTATCAGCTAGTTAAGGTCATTATTTCTACAATTTGAGAACGTGTGAAGCTCAAAACAACTGCTTGTCGCCCAACATCAAAGTTATAATTTTCAATACCAATGTCAATGTAGTTTTGATGTATGCAATGGAAACTTGTAGAACTACGAAAAATATTGCCCAAAAGATACAGGTGTTTCCTAACAGTTGTCTGTGTAACAAACTGCAGATCGGTTTACCAGTACAACCAGCAACAACACGATGTTGGAGAGAACAAACTAGATTCCAGCAAAGGTAGAAATCAAGAGGAAGTGCTAGAACTGGATATGACACACTAATCGGGAATCACCCGACTGTATCAAGAAGCAAGCCCTGAACTGGAACTTCTAATGTGAAAGAGAATGAGGTAGACCAAGGAATAAATTGCGCCAAAGATTGAAGGCAGACATGAAAATATTGAGCGGCTCTCGGGTAGAACTGAAAAGTAGAGCTCAGGGAAAAAATAAACTACAATATGTCGACTTTTAATTTTCGCAGTGGCGAAGTATGTTTTGATGGTACTTGTTCTTTGCGAAAACAAGCTTTTAACATGAAAAACGGAAAAATCATTTTTCATACTGTAGGTTTTGATTGCCTCTATTCTATTGACAGTATAACTTTGATCTGTTAGTCACCCTTACCTCTGTAAGCCCATCTGCACTGAGGCAAACGCGTTCACCCAGACAACAAAATATCCAAACCCACAAATAACCACCAAAATGATGGGAACTTGTACAATAAATGGCAAAACTTTAACCCTCTATACACTGAGGAAAACGTAGAAGTAAGATGGAATCTTAAGCTCAAAGATCGGAGAAACATATCGGTCCACTTGAATTTGTCACACAGATATTGAACTTCGGGAAAGCACCTTTTTCGCTGGCAGATTTCCTTTCGTTTATTTATTAGAATGCAACTGATCTCATCAGTAAGGTCAATCGATGTGTTCCATGGACAACAAAAACGGAAACTCGAATTGCGTTAGTGAAAAACAAAGATTATTGCTTACCATTTTTTATTCACTACAGTACAGAATGTACGACGAACATAGAGAAGAGTGTGCCAGTTTCAAACACTTCTATTGTCTGAAATATCTTCATCAAATGAGGCAAGTTACACATGTTTCCAGTCTCAATAATTGTGTGTGGTCATTTTCATCCATACTTTTTTATTGCCCAAGGATACTAATCAACCTATGGCTTACCGAGGAATAGTCAGGCTGTGATTCGCATTTAAAAAAACGAGAAAATAGCTTGTGATAATCAAAATGTATTTGGTGGTTCTCACAGATCAACAGACTCTGTACGCATCAGAAAACGTGACTATCATGACACCCCTACACACACAACCGAACTCAAGTACTTCAGTTTCCGACCAACCACTTCCAACAGAGCCATTCTAATAGCTTTTCTTCCTAAAAGAATGAAAATATAAATGGTTAATTACCGTTACGATTCAAGTTCATGCACTTTTGTCACCACTTATCTTGCTTGCGAACACTTCATAATATGATACAACCCACTAAGTTTCCAAAGCCTAAATTAGGACAGAGGATTCACAACTTGGGTAAAAGCATAATATGCCAGCGGTCCTACGTGAACCGATCAGAATTAGGATAATGTCTCATATATTTACCTCGATCTATAAGGCACCACGATAACCCAGATGGAAGTGATAACAATAAAAGTCTGTACAAGTATGCCGTACCATGTTTGTTGTTGCGCAGCACACTAACTAAGATTAAAAACAAACTGAAAGCTTAGGCATCAGTTGTGAAGTCTTCTTAACTAATGCTTCATTTTCATGCCAATTCATTTGCAAATGTGGAAAGACAAGAGTACCAGGTTGTCTTGTTCATAAGTTAGAATTATAGCTCTCATGTCTTTTCGTGAATAGCACATCACATATCTCTTTATATCTGATATATTTTCTATTATGTAAGTAAATTTCTCACTTAATAAGTAATAACTTCCTTTTTTTCCACTGCAATCATAAGTGAATATCTACGTCCACAGTTATCTGTTTCAAGAAGCCAATATAATGAGTGTCTGCATTGATAGTGATAACTTGTTGCCCTACTTTTACTTGCTGATGTAGTATGAAAAATCATAGCATATTACTTCAGAATATTTTCGGTAAATCTCAACTTGTTTTCTCATCATTAAACTCTCAAGTCACACATATAATTGAATTATGCCCATCATCTGACCCTCACAACTGCCCAAGGTACTGCAAATACGGAATGACCGCTACTAAGTAGGCAGTCAAAGGTCGTTGTAATTGAAAAGCGCCAGGTTTAACTGTGGACTTGCTCGTGCCCAACGCGGCGAATAAGTAAGGCTAGGCATTATCGCGCACATGTGGTATGTTTCCAGGTATTTACGAAACCCTTATGTCGTAGTTCTGGCCAGCTCTCTGGCTTTTTAGACGTTAATTTCTGAATATTTATGCTTGTTTATAACTTGTCATCAAGAAAATTACTGGTATTTTACTGTTTGATGCTGTAAATATAATGTTAAACAAGTCAGCGGATAAGTATTATCAAATTTTTGTTGACCAAAAAGCACTAAAGAATTCTTAGGTATGATTTTCTGAAGAGTGACGCAAAAAATCGTGGAGTCTGATAAATGACGATTCATGTTATCACATATCACTCACAGACGTCTTTTCTCTTTAGAAAGGGTCGCTATCGAAATCAACTTACTGACTGAAACATACAGATGTCCAACCGCGCCTAATCCTAAAAATCGGTGTGATGTATATATGGACAAAGATTTGTTATTGGCACTATGACCGACGCTTATGCGGCCACATTTAGAAGCGGACATTAAAACCAGATCAACCAAAAAGATTAAATGTCTTGCTGACCTACCCAATGAAGATAAACTGAAACGCCGCGACCTATTTTAGTTAGGTTTCGAGATGATTTGATGCCGGCTTACCGTATATGAAACGAAGATCTTGGTATTAATATACCTTATCTCATAGTCACACTTAGGTCTGATGATCTGAGAGGAAATTTTAAGGATGTTTAAACCGAGATCAAATCATATGCTTCTTGAGTTCCGTTTCTCTTATCGAGTAGTGAATTAATGAACTTCTCTTTCATAACAAGTAATATCAGACCATTTCGTTTATACACAAGGCATGATTGAATCATCATAGTACAACAATTGGAAAAAATAATAAAGGTTGACTAACCTTCCATCCTTGCTACTAAAGATTAAAAACACCGTGGATATACACAAATAGCTGTTGCTATCAGAAGCAGAAAAAAACCCTCTTGTAGTAGAAAAAAAGCAATCAAAAACAACTAAAAATAATGCGTGAAGTTAAATCATTATAATGTCAGATTTCTGATAATCGAAGCTCAAAGTTAGTAGCCTAGGGATCCGTATTTGCCGAAATCCGAGACTCACTGTCTTCTATTTGATTGGTTAGTCCTTAAATTGAATCATCACTTCAAAAGTACTATAAAGTGATTCTTAAATAACGCACCTAAATGCGTTTGTCCTTAAGGGTTTCCTGTACTGGCATATATGACGGACAACGGAAACGCATCGATTTGATCCATTCACTTTATGAGTGATTTTTGTAATAGTAATATTGCATACTGAGCAGAAATTTGGGGTAAATACCAATATATTACTGATTCATTTAGGTTCGTAGTTTGCTGTAGTATTGATTACAGATGTTTAGCATAATCTAGGAATCGAGACATTACAGTAGTTCTTCAGTTACTTATTGTTTCTTCTTGTAAGATAAGGTCACTATCCACCCAAAAATGTTTGTTAGAATACAATTTAACGTGTTCCCGAAAGCTTTTTCCCTCATTGGTTTTTATGTTTGTTCGATTTTTACTAAACGCCATTTATCACGTTGATTGCAGGTTGCACTATGGCTGAAAGTTTGAACATTGATTTCGTTCCACCGAAGTTATATGTACCATGCACTGAACGAATTTCCGGTATTTATAACCTTACCTCCCAACGAATTCTTTAGCTTACTCCAAAAATCAAGTTTCCTGTCTGGGGAAGTTGCGAAGAACTTGGAGTTATCGGAATAAAGATATACTTATATGCCATATGACATACATTCGATTCAGAAATCAATTGCGCAAATTCCTTTTTTTCAAGTCGTTCTCTTCTGTAGATTTCGTGTAAGGTTGTTGATTTTTTACAGGTTCGACGCAGTCTAGCGCAACTTTGTGACGGTCCTATCCTAAATGGGATTTCAAATTTTTGTACTATGTCCTTAAAATGTAAAAATGAACATTGTGTGAGTGGACATACTTTGGACCACACACTAGTTTGCTTGATTCAATTGTATAAAAAAACAGAAATATTGCTAACCCGCTTAAATTCCTGCTGGAGGTACTTTGAACTGAATATATGTATTAAAATTGTATAGATCATGTGAAGCACAGTTTACCACCGGACACTTTACCAAAGTCCTCTTATTAATAATGTCAGTTCTTGCAAGTTTAAGGTGAGTTAAAACATAGTTTCAACATGAATAGAGTCCATTCCCTGAATTCACTCGATGAAGTTAACTGCTGTTATGGTAACCTCTTTGCAGTTCGAAGCTCTCTAACAGACATAAAGACTTGGGTAGATTCCCTAACTATCTCACCGATATCTTAGCTACCTTCTGATGTTACTTTACCGTCTTCATTAAATCATCAAAAAGAATCACCAGTAACAAATAAAGAAAATAGTGAAATGTATTGTTTTCAGAACTACTTTTTATGTCAATGCACTTTAGTTTAGATTCTGATGAAGTTCAAGCTAAAGATATTCTGAAGCTTTCAACTGCAAAAGAAGCTCCCAATAATTCTGACTTTCATAAAGCCAGCATATTTAACAAACCTGCAGCCAAGAATGTAAGTTATAACATTATCTAATTTAATTATTCAGAACAAGAAAATCAAAAGACTTAATGCGGATACTCAGCGTTCACTGTAAGTTACTAAATATAATGAATTAACTTTTCTAGAGCTGCAATACTTCCACGTGCTACTCCAAATAAACAAGATGATCTTCTTTCCGTACTTCTTAGTCACAAATAGTATGCTGCTTGAGATTATTGTACAGTTCCATAATCGAATATTTACCTATTTGTATTATTTTTATTGTAAATATGTAAATTTCGGGTGTATCGATAATAAATTTCTCTAAATTTATTGTTTTTATTTTGGTAAGAATTAAGGATACTTTTATAAGCCCTCCTAGGTTTAGGTTTGTTACATCTAATCACATATCCTCATAGTAGAGCAATAAATAAATTTAGTATTTAGCTCTGTCTTCCTACTACCAACCTGTAAATATCCAAGGCGACTGTATTTCTTTAGTGAATATGAACCAGGTATTTTTTAGTGACCATAAGTAAGCCATCACGTGCACTTTACCACAAACCAGATTTTATATAGCAATTAACTAGTTTCTAAAGTGCTCATTCAGTCAAATAATCTGAGACAACATACATCGACCCACAATTCACTCCAGCACAATACGAGGAAGGGTTGATAAGATGAAAAGTGAAGGATAAAAATATAAAGTCGATTGCAGTAAAGTGCATCTTGTAAGGAATAAATGGAATTTAACTATAGGAAATCTAGAAATAAAAACAACAGCAGAATAAATTTTTTTTTAAATTATATACATACAGCTGGTACCGCTTGGTGTCTCCGTCGACTTGTTACGTCCATTTCGCACATCGAATTCGGAAGACTACATCCAACAAGATTGGAACTGGAAGTCAATGACTTCACAGACTGACAATGTATCTTTTTTCCGGTGCCCACAGTCTTCACACATACTGGCCAACATGGTGCATCGAGTTAGTCGGTGGCTCAGCCCGAGTAGCGTTTACATTACTACAGTCGATGAATACTAGAAGTCTTACCGATTCCTCGTCTTTCAACTGAGCATTATTAACTTAGTGGTCCTACCATATGCCACCCTTTTCTCAGAAACATCTGCACCTGCATACTTCCTCTTTACTGTCATAGTTTTGATTTAATCAGCAATAGACCAACTAAAGCTAGTAAAACTTCTAAGTTCAGTAAAATGGTTAGTGAACTCACATATTTTACTCCCTAGTTGGTTAAAGCATTCATATAGACCAGCATTTTGTGCTTAAAGGGTAACATCGCAGACATTTTTTGCTCGAACTCTTGTCAAGAAAATTAGTTAGATCTCGAACAAGGGAAACGTAACTTCGTGAAACATATCTATAACAGAAGGAAATATGAGCAAAGTGAAAACTCCTAAGGGGCGCCACTCAGTTCAGTCGAAACATCTGGGCTCTTTGCATTGACTAGATCGGTTGCATCCGAATACAAAACCCTCAGGATGTTGATCTAACTGGTGTATCTCATGACTATGAACGCCGAAAAACTACATGAGTCTTATGTGATTATCAGATTTCTGTCCTCTGGAAGTGAGACAACTGTGATTATTTAGACAGCACTACATCATACTACCGAATGCTGGTTGGTTTTTCTGCTAATGTAGGTTCAGCCGTGTGGGTGCACTGGGAGAAATCTGTTAATCGTGAGTCTGTCGATAAAGACATCTAACTACCATGTATACTGGTTCTTATAAGCATGGGTTGGAAGTAAACTAAGGATCATCAAACAGATACATGACATCAGTCCGTGACGTTGCTGACAACCTGTCTGGGATCTGCATGACTTCTGTGATCAGTGGGTAGAGATATTGAGTGGTCTAACTCGATGTTTGTTTTTTTAATCCTTGCTTTACAGTTTATCTCGCAAGTCAGTCATTCCTGAATGATTGTTCTTTATAACTAACCGTTTTCTATTACCAATACTCTGGTATTTGTTTTGATAAACCATCTCGCTGTCCTGAAGTAGTTCAGAATGTGAATAATGTATGTCCTAGGTTCTGCGTTGCTTATGATTGAATAACTCTCAATAAATCTGATCGATAAGCCTGAATACAATACATCAAAACACAGAGTTAAGTTTTCAGGAGACGCTGTTTTCTCACACAAATTAGTAACAAACTACACAACTAAGAATTCTATGCCTAATTAAAATTTCACATCTATACTATTATTGGTAAGTGAACTCAAAGACCTTTAAAACGTAAATCAATTAATCTTTCTGTGCAGATACTGTTACAAGATAGCATAGGACCACCAGGATCTTGTAATAAAAAATCCATTGAAGAATTCAAGCTATCATAACTGGCAATAAATACCCCAAATTAAATTTGTCACGTGATACGAATATGTATGGGGTAACAAGAACAAAAATTAATTAAGTCATAGACTGTATATTCGAAGGGATTGTTTTTGGTCGGTTTTGGCATGGACATGTCACAATAAAACAATTTTTTTGAAAGAATGCTAGATTAGTGGACAAGGAAGAAATATTGCCTAAAATTACAAGTATTACACAGGTGTTTCATAATGATTTGACACGAGATAGCGAAGAAGTAATAAATATTAGGTTACAGTAATCGACAAAGTTGTTTGATACCAAGCCAATGTTACGCATGGATGTCAATAGGTAATTTTATCAGTGGTTGTGTTATATTCTCCAGTAAGTATCATTTTTCAATATTTGTTAATATCTAAGATTTTCTATAGTCACCGGGAAGTTAAACAATTTATTTCCTTACTAACATTGCTGTTGCTTTGTTGTCGCCTATTCTGATGACAAGTTGTACAAAACGTGTCGTTTTGAATGTATGAAATAACAATTTTAAGAAGAATTCAACATTTTTAGGCGATAGATACAGAATTTAAGGTTTAGCTTGCGACACACTTGTGAAAGCAACAAACACTTTCAACTGATTAATGCATTCCCAGTAAACGAACAATTGTCTAGTGAAATCAATGTGAGATTTAAAGCAATATTTCTGGTCATTCATACATGAATTAATAACAGAGAAAATATAAAAAGTAGATTCATCAAAAAATCAACATTATATCAAGCCAGTATAAATATATATGCACATGAATAACCTTTTTAAATATTAACTAAATTTTATAAAAAAAAGCCACAAAGTCATTGTTTATTTTTAGAAAGAAAAATATTAATACAAATGACATGGACAGCTTTTTCTTTGAGATATGTCAGCATAGAAAAAAAGATTAATAATAAATAGTAGTCTCCTGTATAAAAGAAATCACAGTTTCAGTTTATCAATAAAAATAGATATTATGGAATGTAGTTTTTTTGAATAAAAAGTTTACAGCTAAACTAATTTTCAATGACAATAAAATGTATGTGATAGTTTAGACGAGAATAGCCCTGATTGGTTTGTTGCAGAACAAATAATTGCTATACAAATTCATCCTCGAAAAGGATTCATAAGTGAAACACGACGAAGTACCGACTCAGGTATTGGTGTATTTGAAACCGGTGGCATGATAATTTTTGCAATACCTTCAAGATTATCTAAAAATATTTTTGGTGTCAACAAGTGTGTACCACCAAGTACAACTTCCCAATTCCAACCAACTCCTCCACCATCTGGGATAGTTGAAATATTTTCCGTTGAAGATGTATTTGTTTTAAGTGTAGTCTTGTCACTAGCTGCAAGACGAGTTTCTACACACTAACAAAATAGATAACGGAAAAATGATAATAACATTTAATGGTCATATTTTATTTGAATATCATTAAAAGATACCTATGTGATATAAAATTCATATAGTGTAGTTGAAAGGAAAAATAACAATTTTGATTGAGATAAACAAGCGTAACGCTTATTATTAACATGTCTTATATAAGAAATAACTAGACATTAGTATGAAGCACATAAATGAAATACACACTTTATTCACTTTCAATCTATCAAAAAGAATGAAAGGTTATAATGCATTAAACATTTAGTATAGAAACCTTATTTCATTATTTATTGTAGTTCATTTTGCATAAGAAAGTATAGTTTTGGATGGATCACAATGTACTCAGATGCGAGTACTCTTCACCTTTTAAAATTTTCATTACCTTATGTCTGTGGGTTATAATTCGATGAATGATACACGGTTCAATGACTTTTAAAATGAATGAAAACAATGATACTTTTGTTTCTGGTTGAAGGTTACCCATGGAAACGGTTTATGTAGTGAACTGATATCAAGGAACAAACAATAAGCTATTTTTCCGAAAAAATATCACATTCTAGAACTAAGCATTAAAAACAAACAAAAATGAAGTTCACGTTCATTAGAACATTATTGTAACTAAAAGAATTAACGATTTCCTGTTGTATTACCTATACATATTTCTGCCTTGCACAAATTTCTTTTTGTTGTAATGCCTTTTACTAGATACAGTCGATAAGGAATACAATTCGAATGAGTAGAACTGCCTCCAAGTCATAAATGAAAGACAAAGTGTTCATAGTAGTAAGTGTCAAAATGTACAGTAAAATTGTGTATTTATAGTACTCCGCATAGACCGAAAACATCATTATAATTATGCGATCCACAAACAGCAATGTTACACAATTGCCCAGTCAATATACGTCACATCGACATTCTAGAAGCTCCGTCGGACTGTTGTTGGATGAAATATCTGAAGCTTTTTGAACTTCTAACAGCTTCACCAAACTTTCTGAGGGTCATCCTGATATCTTTCCTTATGAAATTTCCATGATTTCTTCCTAGAGTCTACTTGTCACTTTAGCACTGTGATGGGCGCTGTTTTAATCCCTTCTTTCCTAAAAGCCTGTTTCCTTTCTCATCAGCGCCCCTTTGAAAGCTATCTACCAATATATCAAGTGGCAGATTCACCTGTTTATCTTCTGTGTTCATTGCCATTTTGTCTTTATGGACTTGATTTGTATGTCTAATGCATGCTCCTTTCATCCTATACCAAACTCAGTCTATTCCTTTTTCAATTGTCCTCATTCTCTTTAGTTATGATTTCAAGTACCAGCTCGCTATTAACTTTGGACATGTAGACGCCTTGTCTAAATTGTTCGGTTCACAAAAGAAACCTGAAAAAGATAACCTTTGCAATTAGTTAAACTAAGACTAAAGTTCGTCAAGTGTTAGATGGCACCATTGATGATCTCGCGGTTACTTTCAGAGCTATCAGAGTCACTGAAGATCACAAGATATTACGATAAGTTGAAAGTCACCTAAACTAGTGGCTAAAACGTTTTTAGGGGGATTCTCAAAATACTTCCGTTGATGTGATTCACTGATGGTTGCTGACTCATGTGTCCTGATCGGAGATTAAATCGGTGGGCCAGAAAGTTCTTAAGTAAATTGACAATGGTCACCTTGGGATTGATCAGATGAAGTCTTTGGCTCGAAGTTATCTTTACTGACCCTCAATGAATAGAGATATCAAATTTGAATGATATATCTGTTCGTCCTGCCTACAAGCCGCGAAAAAATATGAACCACAATGCCTTAAACCTTTAAGACCGTGGAAGAGACTTTATGCAGATTTTGCAGGTCCAATAAAAGGGGACATGTCTCTAGTTATTATGGACACAATTATGAAGTGGCCGGAAATATGTACTGTGCCGAACTGTACAGCCAAAGAAACAATTAACAACTTTTCTACTTTGTTCGGCTGTTTCGGGGTACCAGAGACCTTGGTGACAGATAATGGTTCCCAGTTTGCTTCTAACTTGTTTCAACAATTCTGTGGTATGAATGAAGTGACTCACTTATGCTTTTCACTCTATCAACCTCAGTATAACGAACAAGGAGAACATCTTCAAAAGAGTATTCTTATAAAAAGAGAGGCGAGGGGGTGCCGAGCCAGGTAGTCACGATTTACAAAACTACCTCCAACCCTCATGTTCCAGGTGAGAAGTCATATTTGAGCGAAACGTCCGATCGATTCTCAACGCCATGCTACCGTCTCAAAAGGTGGGTGGCCACAGACAATATATGTATATATATACCAATAGTTTTAGTGTGGGGGAAAAATTGTTTGTCAAATCACACTATGGCCGAAATCAAAAGGGAACGAGGAACAACTGAAAAAGGAATAGGCTGAGTAATGTATAAGATGCAAGGAGCATGCATTAGACATACAAATCAAATCCATAAAGAAGAAACAGTGATAAACACAGAAGATAAACAGGTGAATCTTCCACTTGACATAGTGGTAAATAGCTTGCAAAAGGACGCTGATGAGAAAGGAAACAAAGGATTTGGGAGAGAACGGGTTAAAACAGTACAATCATCACGGTGACAAAGTTACAAATGAATCCAAGGAAAATGAAAGCATTATTAAAATCAAGCAATCCGCAAACAGAAGGAGTTGTTCAGCCACTGTATGCCAAATCGATATTACAGAGATTTGATCTGGTTGTGATGAGATGGGATCTTTTTGAGAGTTTCTGGGGGCTTCACCGCATTTTCTGTGAGGCACCCTTACAGATAAATTGCACAAGTTCGATACCATCACCTCCACTCTTTTTAATATCATTTATTGTCTCTGTAGTGCCTCCGCATATATTCGGGTTCGCTTACATCTAATTTGGTTAAGTCCTTTCGATTAATTTATTTAACCAAGCCATTTGCACAGCAACACTTATATGTACCTTTCGCTCTCACTATTGTCTGGTTTGCATAAGCTCACACGACTTGTCTCGCTTGCTTTTGACCTTGTCAATCATTCGTCGCTTTTATTCATGTGTGCATGCCTATTTCGCTTGTCACATGTCTGTCTCTAATTTTTTGTCTGACTATATATTCTTAGTCATACTCTATCTCTTGGAGTTGGCTAAACAGCCTTCTCCAATTCACGTCGCTTCATTCGTTGCTTCTCTGCTTCCCTTTGTGGTGTGTCCCAAATAAGCATATTCATCACTACGAGTTCACCTTCTGATTTATAACCGTCATACGCTACTTTGTAACGATTGTCTAGACGAGCTAATTACCAAGCATAAGAACATGCAGTAAATTGGCCACCACATTTTTACTAACATAACCTATGGAGAATTTAATAACAATGACTTAATTGTCTGATTTCTCAAAAGTCTACTGATGAACTTATTCTAATTATTCTTCAGTGTATTTATTTTAGAGCATGTTCAAAATCTACAGATTAAACATTTCGTTATGTCACATTAATGTTCCTGTTTTACTAGATACACATCAACTGATATAAATTTTTGGTAGTAACACTGGGAAAATTAAATATCAACCCTTAATTGGGTCAAAGAACAATTCACTTTATATCAAAACATTAATTTAGCTGCTTCAGAGGTACTAGTTAGGAATTAACTTATCGATTAATTAATTAATGCACACTCGTAAAATGGAGTCGAACGATGGGTTTTCTTGTCTACAATGTTTTGACGTTTAATTCATATTTATTCACCGTTTTAAAGACCTTTATCAGTTTTTATTTAAACCCGTAGGTAGAACACACTTTCAATTTCAAATAATGTTTGAATCTTTCGTTCTTTTAGCTGATTGAGAAGAAACTAATAAGTTTGGACTGTTCCATGCGCTTTTCTTTATTTTTAAAGTAAGTTAACAATCTACAGTTATTTCTTAGATTAGTTTGAAATTTACAAAAAGTTAGAATGATATTATCCTTCTTAAAATAAACGCTTATTTATCATTAGAAGTAACAGTGTCATTTAAATTCATATTTAAAAATAAACTTACTCTCTGAGTTAACTGGTAACCCACTCTGGCTTCTGATAATGTGAAACCTCCAACAACGAAAACTATAAGACGTGGACCACAGTGTTTAGTCATAGAAGCAGCTTGATTCCGATCTGATCCAGGATTTGGACTAGATGATCTAACAGATGCCGATGAACTGGGAGATAAAACACCACTAGCATGAAATCGCGCGGAAGGATTTTTAAAATCTTTAGAACTAGTATCTACCACATTACCGAGACCATGAACATCTTTAATGCCTTTCGCTACAACGAATCCGAAACGTGATTTGTCCAACTTTCCTGAAATAGCTTGCTAGACATTGGAAGAAAAAAAGCCATATAATTCAGTCAAAACCTTGAATATTTTATTTATTTCCCTAATCACATATAATACTCAATGAATGCGTGAATGTATCTGATAATTCACTACATATGACAGTCTAGCTGTTATTCCGCTAAAATACAAGCGAAAGAAATAGTATATTTATAAACAATCAGGCTTAGAAACAAAGATTCATTTATATAACAGCTCTATCTGTTAGTACTCAATACCATAAATCTTGAATGATGGCTTAGTGGTTGTACTACTTGACTTAGCACAGACTCAAACTTCACTCTATACTTATTTAAAATGGGTGACTTGAAGAGGAATACATAGATGTATACTTGGTTGTTGAGTTTAATTAGTGGTTAATTTTAAATCACTGATGAAACACTTCAATTGATTAATGTAAAACATTGACCTCTTTTTTAAATAGCCTCTTATCAGAGTTGTATCAGGGAGGATATTTCTGGAACATTGATGAGGACCAGTCTTGGGTACTTCTGAGCGGGTTGGCTTCTTCTTCTGCTTGATGTGACATCGAGTAATTTTAGATCGGCTGTCGGATTGAGCTGAAGTGAGGTGAACTGCGTGTAGCATGGGGCACAGCTACTCTGGTTAGTTGACAGACGCATTACTCAACATCAGATTGACTTGACCCACCATAGTTATGTCACGATGCAGCTTGGTATCCATCAACATCATTATTTCAGCTGCTGCTCGGGTAATAATTCAAGTCTCTAAGGATTAATGTGATCCCATCCTCGTCGCCAATTGTTATGCATGCACGTAAATATGTCAGTTTGACATGCTTGAACTACTACGAGTTTAACTTAGTTAGAAAACGAGAGCGAGGATCGAGGATCCGGCGTCACGACATGCTACTCTAGTCGGATTGTCTCAACCGCCCATTAAGTGAAAAAGAAGACTTGATATGAAGTTGAACCTGTATTCTACAAGCATCCAGAAAGTACGAGGTCCGAGTCCAGAAAAGAATCAGGATCCCGGTTTAGGGATCCGGGTCCCAAAACATTACAGATAATGCGTATTGATGCATTTAGGTGGAATAGGAAACAGCATCGAAGTCTGTGACATTGACAGTTAAGGCGACCAATAGGAAAAAACATTTGAAGTGACATTGATAGTCAGCACGACCGATAAGAAACAACAATGAAGTACGTGACACTGATAACTAGGACGGCCAATAGGAATCGACCAATAGAATTTACGATTACAAAATGATTCTTCGTAGGATATTTTTGATGAATATCCTAACAAGCTGACACAATTTCCTATAATTCACAATCTATTTCGGTCAGTACGATAGAATAAAACTGAAATACTTATATTCTACAGAACCACATCAAAATTTTCCGAAGTTTAGCATAGATGTAGGAGAGTCAGTTGTGCAAGAAGACATGAATGAGTTGTTTTTTCAGAGAACTTGATAATGAAACATTGAACTAATCATTGTTAGCTGGACATCTCGCCTACATCACTGTACCACAATTTCTTTCTCTGAATTTATTCACTGTTCAACGTACGTACGATTCGCTTGGTGGAATAATCACTAACTAAAGGCCATTTGTAAATTAGGGAAGACGATTGTGTGACATTTGGACGTCCTACAATAGTTGTTTTCCTGGACCTTAAGGCGGCATTTGACTCTGTGGATCGTGAGGTTCTGTGACAGTGTCTGTCATTGAAAGGTGTACCAAATAAGTACATTAACCTCATACAAGCTCTCTACTCGAACACCACTGGTCGAGTGAGAGCTTATGGCGAACTGTCACCGGAATTCTCTACTTCAAGTGGTGTCCGTCAGGAATGTCCACTTTCTCCATTCTTGTTTAATTTTATCATAGACATGCTCCTAGAAATAACCTTATCCTCGTCTGAATTTTCTGGAGTAGACCTTTTATCAGGTGGCTCGCTTATTGACTTAGAATATGCCGATGACATAGTCCTACTTGGAAGACGCTGACAAAATGCAGAGTCTTCTGACTACCCTAAGCAACAATGCAAGCATGTTCGGGATGCGGTTTTCCCCCTCAAAATGCAAAATGTTGCTTCAAGATTGGGTTTCATCGGCACCTGAACTAGTGATAGGGAGTGAAGTGGTCGAACGTGTAGACCGCTTCACTTATCTTGGGAGTCTCATCAGTGCTGATGACCTGGTGACTGACGAAATCTCGGCACGGATACAGAACACTCGATTGGCTTTTGCCAACCTGCGTCACTTATGGCGTAGGCGAGATATCCGTTTGCTGACTAAAGGACGAGTGTACTGTGCAGTGGTTCGCTCCGTCTTACTTTATGGCTGTGAAACATGGCCAATGAGAGTAGAAGATACTCGTCGGTTATTGGTTTTCGATCATAGGTGCCTTCGAAGCATTGCTCGTATATCGTGGGACAACCGAGTGAGCAACGCTGTTGTTAGGAAACGGGTACTAGGTAAGAATGGCAGATCAATCGATGAAGTATTGAAACTTCATCAGTTGAGGTGGTTGGGACACGTGTTGCGTATGCCTAACCACCGACTGCCTCGTCGAGCTTTGTTTTGTAGTGTAGGAATAGGTTGGAAGAAAGCTAGGGGCGGCCAGACCAAAACATGGCATAAATCCATGAAGTCATTGACTAGTGGACTTAGTCATGTCGGTAATTGTCGACTACCTGGTTGGGGTCCGCGAGATGATAATAATCGATGGCTAGAGACCTTGAATGACATGGCTCAAAATCGTTCGCAATGGCGCCAGTGCATTTATTCTTTGTGTTCTCTCAAATCCTAATCTTCTGGATTATTCAACACCTCTAGTTTTTACTTTCTAAACTTATCTCATTGAATCATACTTCGTGAATAATATCTTCTAATCCTAACCTCTCCGATTACTCCTAATACCTTTACTACCTCTTCTACTATTGGATTTGAATTGACAATTTTATCTCTGTGCTGATGTGGTATGGCGACATGAACTGATGTACTTACGTACGAAGTTCTACGTTGCAACTGACTGACTGATTGTGTGAAAATATCAGTCAACTTAAAATTATCGTCAGGATTCAAAACAAACATTTGCATTTTTCTAGAACTTCAACACACAACCACCATGTTAGTAAACTTTCAATAGTTACATATCAAGGTTGATGACCTGTATTATATTTTATTTTCTCTAAATCTATTATCCAATAACTAGTATGTTATTGATCGAAATTTGATAAGTGAATTGAATTTTTTTTTGTAAATGGAAACATGTTTAATTTTGATACTGATGGTTAATTTGTTTTCATTTTCATACAGAATAGTAAGAAAAATTAAACTGAAATATTTTATCAATATTAAAACTTACTTCCATAATATCTAGAATATATGGTGTCCACCGTGATAAAGCATATGAACTAGCACTAACACGATCTACACGTTTCTTTTTCACTGGAAGATATATTTGTATTGATTGGCTAACTTTAGGAATTGGTGGTAAACGTTGAAGAGATACACATCTACCCAACTGATATTGTGGGATATTTGTCTGATTAGGCAAAGATATAGTGACCGGCTATTTAGGAAAAAAGTGAAGTAGAAAAAAACATATTGTATTCATAAAACCAAATCAATATATTCACTTTTTGAAAGAATAAACATATCACTTATGAACATGTGTTATGGAATCGCTCAATTCTGTAAGTCTGAATAGGAGAACTTGTTTTTTAGGAAGAAGAGGTGATAAGCTGGGTTGATTAAACATATCAGCTGAAGATCATATGGTGAATGAGGGATAGTGACAAGAACACGCTAACAGTTAAAGCTTGGCTTATTTACCCGATAGATATAGACAGATTACTGTTGATTGAAACGTTGCTCAATTATCTGAGAGACATTTGTATGTACGAATAACTTTGCGTACATATGTCGACTCAGCTTTTCTCACAAAACGTCTTACTTGTCGCTCGTTTTCTCACTTGAGTAGTTAGTCTGTACCGTGTATAAGAAGTTTGTATATAAGTTACAGAATCGAAAGACTGCACAAAGCAATATTATCTGGCTGCAAAAATTAGATGAACAACCCTGCAATATCATAAATTAGCGGACGAACGTACGTCATGTAATAACTTCAACGAGCGGACTTAACATATCGTCACAAACTGTTTTCGTTTTTAAAATTCTATCACCATAATTGAACAAAATTATTTGGAATCCATAGGTAGAAGACACTAATAATCAGTATTTATGTTCGCGACTAGTAGTAATGAAGCAAAATCATCAAAGATTTGAGATGAGTGATTATTATTGAAAAGCAGTTAGTTTCAAGCAGTACTGAGTCCTAAAATTAAGGATAAATCTAGAAGACCGATGTGAAGCTATCAGTTACAGAAAACGTAGGACATATCACAAACACATACCACCACCATTAAGAGTATCGTATGGATTTCAATCCGAGTAGTTAGTAACTGATGGCCTGCTGTAGTTTGGCCTTTACTTCCACCTGAATATTATGTCATTCATTAATGCATATATGAGCAGACCACTGCTTGTAAAGGTATTACGCTTGCTTAGATGTATCAGAGGATGTAAGTTTACAGCCTGATCAATGAACCTGTCATTTTTGCTAAGTATTCCACACCTAACTTCATCAGTACTCAGTTTGCCCATTCGCCATACCCAAGCAATGCTTTGAAGACACCTAAAGTAATGCCTTACAGTTTCAGAACAACATGGAGATTACTGAGCGGTACATTTACTATTTGTTGTATGGATTATTGACATTCTCTGGCTATCCACGCCGTCGAAAAACAATTTTTGTTCAGCAGTCTGGAGACAAATGGGTACGGTAATGAACTCATTGATTGTGGAACTTAAAGAACGAGTGTGCAGTTATTTTTATATTATTAGGTATGTATGTTTTTACGCTTTGCAATGGTAAACAGGAACCCGTAAGATAAAATAAATGTACTGCTTTTGAGGTCACCCTTCTAGTTATATCTGAGGATATACATAATTTCATATCAATCAATCAATCAACAACTTACTAAGCAAACAAATATTTATCTTACCATCTATAACTAACTGACTGGGTTACATAACTAGCCTAACTATATGACCATGACAGCCAAGTTCAACCGGTGTGTGTCAAGGAAACAGCTACGGTTTGGTAACAAGTTGTTTAAAATGACTAAGTGGATGAAGTATGATTTATTAAGAGTTAACTACAATTAGGATCAACTAAAACTGGAATATACAGAGTTCCCGTACTTAGCTTAAATTATATTTAACACAATTCATGTATCATTAGAAATGAAAAGCTTAACAATGGGCATTGCTTATTTATGTTGATAAATGATAACCTTAGTTTTTTTTAAATATACACACACATATAAAACTAAGTAGAATGAGGAAATCAGAATTATTTTACTTGAGAAAATCTGAGTCACATGATATAGAATGCATGAACTACTCTCTGTATAGGTATTGTTTATGAAGCCATGTGTGAAATAAACAAACATCATTTCTTTTTTAAACAAATGTTCCCATGACACTTTATTAAAGTTTATCATTTAATCACCTATTATTTTTTTTGCATAGCTGAAACAGAATAGAAAACTAGAAAAAAGGAAGTAGAATTAATATTGTTACTTGAACAATAAGCGATTTGATGTCCATTATCAATTTAACACGTCCGCTTCATAATAAATACTGGAAGCTATCAAATAGTATACACTAAAGATAGCTTGTGTGTGTTTTCGCGTTTACTTAATGTTCATTTCGTGCACCTGTCACAGACTGAATAGGATACTACTGAATTACTTCGATAAGAGATTCACAAATATCCACTGATATAAATGTGGCTACATACTTTATAAACCAACTGTAAAACATATATGTCCTTGAGTGTTAGGCTGTGCGTTGCATTTATTTTGTGACGACGGGAAATACAAACTGGTTATACAAACCGAGATAAGTAGTATAAATATTAAAACCATGATTTAACTGTCCAGAATCAAACAGCTGCTGATCTCATAGTAAAGCGATTAGTAAGAACTATTTTGATTCCATACTATTGATCGTATTTTATCAGACTGGAATACATACGTACTTATAGTTCAACAAAGTACTGATCACCTGCAATAACTGTTGTGTTTATTATTGGCTATCTCCGAGTTGGACAGTGTTAACAGAACCGATTGACTAGTACAATCGAATGATAATCCACAATCACTACTGTCGTTCAATCCAAAAATAATTTCTAAAACTTCATGTTAGATAATTCATTAGTTGGTTTTAGTATTTATGAGTATTTATTTGACGTCATTAAATTACTGATTGCTGACGCTTTAATGTAAATCTGAAATAAATTTCTGTAAAATTTAATCATTCTATGATTTAAACAATATTTACTTGATGGAGAATTGTGATAATAAATGTATCACCATCATTGTATCTTAATGTACTTGATACGCTCGTCAAGTAGTATGCTTGAAACTCCTATGAGTTCACCTTACTCGGTAAACGGGAGCGAAGACAAATGATCCAGTGACACCATAGGCTATTCTGATTCGATTGTCCCTGGCCCTGCTAACTATATCAAAAGTTTTGATAAGGCGTAGAAAGTGTATTCTATAGGCACCCAGAAAATATGAGTTTATTTATACATGATACAAACAAGCGTGCTAAAATAATACATCAACCAATAGCAGTCAAGGATTTTCCGGCTGGAAAATGTAATCTCATGGCCAACTGATCAACTCATGCGCGAAAACACAAGAGCCAAAATTAGGACCTTTATTACGTGAGTTCTCGGGATTTAACGTCCCCAACAGTACATGAACTTGTAATCAGTTAGCTTACACAAAGATGATTGACTACAAAAATTTATTCGTGTAGTTTTAGGTATTTTCGTATTTTTTCACAAATACTTTTACTTACAAGCATGATTCAAGTCTAGTTAACAAATGCATAAGTTTAAATACCTCAATTATACTTTGCATCTATTTATGGTTATTTCCTTCTTAAAGAGAAATGTCAATCATTTTCATTGAATCACAAGATTTTATTATATACAATGAAGAATCATCACTGGTATCTACAAATAATGTAAAATGTTAACTCACATCAGATTGAATTAATTGAGCATTCATAATAAACGAAAGACTTGCAAAGAGTGGTTTGAACAAACGTGCAACTTGAGCACAATCTAACAATTTATCCAAATGTGTTTCGGCAAATCCCTCTGAATTCGTTCATTAACATAAAAATAGTAAACCAAATATATTTGCATTAATATATTCAACTAGAACATATAACAAAAGGTAAATAACTAACTAATTTATTGACGATGGGATGTTTACATATGTGACACATTATAATCAAACGTTGTGGAAAAGTTATGCTCCTTTATCTGAGACAAATTCGAGTAGCTTCAAGCCAAACTGTGAGAGCGAGAGCAAGTAATATTACTCGGATGCTCAAATGAAAGTAGGTAGAAGAGTGTTTGAGTCTGAGATTTAGTTCTCATATTTATTTGTTAAATATATAATTATTGGTACAAAAGAGCATCTAAATATAATGCATCTCAAAAATTACTGAATGTGTAAGTGAGCTGGAATGCTGACCAGGTGCCCGAACAGAAACAGTTGGTTTTCTTAGGATACCATTCCCCGAACCTTTCATCTACAGGTCTAATACACTAGACAGTGAAGTAACGTAAAGGAATGCGGTCCTATGGTAGTCGGTGACCAACAACAGGTTCATACGCCATTTATCTGATCAGGATACTGGAGCATATGTGCACCATTGATTTGGAATCAGGGTGTTCCAGCTCTTCGAGGCGTGTCTCCGTACACACCAACCCATTTTAAGCCCCACCGGACATTCGTTTTTCGTCCTATCAATTTCTTGAACAACACGCATACAGCGAGAAGGCAGTGAGTAGGACTTATCTGACAGTGGCTATGCACTCGCGATCATGTGAGAGCATTCTAAGAGGAAGACTGGATTTTCCTTACCCTCAGCCGTACCAAAGATTTAGGTAATAAACATGACAGCTGAAAGCTTAACACCTTAAACACTAACCTATCGCTCCAACAAACATCAAAGCATCGTTCATAAATGTTTCCCCGAAAATAGGAACTTATGAGAAATAAATCCAATGTAAAGTCACAAAACTACAACATATTACTACGAATATGCATAAAAGAACAATTGAATTATTCTGAAACGAATGAAAATAAAATTACAACGTTCAATGCATATCAGCTCCAGAAAAATTAACTTTAAGTTTCATTTAACGCAAATACACTTAGATTAAAACAAACAGTCTTAGTTGAACTTTTGATGTGAAAAATGTGTGTGAACCCATCAACACACAAAGAATGATTGGGAAATCAAACACGGCTAATCGACGGATTAAATGACAGTGTAGCCAGCTGGTTTATCCGGAGACTGAATGAATCTGAGAAGGCTGATTCATTTATATTCATATCCTAATAATAGAGATTAGTGAGATTATATGAATCCATTAGGAAAAAATATAATGATTGAATATGTTACCTTTTATAAGCGCAAAGATAAGTAAAAGACGCAAACGTTCTTCCACTGATGTAAAATCATATTTGAAAATATCAACCAATACACGCATAGGATCCGTTACAGGTTCTCCTTTTGCATTCTCACCCATCACAAGATCCTTTTGAAATGGAATATTCGTAAAATTTATCATAAGTACACCACGAAATAGTGATAACACTTAGTTATATATTTTATGCTTTCAATGTTCAAACAATAATAATAAGACTTCATAATGGCGTCGATGATGTATAAATCTGGTGAATTTAGAAACTCGTAAAAAATTACCACCATAAATTGTTATAATTATTTCGCTTAGGAAGTAATTACTTGTTGTTATTTTGAAAACCAAAGCTCCATCGTATATCGATAGTTGCTCGTGTTTCCTCTATCGTTAAATCTCAATTACCAATCGATAAACTCACTCATCAGATAGTTGGGTATAAGCCATATAGTCAGTATGAGAACTTATGATAGTATGTGGTCGCCCGAACCGAAACAGATGGAGTGGGATTCAAACCTAGGACCTCGTGTTCGAAAGTTGAACACCTTAACTGACAGGCCACTGTTTAAAGTGTTATGTAAGCAGGTGATTATGTTTTTAAAGTTCGTAACATGCTGAGACCGTACTGCACACTTCAAAACACTTCCTGGAAGTGATACACTGCTGCTACTTGGAAAAACTGTTGTTTTCAGACGTTTAGCACTAGCCAAAAAGATTATACTTTTTTAAAACTATGTATGTAAGTAAAATAAATCCTAAACGAAATATTCCATATTTTCGGTATCATTGATTAATAGCAATGCTTTATCTACGTACTTTTAGACTAGTGTATAATTAATTAAAACCGATGAGAGATTAGAGAAATTAAGATTAATTTCTCCAAATGAATTCATATAGTGTTACGTAATAAGTGTAAAGGAGGGTTGCTACAGCTGATTAACGCAATTTACTGTAATAGCTTTCCAATAAAGTTCTTTACACAGAATACTACTAGGACATAAGGCATTGAGTAAAGAACTCGCAGCTGAATAATTTTAAGTTTGATAATTTATTATTGTTACATGTTCACATCATATATTTGCATAAATGAAGTGGACTAAAATGTGACTGTATTGTCCAGAAATCCTCCCTAAGAAAATGAAAGAAAATTACAAAAGTTTTCGGTAACTGACATCTCTATGATACTTTTTGAGTTTGTTTTTTATTCATCCATAATTAAGTATTTGTTTAGTTCAGGATTCTCCAAAATTTATCAATTTATATAACAAATCTACGATAATGATAAATTGAATTTCTTATTTCCACATAAACTATAGAAAGGAAACAGTTAAAATTAATTTACGGCTCTTAAGTAACCTGTCTGTCCTTAAATAATGTAACTATTGATATTTCAGAGACTAGTAGGAATTGAAAAGTTGCTTTTAGTGACATTGAATTTGCAGATACTTTTCTGACGAATTCACTTGTTTTCAGCTCTATCAAATATCAAGAACACACAAAAAAATTCAAAATATTCACAATGTTAAAACTCGTTAATAAAACTTACTTGTTCAATTTCACACAGTTTATCAACACCTTTCTTGAATGTAGCCATACAAGTTTCAACAACATGATAAACAGCTGCATAACTTGCTGATTCTGTTTGATATTGTGGCATACGTTTGATAAGATCAGATAAATCTCTTAAACCAGTAGTAGTACTACTACTTCCATCCTCCTTTGATGGAGCACTAGCCTCTTCAAATTCAACGAATTGTTTTTTACTTTCTGCGAATTCACGAACACGTTGGGGAAGTTTTCTATCAGTTGAATAAAATAATAAGATAAGACGAGAAATCGGTAAGAAGAAAGTACTTTTCGCAATTAAAAAATAGTAGGCATAGTAACGATTACAAGTTCCAGTTAATATACCTTCATTGATTAAGGGGACAGATATATTCAGCTATTATTTGTAGTAAAATAAAACATTCATTGTAAATATTCTTATCAGTTACTAACAGATGGTATAAGAATGTAATCCAGGGAAAAATGAAGATAACTATATAACTCGTATGTAATTAGAAATTAGTCCACCAAAGTTCTGGTTACCTAAGTGGTTGCGCCACAGGATTGAGCTGTGCTGATTAAGTCATATTGTTAATGACTGGATAAATCTAGTTCTCTTGAAAACAAATGTGAAATTACCCGTGCCCTTAAGAGTAAATTATTATAATTATGAAGGCCCCAGAATGTTCTGGTAAGGCCGAGAGTGAAAAGTATTCTCTTCCTCTCAAAATGCTCTTAGATGATTAATAGTGCATAGCCACTACGCAGCCACTATGGCAGTCGTGTCGTTCAAGAAATCGAGAGGACGAAAAGTGAATATCCGATGGGGCTTAAAATTGGTTGGTGTGTACGGAGAACACACCTCAAAGAGCTGGAACATCCTGATTCCAAATCAATGGTGCACATGTGCTCCAGTATCCTGATGAAATAAATGGTGTATGAACCCGCTGTTTGGGGAATGGTCTCCTAAGAAAATTAAGTGTTTCGGTTCGGGCACCTGGTCAGTATTCCTGCTCACTTACAAATTCAGTAATTTTTGAGGTGCATAGTATTTAAATGCCTCCTTGTACCAAAAAATTGTTTAAATAAATAGATAAAAAGAGACAGACCATATAAATTTGGGTGAAGATGCTAACAAAATGCAGTGTTCTAATCATCTTAAGAAAAAATTTAAGCACGTTCGGGATGCGATTCTCCCCCTCCAAATGCAGAACATTGCTTCAGGATTGGCTTGTATCGGTAACTGAACTGGTGATAGAGAGTGAAGTAGTTGAGCGTGTTGGTCACCTCATTTATCTTGGAAGTCTCGTCAGTGTTGATGACCTGGTGTCTGGCGAAATCGCAGCGCGGATACAGAATGCTCGACTGGCTTCTTCCAATCTGCGTCATTTATGACATGGGCGAGATATCGTCTACCGACCAAAGTACGATTCCACAGAGTAGTTCGCTCCGTCCTACTTTACGGGTGTGAAACATGGCCATCAAGAATAGTGGATACTAAGTAAGGATGACAGATCAATTGGCAAAGTAGTGGTGGTTGGAACATGCGTCACGTATACCTAACAACCGACTGCCTCGACGTTGTCTGAAGTAGGAGTAGGTTGGAATACAGCTAGAGATGGTCAAACCAAAACATGGCACAAGTCCATGAAGTCACTGACAACTAGACTGAGCCATGTTAGTAGATGTAGACTACCTGGCTGGGGTCCGCGAAACAACAGTAATCGATGGTTAGAGAAATTGAATGACATGATTCAAAATCGTTTGCAGTGGCGCAGATGTGTCCATTCCCTATCTTCGCTCGAATACTAATCTTCTGAATAACTCATGACCTTCTTTCTTTTCTTGAATTTATTTCACTGGATTATACTTCTTGAATGATATACTCGAACCCTAATCTTTTCATTAGTGCTTATACTTCTACTACCTCTACTACTATGAGTTTTGAATCGACGATTCCATTTCTTTGTGCTAAACGGGTACGATAATTTGAACTGAGGTATGTAACACCTTATGTAAAGAGAAAACAGCGAATCACACTTGGTAAACCCAGTTAGTTTAAATAAAGTGAGGATGGTAAGATCCAGAGAACAACATGAATTCACACAATTTGTGACTCAAGAGAAGTCTCGAAATATAACGAATATATGTTATTCTGCAAATCTTTTCCTTCTCGCTTTATTTAAATTTATTAACAAACCGATGTGCAGTAAACCTGATTAGACTTGAAAATGTCATAGCGAAATGATACAATAAGAAGTATATATAACAGCCTGTTCACTTAATGATAAATATGCCGAGTGAATCAGACTAAGTTCTATGATGATTCCAATGAAAGTAAGTACGAACTATTATGAGTAATTAAGTTACTTGTCTATATATCTATTGTTTGGGCTATTCTAAACATAACAAAAAATGAGCTTAGAGTATATTTTTCTTCAACAAATACGAATTCCTATAAGATATATTAAACGGATTGATTAAATGTTAGTATTGCGTACTAGTACCTGAATCACATCAAAGATCAAATCAATAATCCAAACTTCCAATTAATGCAACTAAAAGAATAAAATACCTCGTAACATCTGCAACATGCTGATGCCGAAATTCTTTCCACAATGAATCTCCATCTGCAACATTTGCTTTACGATTTCCACCAAACCTTTGTATTCAGAAGATATATACAATTTAAACAATAAAATACCAAAACAAATTCAATAAAAACAAAGATGGCTTGTAATGAAGTTTACAACTCAAACATATGCTCACAAAGTTTTATTAGCCCTATTTGACTCTCTACACTAAGCAAACAAGTTGGGTTTTTTAATGTCAATAAGTTTATTTAAATTCAGTCAACTCATATCATGAGCAATAAAATGTTTCACAAATTAACATTCCAAGCAGTAGATTTGTGTTGTAATTCCCGGAAAGGTATATTTGATGTAAGTGGAATTCATCTAAATTTCTGTAATGCTATAGAATTGATTCTTCATGATATTCTCATAAATCACTAAAGGTTATATGTCTAAGAGAAAGCATATTATGAGACTTAAGCGATTAATTTGTTAGTCAGTTATGCATTAAATATAAATATCCCAATGTAGGCCTGATAGTTAGTGACTTCAACAAAAATTTATTAAGGATTGGTCGTATAGGAATAAATTTATTTGCAATCCTAGAAATGCACGCTAGATGAAACCATATGACTTTTGATCTGGCTATACTAAATAACTATTTTTGGTCAACATCATACATTGATGATTGCAAGCTTTCCACAACTAATTCCTAAGACAATAGAAATCTGTAACTGAGATATTATGCAATGTACTGGACATAAGGTAGACGTTTCTATGGAATATGAACAGTGTACTCGGCTTACAGTTATGTATTTTTAGGCTGGTGATACAACTTGGCTTCCTAAACTGAAGTAAGGCGGAGTTTTAAAATGTGATGTGAAGATAGTAAACGACAAAGCCATCCCTGTAATGCAGTTTCGATCGAATTTTTTTGATAGAGATACAATGTAGAAACGTACTTAACTTTCTATGTATTGATTTCCAAACATGTGATCCATTTATCGCACAGAAATACTTCTGTTTGATGAAAACATAAGATGGTGAATGCTAAAACCGAAGTTTTCGGGTCATGTGTTACAAATTTCCGACCAACTCCTACAATTTTGGCAGTGAAAGAGTAATTAGGAAAAAGAAAAGGATGGTTGATCTAGAACATACTATTATTTGACGAATCCATCGACTGTTGGGTCGAATTAAGTTGATATGTACAGAATATCTGGTTAGGGTCTGCACAGTAACCACAATCAGTGGTTGGAAATGGTTGACATGCCTCAGAATCAGTCACAATAGCTCAGATGCGTTCACTCTTTGCATCCATTGGATCTTAAGTTTCAATATTTCTAAACACAAATTTTCATGTCTTCTATTCGAGTAATAGTCTCAATGTTTAGTCTTTTCGCCATGGTTGATACTATTATTATTTTTACAATTTCGTAATACATTTGATTAATTTCATCTCACCATGCTGGTGTGATAATGATAGTGACCTGGAGTGACTCACATTTATGCTGTACTCTATGTTGATTGTGATTTACTGAGAAGCACATATTGTTCCCTAGTAATATGAGTCTTTGAGAGTTGGATATTTACATCATTTATATTAACTAAATAGATGAAAATCGTGAACAAAGAGGAAATCAATTCTACAAGCTTACTCAATCGTATTTTCCTCCACACTGAGTAAATCATAACACATAGCTTGTAATGTTAACTCGTGCACAAGAGGACTAATAGGATCTAAACTTCGATCAACAATTAACAAAAGACTTTGATCTTTATGTGATCCCTGAAGAGAGAGAAAAAAGAGTCTGATTAATTAAAATTTATGAGATAGTTTAATCTAGTGCATGGAGATGTGTTACGAATGCCTAACCACTGACTGCCTCGACGAGCTATGTTTTGTGGTGTAAGAGTAGGTTGGAAGAAAGCTAGGGGCTGCTAGACCAAAACATGGCACAAATCCATGAAGTTAGTGACAAGTGGACTGAGTCATGTTGGTAGATGTAGAATACCTGGTTGGGGTCCGCGAGACGAAAGTCACCAATGGTTAGAGACCTTGAACGACATGGCTCAAAATCGTTTACAATGGCGCAAGTGCATCCATCCGTTGAGCTCTCTCAAATTCTAATCTTCTGGATTCGTCAGCACATCTACCTTTGTCTTTCTAACCTTATCTCACTGAATTATACTTCTTGAATAATATCTTCAAACCCTAGTCTTCTTCATTACCATTAATACCTCTACTAACTCTATCACTTTGGATTTGATTTGATATTTGCGTCTCTGTGCTAATGTAGTATGGCAACCTGAACTTATGTGCATACGTACGAAGTTCTACGTTGCAACTGACTGACTGACTTACTGCGTGCATGGATAGTTTTTATTTCAAAATAAACCAAACTAAGAAGCTTATTATCATTTATAACATGTTTAATGGAAGTTCTTATTAGTTTTTATCATTCCCACTATAAATAATTTCAAGGATAACAACGGCAGGCATATTTTTACACTGCAGCTACGATGCTGAATAAAATCCCGGTATAGAAAAGATTTAAATTATGAACATAGGAACGACAAATTTCAGTAAGTAGATGGCTGATAATGCGAAACTTAAGTTCCAATGAATTCTTTTTATTCTTAGTTATCAGACAGACCTGTTAAAAATTCGTTGTTTCTCGTGTAGAGTGCAAGGATAAATGTTTATAATATCACCTAAAAATATGCCGCAACTATTTAAAAATTAGTTTTGCAAATGTAAATAAGTATTTTATGAACTTGTTAAATACAAACGGTTTTTAAAGTAAGCACTCATGAAATTTTTATAACCTAGTGAAAAAGGCCAAAACTATGGGGAACGTAATAGGTGAACAAATCCATCAGAATTAAATTCGATTGAATTGATAAAATTGTCTGTAGTTCTAGTAAATCACTTGTTTAGAATGATTCTCCAATACTCTAGGTGAAGTCTTTACATCCACTGAAGTGGTTTAAATACTGTGTCTATTTCCGCTATTGCAGGAGCAACTCCTACCAGACTGAATCAGAATAAGGTCTCCCCTGACGGGGGTAAATAAAATGAGTCTATGAATTTCCATGACAAAAATGACCTCTCGTTCTTTTCTGTCGTACTAAACTGTAACCTAGTATTATTGAATATGATTTAAACGCATAGAACACATACATAAAGGCACCCACATATAATGCACCTCAAAAATTACTGAATTTGTGAGCTGAAATGAGGACCAGGTGCCGGAACCGAAATAATTGGTTTTCTTAGGAGATCATTCCCCGAACCTTTCATCTACAGGTCTGATACACTAGAGTGAAGCGACATGAAGAAATGCAGTCCCACGGTAGTCAATGACCAACAACAGGTTCATACGTCATTAATCTCATCAGGATGCTGGAGCCCATGTGCGCCATTGATTTGGAATCAGGGTGTTCCAACTCTTCGAGCTGTGCCCTCTGTACCCACCAACCCATTTTAAGCCTCACCGCACATTCGCCTTCCGTTCTCTCAATTTTTTGAGCAACACCCCTTCTACAAGGAGGCGATGAATAGGACTTACCCGGCAGTGGTCGTACACGCATGGTCATATGAGAGCAGTTCGAGAGGAAGAGGGGACTGTCCTCTCTCGGTCACATTTGGGTGCAACGTGCGATTTACTAATTTGTTTGTATTTGATGAGGATATGAAAACTGTTCACTTATAGAAATACATTGAAGCTAGGAATTTGATACTCACTTGGCCCAAAGTTGGGTTATCGGTTTTATAATTATCTAACTTCAGCTGCACAAGACGGGCCAGTTCGAGGTTACTCTCTGTCCTGTAAGATGTAGAAAAGAAAAGAAACTTGCATTCATTATATATATATATATATATATATATATATATATATATATATATATATGATTAAATTCCGACGATATTACTGTTTAATTACAACTAAACTATTCTATCCAAAAAATAACAGAAAATCAAAATAGTATGTCGATTGAAGCCACTATACTCAGGAGTAAACAAACAAAAACACACTGAATGGAAACATAAGAATATACTGAAGCAACATTTATTCACCTCTATGGTAGTGAGGTTGTGCTCTTTGAGATGGACCGGTTTTGAAGCTGCAGTCGTTTTTCTAACCATAAAAACACGGACAACGAAAACCATCCAGCCCAGAGAACACAACAAAAGAATTATCTTTTTAAAAAAAACAAGCCTTTTCAAATATTTGGAATTTATTTGTTTACTTTAACATAGGGCGTCAAAAGAATCCACACAAAATATGGTGATAATGTTATGCATAAATATGAGGTTGGGGTTGTAAAATTAACAAACAAATGATCAAAGCAGTGTTTACTAAAAGATATTCATTTGAAAATATAGTCACGATAAATTTCGTTTAGTTCAAAAAGTTAGTCTTATTTTTATGAGGACAATAGAAAACAACAGTGAGATTCCCAGTAGTTTATATTTTGAAACATCTGATGACGTTTTAAGTCACCTAAATCAATTATCCCTAGGATAGATTATTCACAAAGAATACCGTACGCACTTTGATTGACAAAGTCTATCAACTCGACACCTCTACTAAGTCTTGACATTTAGAGGATGACTTGAAATGGTCAAGGTATTCCCGATTTTATTACTACTAAGGTCAATGAAATATGCCTGAAGAACTTTTTGTTGGTTGAATATTAATGGTAACACAAAAGATACTCAGTCAAATGCTTTGAAAAGTGTAATGAATCAGTATACAAGCTGGGAATCCTGACTACAATCAAATAGATAAGCTTGTACAAATAAGATAAAGTTTATATAGTGTGCTTACTTTTGGTAACAAATTTTTGGATACTCTTGCAAAGTTATACATACAGAAGCAAGTTGTTCGGCTAACTGATCGATTCGAGTGAGTTTGTCATGAACAACGTCTGATGGTAAAAAGTAAAGTTGAGCAGTTTCCATAGCTTCTAGTGAATAAAGATGACTTTCCAAAGGAATAAAATCCACCGACAATTGAATCATAGTCTTAATACGTCGGACTGCTTGTGAAGCAACTATCTGATTCAGTAAATCACTGGGACAAGCTTAAAAAGGAAATTCAGGTAAGTACTCAACCTCAAATAAAAACTCGTGTCTTTAAGAAAATTACAAATAGTTCAAAAATAATATACAGTAAACAACAAAACAAAAGACATAGATGTAGAGAAGAGAAGGCAATAAAATAATAACAATATCAGTTACACGGAACTAGATGTAGTGGTGTCCGTCAGGGCTGTCCACTCTCTCATTCTTGTTTAACTTTGTCGTAGACATCCTCTTAGAGTTAACATTAAGCTCGTCAGATTTTTCAGGGGTTGACCTTCTACGGCACCTGAACTAGTGATAGGGAGTCAAGTAGTCGAGCGTGTTGATCGCTTCACTTATCTGGGGAGTCTCATCAGCGCTGATAGCCTGGTGACTGACGAAATCTCAGCTCGGATACAGAAAGCTCGATTGGCTTTTGCCAACCTGCGTCACTTATGGCGTAGGCGAGATATCCGTTCGCTGACCAAAGGACGGGTGTACTGCGCAGTAGTTCGCTCCGTTTTCCTATATGGATGCGAAATACGGCCGTTAAGAGTAGAAGATATTCGTAGGTTACTAGTATTCGATCATAGATGTTTAAGAAGCATTGCTCGTATACCGTGGGACAACCGAGTAAGCGATGCTGTCGTTAGGAAACGGGTGCTAGATAAGGATGGCAGATCAATAGATGAAGTATTGAAACTTCATCAGTTGAGGTGGTTGGGACATGTGTTACGAATGCCTAATCACTGACTGCCTAGACGAGCTATGTTTTGTGGTGTAGGAGTAGGTTGGAAGAAAGCTAGGGGCTGCTAGACCAAAACATGGCACAAATCCATGAAGTCACTGACAAGTGGATTGAGTCATGTTGGTAGATGTAGAATACCTGGTTGGGGTCCGCGAGACAAAAGTCACCAATGGTTAGAGACCTTGAACGACATGGCTCAAAATCGTTTACAATGGCGCAAGTGCATCCATTCGTTGAGCTCTCTCAAATCCTTATCTTCTGGAATCGTCAGCACCACTACCTTTGTCTTTCTAACCTTATCTCACTGAATTATACTTCTTGAATAATAACTTCAAACCCTAGTCTTCTTCATTACCATTATTACCTCTACAATCTTGATCACTATGGGATTCGATTTGACATTTGCGCCTCTGTGCTAATGTGGTATGGCAACCTGAACTTATGTACATACGTACGAAGTTCTACGTTACAACTAAGTTTTGACTAGATGTAGGAAGACAATACAGGGAAATGTTAATCGGTTACTGATAATCAACTTAGAGCCTGGCATAAATGTGAGTCAGTCAAGGTTACTATCATATCGTAATGGTGAGATGAAAGCTACAAAATGTTTTGCAAGGGGGTCACATAAAGATCAGAGTCTTTTATTAATTGTTGATCGAAGTTTAGATCCTATTAGTCCTCTTGTGCATGAGTTAACATTACAGGCTATGTGTTATTATTTACTCACTGTGGAGGAAAATACATTTTATTAATTTCATCTCACCATGCTGGTGTGATGATGATGGTGACCTAGACTGACTAACATTTGTGCTAGGCTCTGTGTTGATGATAATTTACTGAGAAGCACATATTGTTCCCTAGTAATATGAGTCTTTGAAAATCCTTAGTAACATTCGCTTAATCTTCTAATTGCTCGCTCTATTATTTCATGGCACGCGAGAAATGGTTTGAAGACATCCATAGTCAGAGACGTATATTTTCATAAACCGTAATTCAGTCAGAATAATTTAGAGTAGACTGTTAAGCAGCACAGCAACGAGTCACCTGTATCATTGTTCAACGATAGCAGTATTTTTATCAGCGCAATGTGCAGTGATGCTCCACCTAATCATCTATTGGTTTGAATCACTTAACAGGTTCAACATATATTTCACTTACATTTGTTTCGATAGCTTGAATATATATCATCAGTCTCCATACATAACTGATGATTCACAGTTAGGTACATGAGCCTAGTTACTAAATCGGATCGATTAGTACTATTTGAAAATAGTCGGTAACTCTCTTCCGTTTAATGGTGGACCAAAATGACTTGACCTATGGACATCATCTTATTACTCTAATGAGCAAAGTATAAGGCAATAGGTGACACAATAATCCCACTAACATATTTATTTCTAGGAATACACTTACATCAAATGATAAACCACTGACACTTTATAGGAATATGAATAAGAACCATCTACCAATATATTCGAAATCAATATCGAACCTCTATACTGTAAATTGAGGGCGTTAATGTGATCTAGACCTTGTTTCGCTAACGTTCTGTTGTTTAGAGGTCAAAAATAACTAACTGACAGAAGTGCATGACTCAGTCTTTATTTACACCCATTTATCAAGGAAGTTATTGCTTATCTTTTGATTGAACATAAAAAGGTGGGTAACTTACAGGACAAAAAGAACACGTGTGCAGCAGTATAAGTTGGATTTGATTCAGGAAAGTCTTGCAACAGCAACTCAATTTCCTTAAAAAAAAGTAAGTTGATCATCTGACTTACTGCTCTTCGAGGTCTCATGATATATATTGCATGCATATTTAGTTTTTGACGCTTGCAGTTTAGAGATTCGACAACTACATTCAGGATAGCACATAAAATACAGACAGACTTACGAGTTACACCGTACTCAGTTATGTCTGGCATCTTAAAACATGATGACAGTACACGTGTGGCTGCATCATCCATAATCAACACCTTCCATCCGGGTGCATTGGTAAGTTTTTCGAATATATATTTACGTATGGCTATGGGATGAACTACAACAACTAAAAAACTTACAGAACCCAACCTCATTAATTAAAGACATTAGGGCAGAAGCGGTTTAAGTTTAACCAGAAGGTTTTTCGTATACTTGAGGAGCATGCAGAGCAGCGTAATTGGGGACGGCTGGAACAGAAGGGAAGGTGCGTCGACGACCCAGAATATGTACACAATTAAATTGTCCTCAGTAAGGAAATGAATGAGTAATGATAGGCGATAGCGCAAGTCCTAGATAAAGACAATCTGGATACATTAAATATCAGCAGATAGCATGAAGTCTCCAACTAGCCTCAAGCAACCTGGTTGAAACCGACTCCTAGTTGGTGGTGCGACCTTGAACAGCAAAAACGGCGGGGCTTTGTATTTAGTCCAAAATCCAATATCCCATATCTTTTTCACGAACTAGTATACACCAATTTTTTCCATAATTAGGTAATTAAACGGATAAAAAAGTTGTGTGACTGGTAGGGAAAATAGTGAGAGGGGAAAAAAGTTCAAACAAGCGGAAGGAAGCAGAGATTATAAAGGAGAGAAATTCACTTCGTGATCTGAAAATATGGTAATAATAATAACTAACAATTTTCGAAAGATGCATCAGGCACAGCTGGTCCACAAGGGAGTAGATTATCCCTATGGGAGTACCTGTTTATCAAGCCTTTTCTTGAAGCTGCCGGCTGAGTGGGCTGCCTCGAGGGGCATGGTGATGATGCTTCGATAAGGTGCTCACGTTGGGATGATTCCGCGTGCACAAAATGTTGCATGTCATCATCTATCACCCCTGATTCCCTTTTAACTCAGAGGGAATAGTCCTAATTGCTGCAGTCTATGTTTTGCAAACCATTCACCCATTTAGTTGTTCGTCTCTGAACTCGATCCAGGAGACTTTGTCTTAAACAGTGGTATAAATAATTCAAAGGTGATAGCACCAAGCAGTCTTCGCATAAAGGTAAGAGTTGCGTCAGACCTATCTGCCTACCTTATGTATTTAAAACTCGTATTCAGGCTTTGAGTGGTTATTAAACCAAGATTTCCCTCTGAGGAGACATAAGTGTAGAATCCTTTTTGAATGTTTTGTTTTTTGGAAAATCCCTCCATGTTTACATATTTTTGTTATGACATGACGGACCTTTTCTGTTGACATTTTTGTTATTTTATTTGATTCCAAATTGAGATTTTATCATTGAATATTGTTATTATTTCTATATTTTGTACTTATATTGAAGTTTTTATGTTTGCTTCTGAACTGTATATATGTTGTTTAAATTTGATCTTTAATATGGCTACAGCCATATTTGGATTGATACTGTGGCGGTTGAATTTAATATCACTTATTCCCTTTAATCTTGGATACTCTTCGGAGTAATTGCGACCTGGAAAGTGCATCAATTCCAGGTACTGCTTTGTATTTCCATCTTTTAATTAATATAGACCGTTTTCTCCTAGAATTGTTGCGTTTTTTTGGACCTTGGACTGGGAGATACGCGTACAAATTGCACTTACTGGAACCCATTTGAACTGCCACGGTAGAAATCTATTTACATTGCCTGCTTACCAACTTATCGCTTTACTTATTAATTTTTAACATTATTTTAACTCCTTTTTTTCACTTTCTCCTCGTTTCAGCTCCCTGTCTTTCCTATTTCCAAACTACCTATTAATTGACTCATCTTACAAATCATACCATTCGTTTACTTAAAATCAGTGTGATATGCTATGTGAATATATTGTCTGGCAAAGTTGTCTGGATTGCTTGTAATATGAAGCTAGTAGAGAAAGTTAATTCCGATAAGGTGTACAAAAAAATTGAGAGTAGACTAGAGAACATTATTTACAATCAACTATTAAACGTAAGAGAGCCTAACATCACAAAAGGACGGAGAGTGATGTATCTGACCAGCATTCAGTGGGGCGCTAACCTCAATCTACCCATGTCTGTGTGGCAGAACATTTTGTTTGCTTACGGCTACTTACGATATAGCAGGATGTAACAAGTCAGTGATACTGATGTTACTTTTCGTTTTTAACCTCGTCTACAACTCATGTCTGTAACCTTGCACTGGTTTTTACTTCCTAACGAGAAATCCTATTACAAGCTGGTCTGGACAACTATACTAGAAAAGAGCTCATTCATAACTTCTTGAGCCTCAGAGTTAAAAATAAAAAGAATAAATAAAACCAAAAAATCATATCACTGAGCCTCTTTATTATATTTTGTAAATCAACATTATTACTAACAACTTGGTTCTTCTGAATTTCCTCTATTCATTCGACTAACTTCCCATTAGTTATCTCACTACTTAATTGTCTTCATTAACCTACATAAGTGCAGGTGTATAGTTAGATTTATGATATTAAAAAAGTCTGAGTAAACATACCTTTGTTTTATCCATAAACGTATGTGCAAAGCCGTTGTTCGGCTTTGAACAAGAATATTTTCTGTTCTGCTCCTCGTCCCGTTTTCTTTATTCCTCTTTTTCTAGAACCTTATTCCAATCCACATATATTAGTCTGGATATTTGCAGTAGACTTGGTTACCCTACCGAAGAACATGTGAAATCATTAGCTGATGAATATCAACCAGACCTTTGTACATTTACCGCATCAATTCTTGTTATATGAAAACCTATGTCTACCATGAATCGTTCCTCAGTCCATAAGATGATTGTCGTAACGCAACCTTCGTAACTTGCGCCAATTACTCGTATTGTACATTCCATCTTTAGGAAAACAATGAATCTTGTGAAATGTTTCAGTAACTGTATAACGTTTTAAAAGAAACATGTTGATAATCTTAACATTTTGAATATGCCTGTAAATTGGCATGTCTCTTGTAACATGTTTGTTATTTGAGAATAAATTATTATTATTATTATTATTATTAAATTAGTTTTGCATGCTCGTCTTCTCGAGCCGTTTTGGGAAAGAAAAAACGAGAACGTATGTGCTTATCGAAATGAGCTTATTGTGTTGGAGAGCAAACAGTGCCACAATGAAAACTGGTTTGTGTACGGATATTTACCGTGTAACAGCGATTAAAATAACACACAAAAGGCTGTTTTAGTTTTTTAAAACTATAGATATATAAAGGTACATCGAAAATGTGTCATTCTGATTTATTGAAAGGTATGTGAGAATCTAAAACCTTTTTGGTTTACGACGTAGCAAAAGTCAACAATGCGAAAAAGGAGTTGTGAAACGTGGCACCAAATACAGGGAGGTGTGAGATTCTAAGTTATCCCACGCACAACAGTCGTTACTATACTCCAAGGATCGAACTGATATTCTAAGGCACTTCGTTTTAGGTTGCTATTCTGAAATGGACAACATTTCGTTGTTTAGTCCGTTGTGTTATAGTCTTAAGGATAGTGCCATTTATTTGCGCTTGCGAGGAAGACAGGGAAGTGGTAACCTTCTGTTTAGGTGGCTGTCAACCATTCGATGTTGATGTTGTTTTTAGTCCCGTCCCTGTCAGTCGTGCAGTACATAGTTTCACGGTGACGAACTTTACAGGATCCTTTCAGTGTGGTTTTGGGGGGTCAGCTTAATGAGTCCCGACATACGAACAGGTGTTTACTAAGTTGCAAGGCGGGTTGGACGAATACATCAGTGCCTTGAGGGCGATTAGAAACAGGCTTGACTGAACGCAGAGTGTTTGTAGACCTGCCTGTGTAGGAGTTTAGATTTACATCAGTTGTGACGGTCAATGATCTTTGAATGCTCATAGGAATCGGAGGGTCATACCTCGAACGAGTTAGGATGTTGTGAATCCAACGTCACATATCCTTGCATTACTAAAGCCAAGTGATGCAAGTAGAAGATCGTCTGTCGGCTGCGATGCTTTCGCATCTGAAAGTGACGCTATCAACTGCTAGTGGAACTCACTTACCGAAATGTTAGCACGCGATAGGTACGCAGTTGTTCGAAGCCGTGTGATTCGTAGAAAAGCAGTTAGGTAGTCAAAAGGTTAGGATTTGAACTGGCGTCCACACCCTGTAGTAATACTTGAATGAAATCTGAAGATTGCTACCCATCTTTCAAAGAAATGGGCTACCGATTCAGCAGTAATATCGATGACAGCTCAGACAACTGGATGAGCAACATATTTGTGATATTCCGTCAACTTGGTTTTAGCACGACTAGAAGATGTGTCACAGAGCAAAGCTTCCTGTTCTGCCTCGATTTGTTTGATTACTGGTTTCTGAGTTGCCTATGACAACTCGTGCCCAAAGTTAGTATCTTCTACTCCAAACTGGGCAGTTTAAAGGAAAGTGACTCGTCGAAAATTGTTTAGAGGCGTTTTTCGATACAAGAAGTATGTATATGCACTAATTATCGTCAGTTTTGTGTAGTCCAGTATGACACCACTTTTTTTCTAAAATTTTTAATATCTTGAGTGTCAATAGTGAATCTCAGAAAGTCGAGGGAATAGGTTTCAATTTGACGTTTCTGTATGTTTTTGGTAATACCATATTTCTGAAGTCGACGGAAAACAAGATCCAGATGCTGTGGATGAGATTTTCTGTCTCGACTTGTGATTAGACTTTCAGCCGCACACACATGCAAAAATTAGAGATCTTTAAAAACTTCATTAATTACAGTCTCATACGCTTCTGCAGCACTTCTTAAATAGATCAGCGTAGGCACAACTTCCTAATGTCTAAAGGAACTCGTTATGACTTTAGAAATATTTATTACTCTCTCAGTGAGCTCTGAAACCGAAAGGTGTAGGTTCACACGCATCTCGCCCAGTCCAAGTCCAAATATATAAATTCTGGGAAAGAACGGTTCAGGAAATTACCAAAAAATTATTACACCTTCGAGTTTCTAATCACAAAAGTAAGTTCCGATATTAGAAGAATAAGTGCTTCCAGTCAGTCTCAACGAGCTGCTGCTAGAGTATCAAATCCAAAAATGGGTGTAGCCATATTAAGTATCAATTTTAAACAACACATATATAGTTCAGAAGGAAACATAGAAACTTCAAAATAAGTACAAGATATATAAATAATAACAAGATACAAATGATAAAATCCCAAAATGGGATCAAATAAAGTACCAAAATATCGAACAGAAAGAGTCAGTCAGATCATAACACAAATATTTATACATGGAGGGATTTTCCAAAAACAAAGCCTTCAAAATAGATTCTACAATGACTGGTTTAGAAATATCTTCCTCAGCTGTTGGGCTCTGGTTATAGATCAAGTGGATTTTTGAAGACAGTTGTACCTCTTAAGATAGCTGTTAAGTCGTGAGTGTGAAGTAGCTGGTGCCATATCGAGCCTTGTTTCCGTGTGAATTCTTCGATGATCACCGTGCGACGGCAACCACTGCTGTTATTTTTTAGGACCGTACATAAAGGGGACTCTCACTTGCTGTTTGACTGTTGGATAATCCCTGAATCTATTATGTAATCAGACCTGTTTCTAACAGGTCTCAGCTTTTCAGGAGCTAGTCGTTAAGCTTTTGGTAATACAGGTAGTCTTATATGTGGTGTGCAACATTGATGGTTACAGACGTTAAGTGCGGTCTCGGGTAACCGTCGAGTACTTGATGGAGTAATATGTCAACTGTGTTAAACTGCAGCTGAGTATAACCTACAGTTAGTTTAGTAACATCAACAACTAACCTCCCATTGCTTTTGTGAACGAGTAGGTTGTGGAATTGTAGCAAGTCTATACCAATCACTGTCTCAACACGTCTGTCACAACAAACATCCAGTGAATGGGTTTACGTACACTCATGGTAAAGTGAACGTAATTTTTCACCGTCATTGTCGTTCAGACTGAATGAATGAAAACTGGATAATGTAGACGATCATTTATGTTACCTGAAAGGAAGCTTACTTCTAAACCAGAGCTGAGAAGTTAGTGAACCTTCGTCATCACAATGTATCTGTAAAGAAGACAGCTTTATCTACCAACAATAGATTCCATAAACGAGTGTAGGCAGGAGAGTTTGCTGGGGTGTTGGTGACAGGAGATTTAGGACTAGAGAAATCATAGGGTATCCTGCACTTTAAGGAAGATTAGCTGTGGGTGCTGTGGCCTACACCAACTCGGGCTATATGTTCTGCGCCGTCTAGGAACAGACTTTTTAAGGAAGTTTAACAAAGCATTTGCCCATGACTCCTCTCACATCCAAAATGCTTAAACCTAGGTCTAACTATTTGTCAGGACTGAGAAGGATCGAAGGTATATTTGAATGATTGTTGGGATTTCGAGGAGTGAATGAGCTAAGCTGGCTAGTTAACGCGAAGAAATGCGTTGCACGTTGTACCTCAAGGTGATCAGGTGCTGCTAAGTGATTAAGTACCTTCATCTAGATCGTTTTCAATAAAAGTAATGATTTCAGCGCCAATGTCGAAGACTTAGAAAATCATTTATTTCTGGGATTTATTTTAGGCTGTGAATGAACGGAGATGGATATATGAACATGAGATAGCCACGCTCACTACAAGGAGATTCTTACAGGAGCTGTACTGTTCGGAAACATACTGTTCGATCGAGTGTTTTTAGCTGAAACTGTAAGTTAAAGTCAAAATTATCATCAAACAGCAGCATCCACGAACTACTTTATTTTAAAATTCTTCGTACGGACATAGCCATATAATATAGAATCGTGACCCTATGTTTATGTTTTAATTTAACTTTCTACCACATTAACAACTGAGTGCCTAAAAAGTTAAAACTATAAAACTGTGTATAGTGTTTATAGATTTCCTAGTGTGTACTTGAAAGTTGTTATAGCGTTGCATCAGCGAAAACGAAAATCCGCGCATCATTTAGTTTCCTGGGGATAATGTCCGGCAATGTTGGGATGGAACAGCTTATTCCGTTGGTTAACCGACTGCAAGATGCATTCTCCTCACTGGGAGTCCCACTCAACTTGGACTTACCTCAGATCGCTGTTGTCGGAAGCCAAAGCGCAGGAAAAAGCAGTGTTTTAGAAAATTTTGTTGGCCGGTAGGGCTGTTTCACTACTTCTTTCATTATCATAATTAGAGACTTTCTCCCTCGTGGAAGTGGGATTGTCACACGCCGACCCTTAGTGTTGCAACTGATCAATTCGCGCAATGGTAAATTAAATGTGTAGTTTGACCTTTTCTACAATATTAGAATATGCTGAATTCTTACACTGTAAAAACAAGCAGTTTACAGATTTTGATGAGGTTCGCAAGGAAATAGAGGCCGAGACAGATCGACTAACTGGAAGTAACAAAGGAATATCAAATAGTCCTATTAACCTACGGGTTTACTCTCCTAATGGTAAGTTCGAAATATAAATTTTGGAAATTGTATATATTGTTTTGTGGTAACCGTGTTGATATCAGTTTTGTTCCGACAATTTCATTTAAATTTCATTTGATTTCGCGTGTAATTGTTGACATTGTTGATATCAATAACATTTCGATCCCATAGAATTCATATAATTGTGAATACAAAAGTAATGATTTTGGAGGATTGCTTGAATAACGGTTAGTTAAATGGCTTGTGTTTGTTAAGTCGAATTCAAATGATCATTCAATAGGCGTCTAGTCGGTCTAAATGCTGAATATTGATTTCAGTAAATATTGTTTAAAGACGGCTGTATTTTTATTTTATCTAAATGAGTTGCATACTGTTCAGTACCAGTTTAATATGAAACAAATTTATTTAAATGCCCTAATACTTATATCAACATTGCTAGTATATGCAGGATCCCACGTTTGGTCGTGGGAAAACGATTGATTTGAAAATCCATTACATTAATATGTTTTACACCGTTATGTCAATAAAAGTTCATAGCTTTTCACCTTAATGTGTAAACTACTATGTTCACATTTAGATTTTAGCATCACTATTGTCTGTATTTTCCTGTGAGGTAATTAAGTAATTCACCACAACTGTAATCTGCACATTAGTTCGTAATTGCAGAAGCGATTCTCAATAATGTAGGTCGGTTAACTTAAATTATTCCTGTCCGAAATTTATTATGTTCATTTTGATTTTCTGTTGTCTCCGGACTATTATTTGTGTTTTGTCATCTGTCCTTTTGTTTCCACGTTGTAAAATTTATTAACTTGATTGCTAATGAAAGTCATTTGTATCATTAAGAAAGTGAAAATGCTAAACAAGCAAACAGTGTGGAACCAGTCAGCCCAATCTTAGACCATGTACATTCATTAAAATGACGTTTATCATATTTATCTCTTTGTGTTTATTAAAACTTTGTATTCAGAGATTTTGTACTGTTTGAGAAGGGTACTTTTTGTAGTGCTTTTCATAGATCAACTTAACAGTTATGTTGCTTGTGTAAATCTTAACCGAAATATGTGAGTTAAATCATCTGTGCTACTTCCATTTTCATATGAGTTGATTAGTATACTCAATTGCAGTAAATCCTCAGGTTATCAATCTATTCAGGTTATTTCACTAATTATTCATCAGTTATCCATTTAATTCATTACCGAGTAGCATTATGATAACTTTGATTGTTCATATTTCTGTCAACTGTTCTAGTTTATTCAGTAATATAAGGTTTCCTAAGATTGTATTATCAACTGTTTATAGATGTTTCTTATTCTTTCGTTTTGTCTTATCAATCAGTCAGTCGTGGAGATAAGAGATATTAGGGGTGTAAGAAAGATTTGATATCGACCGATTTGGTCTCTCGTGCTGTTACGGGTATGAGGTCGGTTGTCACTTCCCGGCTGCCCACACCGTGGGAGGTTGTTTCGTGAGGGACCTGAAAAAGAAGGTAGATTAATGTTGATCTTAGAGACCTGGGTGCGTGACCGCAGAACCCAGGGGACAACTGCTTGAGGCCGGTCACGCACGGCCTTTTGATGAAAAGTTTTTTTAGTATTAACTCCGCTCTTGGAAGCCCTTAGTGGGCACGCTTACCACCGGAGACAGAAATCCGTGAGGTAGGGTGAGGTGTGAGATTTTTAGGGTCGACCTTTTCTAACCCTTCCTTCCTTGTGAGAAGGCAGCATCGCTGCAGATGCTGGTTGTCCGAGGGAAACACCTTACTGCTGTCACACCTCTCTGCAGTCAGCAGTATGACTTCGCCCTCAGACCTTGAGTAGCTGCTTATAGTCTCATTGTTCTCCAATCGACCTGCGTGGCATGGTAGAACCTTCAGGAACATATGTTCCAGCCAATACAGCTCGGTTGGGTCATCACGATAGGCGAGCCCGACCACCGAGTCAAGGTAGCAGATACGGTCGGGCATTTTGTTCTGTATATAACATTAGTTCTGTCTACTTAAGAACATATTTGATTATCGGTTCATTTCGTGTCTATAACTGTAATCAGAGTAAGTGAATAGAGAACGTTTTTTAAAATCGAGTTTGCTGTTGTAACGTAGCTGTACTAGTCTCATATGTTTCTAATGATATATTTCTAATTACCTTAAATGCTTATAGAAAATGACACACACGACCTCCGTGTATGATATCTTAGTTATTTTTAACTTATTTCCAAATAATTACTTATGTAAATTATGTCAAGTTTCTTAAAACTTTTAAGGTTGATTCTTAAAATGATTCAAAAGAAACAGAGCATTTTATGTAATCTGTCGAATTTTAACCGTATATTTTTTCAGAAAAGGAATTATTTTATCTTAAGCATGTGCCATGAATTAAAATAAGCTTGGATAAGATTTTGGATTATCAACTGTGCATTTTCTCGATTCTTTTCAAGAAATTAAGATGCCCTGAGTAAAAATTAATGCGATTCTCTGGTTGTACGATAACTGAAACAAAAAGATCAAGTCAGGTTTTGTGTCCAGTGATGCCAACTGATTTACTACTTCCAACCTAAAACAATAAGAACTAGACTGTATTAAAAATGGCTGGATACTTTGATCAAGTTGATGAAAATATCATTCATATAAAAGATATCACAGTGTCACCTAATCAAAATTCATGTAAATGAATTCGAGTGACAAGGCTTGCCAGTAAAGCCGTTTACTTTGAAGATGATTAAATTTTCATCTGAATATCTTAAAGAAATATATAAACACAGAACAAAATTAAGAATTATTTAGAAACGGCGGAAGATTAACAGGATATATTCACTTGCTATCTGTCTAACAGTTTATTAATCATGCCGATGTAGAGTAACGTCGTTTCTTTTGTTATCGTAGAGGGCAATTTTATCAACAAATCACCTTCAATTTTTCTAAGAAAGTTGATGAACATTAAATTAATATACACATGAATCCTATATGATTGGCGCTTTCACTTTGACGTAGTTCTGTGACAAACTGTTCCGTTATAAACTGTTGAGTCACCCAATCGAAACCCTTTATGGTTGCTTTTGTCTGCTCATTCTAATGGTATCGTTAAATGCTGAATTTCTGAATCCGCAAATATGTACGTAGTTTATGTACAATCTTTCCTTCTACTCTGGATTGTTATAGAATTTATTGGAATTCACCATGCCACTTATATAATCTCTTTCAGTTCTCAACCTAACTTTGATTGACTTACCTGGAATGACTAAAGTCCCTGTTGGCGATCAACCTCTAGATATTGAAGTCCAGATCAGATCAATGATTTTGGAATTTATTACACAGGAAAATTGTTTGATTTTGGCTGTTTCTCCAGCAAATTCCGATCTAGCCAATTCAGATGCGTTAAAGTTGTCCAAAGAAGTGGACCCTCAAGGTTTACGAACAATAGGAGTAGTAACAAAGTTGGATTTAATGGATCAGGGTACGGATGCTCGCGAAGTCTTGGAAAATCGTCTTCTACCACTTAGAAGAGGTTAGTGTCGATTTGTTTACTTTAAAATCCCAATCTTTTTCTTATGATTACAAACTATTCGGAATTACCAGTGTTTTTTTATTTTATGGGAATTAAGAAATACTTGAGCATAAAACAGAGACGGCATTACATATTCGAGATGCAGTTGTTTAAAGTCAAACTCATAAACAGTTTGAAAAGTATAAATGACTTCAAACGGAGCATATTCGTACTTTTGTGCGTCCATTCAGTCCGCGATCTTCTACTCAGTAATTTGTCCCATAGTAATTAAAAACTATGTAACTGGAGTTAGAATTTTTTTGGGGTGCATCTCATGCAATAAAATCTAGAAAAACGTGGCTTCAGAATTCTAATCCTCAGCTAATGATTGAAACTTGATCCCGAAATTATTTTTCTTTAAAGACTAAGCCATTCTCTAAAAGTATCAAATTACAGTATAAGTTTAAGATGAAAATATTAACTGGTAAATTCTTAATCATTAGTTTTGGTGCTAATAAATTCTTCTTGAAGACTGTAGTTTCTGAATCTGAATTCGGAGATGATCGGAAATACTTTTCTACTTTGGATTTTTAACTGCAGATAAAATAACGACTAGCTCTCCACTTGCCAGGTCAATTGGTACTCATGATGAACTTCAATTAATAATATCTATTTACTGAATTTTTATGATATTCAGATGTTTTACATCACTTTGACGATGTCGATTACAACATCTAATTCATGATACGTAAGTTTCTGTCGTTTATACACAAAACAGTCAAGCATATTTCTTGCATCAGGATTTTCGATACTAACATTCTGAAAATGTCCGAATCTCTCCCACTTTTGTGTAACTACCTTCTCTCACAAAAAGCATCTCTACTAGCTTAAAGAAGCTGTAATTCAGAATATGTGTGATGCCTCAATCAGACATCGTCGTTGAAATATTTGATTTTAAATGAATTCTGTTTAACCCTATATAAAAATTTCGTTGCTTTCTCTGAACCATATCTATTCACAAGAAGTGTAATCTAACTAAAAATCTAATTTATACCATATTACAGTACATCATGTTTTTGTTAAGTTACTAACATAACCATTTCCACTCAAATCATATTTGGCTCACAACTAATATAGTACAGTTTGTATAGATGAAAGTATTTTCATCTTTGATTATCCTTCGTTATACCATTTCGTCCTTTCCTATCTTAGATTTCAACTCTTTTCACCTGCTTTTTTCTCCCGCTACTTTTGTTCATTTCGTTACTTTGCTATAGTTTTTTGTTCTCCTCTCATCAATCAATAGATTGAGAAATAATTTTGATTGGCTAACCAATAGAGTTCTATTCATAAACATTGGATTTTCATTCCTACCAGCTATTGATCTTGTTTCTATACTTATTGATATTATGCTCTAGTAACCTTTCTTTCATTCAATTGTTCACTGTTGATAATAATGTAAAACTGAATAGATGTTTCTTAGTGGGAGGGGTGAAGTTATTAATTGAGTTGGGTCACGTGCTCGCTTTTACAATAAATCTAAAAAGATAGGGAAGATAATTCACCAAACTATGAAATTTCTTTTGGTTTTTTTTGTGAAGAAAATTAATAAATAAGTTACCACAACTAAATCATCAAATGTATAATTGAAACTAGCCTTAACTTACCCCTTTTGTACACCCTGTACTCTTGTAGGCAAGCTGTGAGGTAATCGGAGAAATGCACTACTACACTCACGTTCGATGTTGTTCCATGTACTCGATAAACTTATGGGAGGCAGTCGAAGATACATCAGAATAACATAAAGTTATAAAAATATAGTTAATCGCTCCAAGTTATTAAATAATAATTCCGACGTAAAAATATTGATGAAAACAAAATCTAGAGATGATGTAAAAGAATACATGGATAAAAAATAATTATCTTATGATAAAATATTAAGTATTTAAAATATGATGATTACATCTTCACCATCGATAGATTTGAGGTACTGTCAACTAATACATCTAAGCTCTGATTTTAGACGTACCAGTGTCACCAATTGGCCTTCATGCATTGGACAGTAGGAAAGATTTTATGGTTCACGATAAAAATTTTGTTAGTATAATCTTTCTAGCTTACCATTGCTGTAAATAATTTTATTGGTTGAAGAGCAAATATATCATTTCGTAACTTGTTTTTTATGTAAAAAATTTAACCTATTAATATTTTAAATCGCTTAAATGTATTAAGTTATTCATGCTGTTTCTTTGACAGTTCATTCTGATGAAATGCAAAGTCTAAAAGTGGTCAAGCCGTTAACAGATTTAGTGTTTGTTTAGACTACGTAACTACTCGTGAGTTCAGTTAGTAATAAAACTCATACTGTCATCAGTAGTTACTATTCCTAACAAATGTAGAAGACATTTACCAAAAGTAACAGTTATTTTGTCACTAGGATATGTAAGTCAACAACCAACAACTTATGGAATGTTTCAAGGTGTAGGTTTTAAGGTTTTCAATGTTCGATTTATAAGAACTAACAGTTACATGTTTTAAAACTGTGGAGCACGTCCTAACTGATTGTTTTTATTCCTTTTTAAGTCGACTTGTTCTATGCAATGGTGCTAATAAAGTAGGTTAATATCAACAGTTGTTTGCTTAACTGTTTGACGTAAACGCAATTTAAATAGGTGTTTACCAAAATAACTATATTAAGTATATACGCTTGTCCCCAAATGCCAAGATACAGCTGAGTGCAGAGAGCTCCCTCTTTCCCTCGAAAAGTTCCCATTTGACCACGCGTATACAGCCACTGCTGGGTAAGTCCTATTGCCTTCTCGTGGCAAGGGTGTTGCTCAAAAAATCAAGAGGACGGAAAGCGAATATCCGGTGAAGCTTAAAATGGGTTGGTGGGCACGGAGGACCCACTTCGAAGAGTTGGGACGCGGTGATTCCAAATCAATGGTGCACATGGCCTCAGTATTCTGACAAGAAAAATGACGTACGAACCCGTTGTTGGTCACCGACCACCGTGGGACTACATCTCTTCACGTTGCTTCACTGCATTGTTGATTAGACATGTAGATCAAAGATTTGGGGACAGGTCTTCTAAGAAAATCACCTGTTTTGGTTCGAGCACGTGGTCAGTATTCCAGCCATCTTACAAAATCAATAATTTTTTAGGTGCATTCTATTTAAGTGCTTCTTCGTATCACTAATTGTTTCAATCAATCAATAAATAAAATATCCTCTCATTGTTATCAGTTCATCAAATGTTGTAACATAAACCAGCTTTTTCTTCATCTAATCATTATAAATGATATTGTGTTTCCTTCCTGTTTGCCAGGTTATATCGGTGTGGTTAATCGTAGTCAGCGGGATATTGAAGGTCGTAAAGATATTAAAGCAGCTTTAGCAGCTGAAAGAAAATTTTTTCTAAGCCATCCATCATATCGTCATATGGCTGATAGAATGGGTACACCATTTTTGCAATCTACATTAAATCAACAGTTAACCAATCATATTCGAGATACTTTACCTGGTCTAAGAAATAAACTACAATCGCAAATGTTAGCTATGGAAAAAGAAGTTGAAGAATATAAGCATTACAAACCTAGTGATCCGTCTTTTAAAACTAAAGCTTTGCTATTGTAAGTTTTATTATCTTTACTAAGAAGAGTACAATCTGATCTCATATTCTCTTAATATAAACTTTGTTAATCTCTTACTCGAAAGCTTTTTTAATCAGTAACCGTTTATATTTTCAAACTGCTTTATTTTTCTGTTTGATTATGGCAGTTGTGTACTATGACGTAATAGTTCTATTATGTATGCATGCTATTCTGCATGTTTGATTTAATAAGGTTCTATCTGCCTAGAATTCTTGATCTCAGTTGCAGAATCTATTTTCACCAAATAATTAGTATCAATAAAAAAATGTGGATTCATGTACTAAATGTTATATATATATATATATATATATATATATATATATATAATGCTGCGAACAAGAAGGCTACCTACATGAGTAAAAATGTGAGTAATCTTCATGGTGTGTATTTTCGATCTATTAATTTAAATCATCATATTTGAACCAATAAGCGACTGCTACACTTCCTCGTATATTCAAACCAAGCTAACGATAACACTGTGTATTTTTATTGTTTGGAACGGAGTTACACATTGTATACCACCACCTAGTGTATCGGTGGTTTTGGGTGGGGTTAGTATATCTAGTAGAATGAACGTTTCTTAAAATGGATATGTTTAAAGATTTATGAGACTAGCTCATGTAAACTAGAAATTTTCAGATTTAGAAAAATCATCTTCATGTTTCTGCATCTGTTAGAACAGTAGTGTTTTGTTCCTGATCTTCTTGTTTTTTTCTATCTATCCGCATATTAACCCCAAGGAGTTTCCTTTGGCTTAAAGATATGTCATGCCATACAGACAATGAAACGTAAATACGAGGTTTATCATCTTATTATTCGCATTTATCAAAAAGACAAACATTGTTAAACATACAATGTACATTTTTATTAGATCCTACTTTATTCATTCCTATTGAATCCAACTAAGGCTATGCTACAAAAGGTTTCACTTCATTTATTAATAAATTATAAATGATTCATAATTATGGTATTATGCATTTTTTTCCGCTTCAAATTTCAGAACAGTGCAAAGTTTTGAAAAAGATTTTCATCATGCAATTGATGGTGGAGGTGCAGAAATCGATACAAAAACACTATCTGGTGGTGCATTAATTAATCGTATATTTCATGAGCGTTTACCATATGAAATGAATAAAGTAAGACGTGTAATAATTTATTTTTATGAAATCTGTTCAGCTTACTTACTTACTTTCGTCTATTACCCCCCAATGGAGCATAGGCCGCCGACCAGTATTCTGGTTAGCGTATTTCTAGGGAGTTAGTTTTCTATGGGATGGGGTCGCCAACCCCATGCCTAACCCTCCTCCTTTATCCGGGCTTCGGACCGGCAGTAGCCCCAGAGCGGCTCCAGGCGGAGTTCAGTCTGTTCAGCACTATCAGAAATACGTTTATGATGTTGATAAACCATATAAGTTTCACTTTACAAATATAATCAAATAGATAATCATTTTGACGATTCTAAACGGCTAGTTCGTGTGCCGTGTTATTATTGTTGTGTAGTTATAAATAGATTTTTGTTTAATCGTAAATGGTTTCCTGTTACAGGTTGGTATTCAATTTACTGATGAGAGTGACAGTTGTAGAAATCGAGTTTCCCCTTATTAGCATTATGAGGTATCTCCCAAAGGGATCCTATCCAGTTTATTCACTTTTTAATGGTATTTTTCACACCTGTAGAAGTTGACTTGTAGCGTTCGGTGTTTACGAAAGGTTATCAGTGTGCGTTGAAAAATCATGATTAATATCCAATGGTCCAATCTTAGCTGTAGGATCTACCAGAAATGTATTTTACTGTGGCGGTCACTAGCTACCGCTAAAACACATTCGTCGACATTCCTAACCCGTTTTGTGGATTGTACTTTCAAATAGAAAGCTTCGGATAAATTTGCCAACTTCTCGCTAGATTTTATCCACTTGTGATTTCGATGTTGAGTACAAAGTTTGAATATTTCCATTTGAATGTTAAGTTTCTCTTTAGGTTTAGGCACATTAATTTACAAATATTATGATTATGCAGTTTCTGAACCTGAATTTTATGAAATTCTCAAATCAGTTTGTTTCAATGATTAATCTATTTAATTATCGTCAGTCAAATCATAGACCTACAATACAAATAACTGCTTCCTTCACATGAGCTCTGATGTTGTGGCAGCTATTTTTAATAAAAAGCTTTTGCTAATGTCTGTGTGTTTAGATCCAATGTTAACTTACATATTAGACTTGCAAAAAGCATGTAACATTCTTAGAAATATTTCCATCTAAAACATACACCTTTTGTTAGTCAAATTCATATTGATGACTGATAAATAGAAATCAACATAATTACCTGGAAAAAAAGATGTATATAAACCCAAGTTGTTTAACCGCATTAGTGTGATGAGATTAAAATAACAAAATAGATCGAAGTAGTGTATTAACAATGATAAAAAGAATGACCGAATATTTCTAAGAAACTGAATGAATAGTTATTTGTGTAAGGATGATGCAATTTTAAAATCTAGAGTATGAGGAAGAGTTAATGCGTCTGTACCATTGTAAATGATTGTAAGCCGACCATTGATTGCGGTTATCACATGAACCCCAACTAGGTAGTTTCCATCTGTCGATATGAATTAGACCAACTGTCAATCACTTCATGCATCGATGATACATTTTGGCTTGATAACCCTGAGCTTTCATATTCATACACATCTGTGTACCGAATTTTCTTTATTTTATATTCTAAATCGTTTTCTTTCCATGTTTTGTTTTGATTGTGGTTGTCTTCATTAGATCGAAACGGATGAAGAAGAATTACGAAAAGAAATAAGTTATGCAATTCGTAATATACATGGTATTAGGTAAGTTGTTGATTTTCATGTGCATTTCCTTATATTTCAAAAGTTGATAATACTTAAAAATTAAAACAACGGTAATTAATATTGACAAACATTGTAAAATCGATCTAGGCGTCTGAGATTCGTATGAGACTTAGTACCTTTTATTTAATTGACTTTGTCAAGTTGTTTAAAATGCAGTCTTAGTACAGCGATATTAGACCCTACACATATATTCATGTAATGTAGAAATTGAATTCGATGTAATTTCTAGAATGCGGCCAAAACATATATACTGCATTAACGTACTCGGTATAATTCCTTTCATTTGGTTCCTATATAGAGAGACCTTACTAATGACAACAAGAAGTTATGAGCATACAGTACTAATGGAAGCATGAAACCTGTCCAGCTATTACATTAGTTAAATATGATTAACTATCTTCTCATTCTGTAACGTATAGAGTCGTTATCCATAAGTGTGTTGTGGATGTGGGTTCACCAGTTCTGTGGTGGTTGGTATTTGATATATTCCTCAACTTCGTATACGGCTCATCCTGATAACCGTTAGTAGATAACTCCCAATAGTGTATAAATCAGGAGACCAATACAAAGTGTTGATTATGTTTATTATCGCATCACACACAGATCACAAAACCACAGGCACACGAAGCGAAAATGATACGCGAATGCCGAAGAGCAAGCGAGTCAGTGAGTAGGATTAAAATGTAAATATATATACATGGGAAAATGGATGAGTCGATCCATTTGTCAGTGACTTGATGGATTTGTGCCATGTTTTGGTTTGTCCACCCCTACCTTTCTTCCAACCTACTACACCACGAAACATTGCTTGTCGAGGCAGTCGGTAGTTAGGCATTCGTAACAAGTATCCCAACCAATGGTACAGATAAGTTGTTGCTTTACTAATGACTCTGTTAAATAAGTTATTCAAAAGAGCTTAACTAAATTAAATGTATACAAACTCAATTGTATGTGAGTTGCTATAAGTGCTCTGACCTAGGTTTCCTCTCTACTTGAATCTCCATTCTCATATCATTCAATAATCAAGGCTGCGGTATTTCTGATAGCTTAATTGTTGTTGTTCAGAAGTTGTACAAATATCTAATATTAACTTGGCAAAATTTTTTTGTTTCAATAGAACTGGACTGTTCACGCCTGATATGGCTTTCGAAACTATAACTCGTAAACAAATTGATAAAATGAAAATACCGTCATTGAAATGTGCTGATTTAGTTGTGGCTCAGTTGACTGAAATTGTGCATGCATGTACTGCACGCGTAAGTACATACTGTGACCAATAATCCTGTTGCTAATATTATGACTATAATTTTTAGTGATTTTTTCTGGTTACCGTTTATTTAGCGAGTTGGTTTTCTACGGGATGGGGTCGCTAACCTCACACTCAACCCTCCTCGTTTATTGGAGCTTGGGACCAGCAGTAGCCTCAGAGGGGCTTCAGGCGAAGTTTTTGATGTTAACTTGTAAAAAGTATTGCATAATAAATTTAACGTTCTAAGTTTATTTGATTGTTTACTATTTTGTTTAAATTAATGACATTGTAGATGGAGAATTTTCCACGTTTAAGAGAAGAAACAGAACGTATTGTAAATCAGTGGATTCGAGAAAGAGAAATTCGTGCCCGAGATCAAATTGTACTTTTGGTTGATATACAATTATCTTATATGAATACCAATCATGAAGATTTTATAGGTTTTGAAAGGTAACTTTAAATAATAGTATTATTATTGATTCAGTTGATGACGTTTACCGATGTTACAATGTATCAGTTGTTCGATAATTTGATCTTTGTTACATATAAAATGTACCCTTCAAACATATTCTCCTTATTTTGATGTGGATTACTAAAGCATTATCGTCTGTTAGCACGATAAAATATGTTTAAATTGACAATGTACTCTACGAACACATATATGGACGCCAAAATATTTTTAATTTAGTTGGTATTAGTATACCATAAAGTTGTCTATATCACATATTCCATTCTTTTTTTATCATATCATTAATTAAAATTACATTGCAATAATGGAAAATTTTGTTGATCATTAATAGCATATATTTCTTGTCTTCAGTCTTTAATAATTAATAAATTTTCTCATAATGTTTTCCTATTTGTTATTGCGTACAGTTGTGAATTAGGCATATATATATTTTTTATCCCTATCACATTTATCAAATTGTATATCAATGTGTTATATACTTGCATATTTGATTTATTCTGTTAAAGATTAATGAATTATTGCACTGTGTCTTGTATCATAAACTTTTATTATATTGAAGTATGTGACAAAGTGTATGGTTATATGATATGAGGGGATTACAATGAATGTCGTCTAGTGCTGTGCGCCTACCAATAATAACAATAAGGACGATAATGATCAGTTCTGTAAAAGTCTGCATTCAGTTTGGGAGAAATGTCCAGCAAAGGATTTGACCATTCTGATGGAAAATCTAAACGTCAAAGTTGGAATGGACAACATCGGGTATGAAGGATATCACGAGACAACGAGGACTGGGAGAAAGAAATGAAAACGGTGAGAGATTCGTAAATCAATAAAGTGGTTATAGGCTGCACGATTTTGCAACACGATGCTACATGGGTTTCATCGGATCACACTACCGAGAAGCAAATTAATCACATCTTCACAAATGAAAAGTTCAGAAGGACCATAGGAAATGTGGGAACGAAGAGAGGAGTTGACAGCTTCATGTCATCACTTCATGGTAGCCAAGATTAAACTGATAATAGCGAAAAGCACTGGACAACTGAGCGAACAGCATCACGGAAGTTTAATACAGCCCTTTTTCGGGACACTGGCAACCTCAGCGAATTTAAGATAGCTTTCTACAATAAGTCCCAGGCCTTTCACAGTCTACTCAGTGCTGAGGAAACTACCATGGAGAACAACTAGAAATGGATCAAGGAAGCAATAACTTCAGCTTGTCATGAGGTTTCGGTCCACAAGAAACACCATCACAAGGAATGAATCTGTGTAGTGTGCCTGATAAGATAGCACGATACAGAATTCTCACAACGGTCTTCACTGCAAAATTGTGCATGGAGGGCAGCTCATAGACTCGTTCCAAGTGAAGACCGGTGTCAAACAAAGTTGTTCATTGTCACCCAGCTGTTCAATCTTTCTTATTATCGTTGCTACTACGTTTCTTATCTCTTCTTTTCATTTCATCTTGTTATTTTCATCTCTTCGTACTAATGTGGTGCGGCAACTCTTGAGCCAACGTAGATCTTCAGACTCTGCTTTACTGATGACCGACTGGTTTCTACCAGTTCTATCTTCATGAATCACTTCCATTGATTCCAAGTTTCTTTCTAATTCATACAGTTACGGCAATTAATTTCAAGTTAGCACCTAGCACTACATTTTAAAGGATACAGATTAAAATAAAGCTACAGTTAAATATTTTCTGGTTTTTTTAATGATAAATGGGTATTTGTATATAGTAAAAATATCTATCTATATATATATATAATCGTCATACGTTAATATCTCAACAGAATCTTTCCATTCACGCATTTTCCACCAATCATGAATGTATTTCTATTCGTTAATATGCTTTCTTTAGGAATTCTCTGATTCATACGCCGCTATGTGTACTACGGTATGATTTTAGTGTCAAGCTACTATTAATCATAACATTACAGCTGTTATCATTTGAAATTACGTTTGTTCACCTTCTTTTTTTTTCTCATGTCTAATTATTTAGCGTGTTTCATTGTTGGTGAATTTAACTATATTATTATTATAATTAATAATGAATAGAACTTTTTAATCATTTAATGTAATAATCTGTATATATGTGAGAGTGTCAGTGTATATGTGTGCTCAACTGCTTGCTTATACTTGCTTTTGTGTTTTTTTAAATTTATGCTTACATAAATCATATTTTGTTTAATTTTTTCATCAGTTCATTAACTTAAAAGTTGTTAATATTCATCAACTGATGTGCTTAATAAAAAAAAACAGACTTTTGTTCTACTAGATTCCACCTAAAAACTGCCTTCATTTTAAATTCATTTTCAAGTTATATAAGTGCATTAATAATCGTCGACTCGATTAGCTCACTGTATTTTTATCCATATTTGATGCCTATCAGCTAAGTTCATTTACATCCTAGTAAAACTTACATAGAACTAACTTTTTTCAAGAGGCTACTGAGCGTTCAATGAATCTTAAAGAATTGTTTTCAACTGTAAAAAAGAGTGAGCAATATTCTTGAACACATGTTTAAGATAATAAAAAGTACAGTGTGATGAGATTTGAAGTTATATACGTTTAATATCACTCAGGTTAATCGATAAAATCTGAATTCAGAAGTACAACTCTATCAACACGCTATCAAATAAACTATTATATTGTTTACTGTTTTTAGTTGTGCTGTTCATGTTTATCTATAAGCGTTTAATGTCAGCCAAATTCATAAATCTGTACTCATTGACTTGACTATATTCATTTCGATCTATTCTCCCTTATATATATATATATATATATATATATATATATATATATATATATATATATATATATATATATATATAATATTGATCAAGTTAATTAATTTAAAGAATTAAAAGTTAGGTTGTTTATCTATCTCTTCTTTTCCTTTTTCTCTGTAGTGCAGAACAACAATCGTCAGAAGTGACAAAAAATAAACCTGGAAATAAGATCAGCTCAGTATGTTCTGTAATTTAGTTTACATATATATGTTTAAATTTTATTATGTTAATGTACAAACAGATTGCCTCTGTTAATTGATGTTTAAATTCTGTTGATTCCGAGTAAACATTGTAGTTTACAAGTATTATCATTTTTACTGTTTGCTCTGATCAGTGTATGAGGCAAAATAAAGTTGACCACCAGTGATACTACTCGACTGTCCACACCTTACCAGTTGCTATAAGATATAAACTTGTATTTTAATGATTGAATGCCAAGTACTTAAACCACTAAACTGTCGTCCTCATTTTTTAAAAACTTATTTTACTGAATTATACTTCTTGAATAATTTCTTCGAACCCTAATCTCCTCCATTACCGCTAGTACTTTTACTCCTGAACTTATGTACGTACGTATGTACGAAGTTCTACATTGTAACTGACTGACTGACTAAACTACCACCTCTAAAATATGCAAATCCCTCATCTTTATGAAAATTGTCTACAATATTATAGTTTGGAAGTAGGCCTTGTATCCAATCTCCGGTATCCTGTATAAAAAAATTAAATCTGTAGAATATGCAACAGACAGGAAAATAATCAAAAATAGATTTACATTTTCTAAACATCGTTTATGTTTTCATAACATGTATAAGATATCTAACAACCTATTTTGACATATCTTTCTAGATTTTTAATCAGAATCAATTTGTTTAAATCGTTATAAATCTGTACGTCTTATTATCTATTGTTTATGAGACAACTTTTCAGTTTATGTAAAACCTTTGTTTGTTTACATTTTCAAGGTATAATAAATTATTTTTCATACATTAGAAGCAGACAAAAATTATTTTCTTTTTATTGGTCTAATGATTGTTAATCATTATAAATAATTGCGATTCACAAATATCACATGTCGAAAAAACAACACGACATTAAATTCATTTGTCCGTCACAAGATGTTTTTTGTAGACATCATTAACTTTTAACAGTAAATTTATCGCATAATTTTTACCTACCGATAAACACTTTGACTTACTACCTGGTCCGTATACAATGCCAACTTGTAGACTATCGAATTTCTAGTGTACACATGATTCATTCCTGACGGCAGATGTTATTTCTTGACATAGTTTATTTTTTAACTCATAGGAATCTCCCTATTGAAAACTGGGATACTGAGTTTATAGAAGACATTATTTGTCAAAGATGATATTTAAAACAATCTCAGCGATTCATGTGTAAATAATTCTAACGTTTCACTTGACATTCAAGCCTAAATCATATATATATGTACATATATTTGATCAGTGAATAACAAATGTGTATTCTTACATTGTTTTTCACTTACGACAACTAATGGTAACACTAATTTTATTTGTTTATCAGGTAATTCGTAAAGGTTGGTTATCTTTGCAAAATGTTACTTTACTTCGTGGAGGTAGCAAAGATTTTTGGTTTGTATTAAATACTGAATCGTTAACTTGGTATAAAGACGATGAAGTAAGTTGTATAAATGAACTATTCTCATGATTTTCAATTTTGCATACTTTGATATTTGCTTTGCTTTTTGTTTATTACAATAAAACTTTGAAGTCTTTCATTTAGTTCTTTCATATCTAGATGAAATCAATTTAGAACTGATTAGTTTTATATGTTGACATTCCTCAACTGTTGTTTACAGGATGTACATTTCCTCGTAACTATGACTCACGGGCGTTGCTCGTTTATCCTGGGATTGTCGAGTAAGCAATGCAGTTGTTAGGAAACGGGTACTAGGCAGGGATAGCAGATCGATAGATGAAGTAGTGAAACTTCATAAATTGAGGAGGTTGCGATATGTGTTACGAATGCCTAACCACCGAGTGCCTCGTCGAGCTATGTTTTGTGGTGTACGAGTAGGTTGGAAGAAAGCCAGGGGTGGACAAACCAAAACATCGCACAAATCCATGAAGTCACTGACAAATGGATTGAGTCATTTCGGTAAATGTAGACTACTTGGTTGGGGTCCGTGAATGATAGTAATAGATGGTTAGAGACCTTGAATGACCGTTTGCAGTCGTGCAGGTGCATTAATTCTTTGTGTTCTTTCAAATTCCAATCATCTGAATTCCTCATGACCGTTTTTCCTCTTCTTTTAACTGATTCCTGTGGGGTATACATCTCGAACGATGTATTCGATCATTAATCTTTTCCATTACTGCTAATACTTCCACTACCTCTACTACTATAGGATTTGAATTGATAATTGCGTCTGTGTGCTAATGTATGGTATGGCAACTTGAACTATGACTCGCCAGTTCATTTTGTCAATAAGAATGTCTCACATCATCTGTTCCATCAGGATACATTATTCCACTGATTTTCGAAAACCTATTGAACTGTGCAATGTTTCCTCAACGTTTCTATTGGAATTTTGTAAAGAAATTTCTAATGACAATTTAAACGGAATGCGTATAGCTAAATATGTTTGAGGCAAGCTAATTAATGTACAAACAAATAGGTTATATGTTTACTTAGTTGATCCGGTGACATCTATTGTTGTTGACAATCCTCTCTCTCTATATATGTATACATTAAATTACTGATTAATTTATATCAATTACTATGTAGTTCAATTTATTCATTCCTACCTATTGACCAAACAAGTAAACCAATGTATAACTCAATGTAAGTTTTGTATAGTTTTTGACTCGGTTGTTGAATAAAATAGGTCGTTGTATTTGTTGTGAATTCATTTCTTGTACATAATAAATTCATCGCAATTTCACTTTACTTATATCATGACGTATTAGTTCGTTTTCAGTTAGTAGAAGGGCAAATCACCTGTTATGTCCACAGTATGTACAACTAGCTATGCCAGTACTTTGTCAAATGATAGCAGAATATAACATCATTAAACAGAAACATTTACTGATTTATTCCCATTGAGATCTAAATATTTTCTATAAAATGCACACATATCATCATTGTTCATTGGGAGTACAACTAACTACAATTTACAACCAAAGAATCAATTACATTGTGTTTTTTTTAAAACTTATTTTACTTGTTGTCACAGTAACAGATAAAGGCAACTAGGTACAAATTACTCCACTGTTAATTTTCTTTTTATAATTTTTTTTTCAGGAGAAAGAAAAACGTTATGTTCTCTTATTGGATGGTTTAAAAATACGTGATATTGAAACAGGATTTTTTGGTAAAAAACATGTTTTTGCACTATTCTATCCGGATAATCGTAATGTTTACAAAGACTATAAACAAGTGGAATTGTGCGCTGAATCAGCTGAATCAGTTGATTCATGGAAAGCATCATTTTTGCGTGCTGGTGTTCGTCCTGCTATAACTAAATCAGAAAAAACAGATGTATGTTATTCTGGTTATGCATTAAGTTACTTTTTTTGTATTCTTCATTAAACTATGTTATTCTTTAATAGCTTCTCTCTACCATGTGTATATCTTGGGATAAAACGTTGTTTAGTACTGAATAGTACAAAATTATCTGTTTTTCGAGAAACCAATTAAGACATTTCATACGAATCGTCGTTGGTTATTAAACTATCAAATTTTAATTATTCCCACTAAATCTATTGTGAACAGTGACAATAACTGCTAGTCAGAAAAAGAAAAAAACAATTAGTAGTTATCAGTGATTATTATCTTGATTGTCTGTCTCCTTACACACTTGCTGAAAAATGAACTTCAATGTCATGAAAATGCATGAAAGTTTTAAATTTCCGCTTGAAACCAATTATCTCAGACTAGTTTTGTCATACGATTTTTCCAAATAACTATGAATGCTCTTTTCTTTTTCTACTTACAATCAATGTAGATTAATCTCTATTATGATATTGATTAGTAGGTTTTATTTTTCTAATGTACCAATCAACATTCAGTTAAATATTCATATATTACAACAGGAAATGAGTGCATTAATATATGATAAATAACGTAAGAGAAGAGCAATGATAGTATAGTTATTTTTCATTTGTAAAAGACAATTAATATATGAGACTTGGTAGTTATGTTTGTTGTACACACTAAGTAAAATAAGCATTTTTTTGGCTAGTAGTGTTTGTTTTCCCTTATTTTTCTGTAGCCAGCCCCATGAAACGTGATTGTTATTGAATGCACCCAAAGATAAAGATTACCTTTTTTGAATTATTATTATTATTGTGTAGTAGTTGAACCACCTTAATTAACACATTTTCAGACTTGGCCAATAACAATATTCTACACCAATTGTATAAGTAATGAACTTACTCGCTTCGGTGATACACATACTAAAATTGGAACGATACAGAGAAGATTAGCATAGCCCCTGCGCAAGGATGACACGCAAAATCATGAAGCGTTCCACATTTTTTGTCCCTGTGTTGATTTGGTATGACAACTTGAACTGATGTACTTACGTACGAAGTTCTGCGTTGTATATGTCTGTCTGTTTGTCTGTATCTGTCTACACATTGTGAACACTGAAGTTATATGCCTACTACAAGAGATTAGGGTTAGCAAAAAAAAACACTTTTTGACTGTATTATTTATATGTTACCAATTCATGAAATATTTACTTGATAAATGAATTAAATATAAAATTTTGGATGTAATTAATTAGATTTCTTTTGTAGATATCAATTAATTCTACTGCAAAGTATGTATTCGATTGGTAATTCTGAGCTCTAATTGAATTAGGATTTTTTTATACTTAGTTTATATGGAATGTTCTTCAAGTCCAGGAGGTGGTTTAAAATGACTCTTCCCGATAAAAACGAAACCTATTACTTTTTAAATCTAGTTATAATCCTGAAAGATGCTAATCGCGAAGCAAACAGCAATTTATTGTGTGATGTTTTTTTCTATAAAAAATTGTTCTGATGATGATAAATTATTGATTATTGCTGTAAAAATTATATTTCATAATTAATTCTCAATTGCTCCACGTGTTTCTTTTAATCTAAGTTGTTTTTATGGCTATACCACGTTAGGAAAGTAAAAAAAGCAACATACATATGGTCAGTGATAATATTGTATCAAGCTTGCATCTATATAATTTTAATCAATATACATATAGGTATTCCTCTAACCGCTCCTTTTTACTATTATTTCTGTTTTCAGCAATCTGACAATTCATCGATTGAATCAAGTGAGCCACAACTTGAACGTCAAGTAGAAATTATACGAAATCTAGTCGATTCGTACATGAAAATTGTGATTAAAACACAATTAGATTTGGTACCGAAATTGTTAATGCATTTACTTGTTAATGAGGTGAGCAAATATATATATATACATATATATATATATATATATATATATATATATAACCTCGGTATACAATATATTTCAAGCAAATAGACAAGACTATAAAACAGAGTTATTGTTCTTCATCTATATCCATTTATTTGGTTTATTTCCTTTAAAAGTATTTTGAAGTTCGTGATGTATTGAAAAGTAGTAATCGAAACTGTATCAATGATAGTAAAATAACTAAGCATTGAAGATATTTTTACATTGAAGATATATTTACATTGTATTCTAAATTTAACTTGAATATCGCTCACCTTTTTGTTCTACGATATTCAGACAATACTTCAAAGATATTTATTAAAAATAAATACTTATAGACATTGTTCCATGATTAGATAGTAGTATAATGTCATCATTTTGGTTCATGATTTTTGGTTTTCATAAATGCTTAAAAACTAATTATTCCTAGTATTTAAGTAATTTGAAATCAGATATCTCTCTAAATATTTAATACTGAAATTTTGATTTAGTATCATGGACACCCAACTCAATCCTTTAGTAGTATGATTTCTAGTTGTTCTTGATAACAATTTGAAAATGTAATCCTCATTTAATCGATTTTATTTTATATATTTCTTGTTTATCGCGGTTCTTTATGTTTGTAAATAGCTCTGTATTCAATAATAATTTATATTGATATCTTTTATTGTTCAGATTAAAACTTTCCTGAAAGGTGAACTGTTGCCAAATTTATATCAAGCTGGTGACTTGGTGAGTTTTTTTTTCATTTTGTCAATCAGTTTTGTCGTATTCTAGTAATAAGGTCGTGGAATTTATTAATCTATTTAGACGAATTGTGTGTTTTTTCCTTGATCTACTACTCTAGAGAGCGTTCAAATTTGTTGAATTGATTAACTTTAGTGGTAATCATAACAAAATTGTTTCAAGTCCTGCAAGGTGCAGGAGTCGTGGATGCGCACTGCTGATGAGTCGACTCATACCAGGACGAAACGGCCGTCCAGTGCTTCCAAGTTTCTAATGATGGTCTAACATTGATCAATTCATGATTTCAAATGTGTAACTTAACAATCTTCACAACCCCGTAATGCAATTAATCACTGTATAATTACAGTCAACCGTTGATCAAACATGTTTTAATTTCTTTGTTGACTAGTGTTGAATTTGAAATCCTCACTTATTCATTTTCTATCTGTGAGGCAGTAGTAAGTAGTCAATGTAATATCTGATTTCTGATTTTGTTTAAACCCTACACACACTGATCGCATGCAATTATAACTGTAATTATTAGCAGCAAAATAATTTGATTTTAAGAACTTATTTTGGTTATTTAACTGTTATCATCCGATTAATGGAATATTCTTTCAATATTTACATCTATATTATTATTATTATTTATGCTTTAGAATTCTCTAATGTCCGAATCGTTGGGCGTACAACAAAAACGCGAAGAAATGATTCGCGTATATGATGCTATGAAAGAAGCATTGAATATTATCAGTGAAGTGTCTATGTCCACTGTATCAACACCAATTCCACCGCCAGTTAATGATGACTGGTTACAGGTAGATGATTATTTTTTTCTTTTTTATTCACTTAAATTATATATATTAGTGCCTTTTTGTCTATTGCATTTTTTGTCCATAGGCCAGACCTCAAACCCCTTACCTATTTTATTGGCTCATTGAATGATAATCCTGACTGACCTTGTTAAAGCTTGACATAACATGTTGATGGTTTGATTTTCTTGTTTACATTCTAGCATCTTTTTTTTAGGTGAATTATCTTACTGTTAGAACAATTTCCAATTAGATCCTCAAATTACTATTATTATTATTATTATTATTATTATTATTATTATTATTATTATTATTATTATTATTATTATTATTATTATTATCTATCTATCTATCTTCTCTTTTGCAATGTCAAATATATAAATCTAATCTTATTGTACTTAAGATTGTATTGAAGTAAGAAGGTATAAGTAGTAGTAGTAGTAGTAGTATATTTCCATGTTGTTCAACATTTCAACATGTCTTGGCTGAGAATGATTCGAATTTGCATTACAGTCTTAGTATATATATATATATATATATATATATATATATATATTTTAAAACACCTGCGTGGAATTCATACATTAACAATTGGATTTCAACAATAAGAATAAGAAAACCTCTCTACTTTGACTGTGCTTTTAAAAAAAATCTCTAAATGCTTTATTCCAGTTTCAATGATTATTATAAACTTTTATTTTTAATCATTCTTAAACAGAATGACATTTCAGGAGGAGGATTAGCTGCTCCTGTTTCTTCTACAGGTGCACCACCTCCTAGTCCAACATCTAATCGTCGTCCACCGGCTCCACCTCCTCCTGGTGGATGGAATCCTACAAGTAATACAGGTTCAATCAAAGGCTCTGCTTCTAGGCAAGTGCCACCAGCTCCTGCTAAAACAAGTACTGGACAATTACCTTCTCCATTAATTCCGCAGTGAGTTATTTGTGTTTTTGTTGAAACAATGTTTTGTTTTTTTAATTATTATGATTATTATTCCAAAGTAATGAACGTTTTAAAAGGAGATGAATTATGCTGCTAACTTACGGCAAAAAGCTTTAATTTATGTATAAAAAAATACAATTGTAGTTTTAAATAACACGATTTATCTCAATGGTCGATTGATATCATACATACCAATAAACTAATATAGATCAGCATCATTAAAAAATATTTCAGGTGTTTTCTTCTCTATTATTGTGAGTGGTTCAGAGTAATTTATCTTAAGCTTTTATAATCATAGATTTCTGCTCTCTCATGGGATCCATGTTAAAAATTTTTTAATTCCCGCACATAATTTAAACTGAAAGCCAATTATATTGTTGTTGAACTGCAGTCAATATTTATGTCTGATTGATATACTGACTTTTCGCAAATTATAAAGCTTATACTTACTTGTATACTGTTATTCAACTTTGATGATTTAGGATTTGTTAAATTATTTCAATTGAAAATTAGACGTAAATTCATTTTACAGAAAATAATTGATTACTTGTGTTATCCTGGAAGAGTATCATTACAAAACATAACTGGTCAATGTTTTTATAGCAATTATGATTAACGGACCAGACTCGATTGTACAGTTTTATTATATTCATACATACTTCATCTATAATGTAATCAAATCAATAATACACCTATTTGTCTATGTAAAAAGCTAAGAGTGACTGGTCGCTCTGTAGGAGCTAGATGCGAACTACTAGCGTGTACTGCTAGCTCTTAAGTAGGTTTTGTGAACTATTATACTCTCATGACTTATTTCCTTAAAACTGAATGTTCAAAGAACAAATATAACAGAACAAATTATGTATACTACAGATATTTTTTGAATAGCCGTTATAAGTTTTACAAACCACTTACAATTATAGTCGTATGTGTTATTTATTTCAACAATTTGAGTTTAAACATTCAAGGCTATCAAGTCAAACTGCACTTCAACAATTTGTGGCAGTTAAAAATTAACCATAGCAATGTGTATTTCTAGATTCACTGTACTATATTATTGAGCATTCAAACAAAACTCTTTAATTGTTGTTATTATCATCATTATTATTGCTATTGTTATTTGTGATCATGATTAGTATTATTTGTTTTCACTCATTCTAAATTACCTCTACTAACAGTTGTTTGTAAAATGTCGTGTTATAATAGATATACTACACCTGTTTTCTGTTGGGATACTACTACTGGGTTTATTTTCTATTTTTTTAAGGGTTGTGAGTTGTTTTTTATTGTTGTTGTTGGTGTTGTTGTTTTATATGTTGTGTATTGTGTACATACATACATACTTACATGTTGTCATTTATTTTTTATTTTATTCATTTTTTTGTACATCTCTGTTTTCATCAATGCATAATTTCTCTACGATTATACTACCGACATGAATTATATACATCACCTATGCAACCTGTGCAACCTTTCATATACATGTGTGTCTCTACATGTATGTATATGTATATATATATGTAGACGATTATATCCAACTGATATGTTCTCTATCGTCAAAGATTCCGATTCTCCTGGATTAATTAACTCTATGACCAATTATCCACCTCTTGTACCACCTTCCATTCCTGCGTAAGTGAACAAACAAACATATCTATCTCGCATTGTTTAATACCAACAAAAATTGGAATGTTTAATGTATATTTTTCTTCTCTATTGTTGTTGTTGTTTTTGGTTAAAAAATTAATTTGCACGAGGCTCAAAGTGAGTTTGTATTTGTTGTATTGTTTTTTCTCCAAATTTGTGCCCATAACAACGACCCCGAACAAAAAAATTAAACATAGAATGGGATGAGGAAGAAGAAGTTAATGAATAAACCGACTGTATCCATAGTTAATTTCTTAATCAACCAAAGATTATGAAATTATTGCTCTTCTAAAAGCTACTACTTTCATGTGATCTTTGGTTTTATGAGTGTATATATTACATACTAAACAACTGAAATCTAACTTCAGCAAATTCACGAATCGATTAAATTTAGATAACCATTCAAAATCCGAAAGCTTTAGATAGCTTTTTTGCCCTTATGTGAGACATTGATTGTAACAATTCCTGTTTATTGTTAAAGAATTATTGTTTTATCAATCTATTTAAAATATGAAAATAATTTATCACCAATTAGGACAAACTGTAAAAATTCTTTTTCAATGTTCAATAAGAGTGCAGTATCTAGCGTTTTTTCGACCATTTTCATGTTCTTTTGATGTATCACTGCTATATATGAGTGTAAGGTTCATCACTAGGTACGCTTGAAGCTATTATGAGTTCATCTTAGTTGATAAACGCGAACGAGACAATGAACCAGCGTCCAGGTAGGCTACCTTCAATCCCAAGCTGAAGATAGAAGTCTTTGTAAGCGTAGAAAGTATATTCTACAAACACCCAGCAATCACAATGCAATCAAGCACACAACTCTCGTTTATTTAAACATCATAGAAACGTCCTTGGGGCAGTCACAAAAATAACACACTGAAATACACAGCAGCCAATCACAGCCATGGATTTTCCTGGTGGGAAATGAAATCTCAAGGTCAGCTGATCACCCCGTGCTGACAAACGTGAAATGGAAAATAAGGCATTTATCAAGCGAGTTCTAGGGATCTAACGTCCTCAACAATGAGAGTGTAGCTTTCACCGACGACTTCGATTTGATCATTTAGAACAATCTCTTTATGTCTTGTGTGAATACGCCACTGTAGCGTGTCCTAATTCGCTGGATGAAAATAACCCCCATAAAGGAATGAATTTAAAGCTGCACTTGTAATCATCTATCATCATTCACATCATTTCAATGTCAATCACTGAAAATCTCTGCATAACTCCAACAAATCGAAACTTTCAAACAATCTATTGAGCAATGAATAGTTTTCTGATTTCTATATACACACATTCTAGCTGTGAATGATTACAATCTATATTAACTATTCACAATAAATAATCATAAACTACTAACTTATAAACATCTTATAGAGTCATTTAAGCAAATGTTATGAATTTGCTTCATTCTTCTTGCTCATTTTACATGATAATGTAATCGTTACTAAATGTTCATTGTGTTATAAAAATTTATTTAATCCTTTAATACTTCACTGTACCCCAATGATCTTAAACTGACTTTTTTTTAGAGCTAATCAAAATACAGGCCATGTCCATAGATATATAGCTCCACTATGAATTTAGAAGTTAAGTTTAAGAATCAAGTGAAAGTATGCTTTATTGCCCATATAAGATCAACGGATAGTTAGTTCTTGAACTTTTAAAATAGTCCCTAATTCTTTTAGCCTTCTCGTTTTTCTCCATCAACTAAGTATTGATAGGACTTACTCAAATCGTTAATAAAGTACAAATTATCTTCCATCTGATTGGTCGCCTGTGTGTGTGTCTATGTATATAGTTCTACTGTTGTTATTTACATCTGTCTACATATTCAAATGCTTATTGGAAGAAGGCGAATACAATGTAAATCCGTGATTATATCGCTTTCTAAACGTGTCTCCTGTGAAATATTTCCACCATAGACACACGTTGTCATTTGAAACCTATAGATGAACAAATTTTTTTTTCGCTTTCAAATATTATTTGTTTTTCTCTTTTGCCACTATTCACTGCTTCCGTATTAATTAAATGTTTCAATTTGTTTCTAATTAATTAATTGTGCAATCTCATTTCATTTTAGGCGTCGTTGATATGATATACATACATTCATGCATACATGCTTACCTTATGGATGATGTCTTTGATCAATAATATTGCATCACTCCAAAAAGAATTTTCTTATCCGAATAATGATAATAATAATAATATTAAAATGCCAATGAAACTAATTTATTCACAAAATGAATATTTACATTTTCTCCTAATTATTTAACAATTATATTATTGTGAAATAATATGCTCGGTTGTGACGAGTCTGGACTAACAATTTTATGCATTTCAACATGTTTCTTCATTGAATTTTATAGATACATATAGATCTATATATATATATATATATATATATATATATATATATACCAGCTTCATGCATGTTCGCACACAAAACACACACACACGCATATATGTGTATGTATGCGTGTGTGTGTGTGTGTATGTTTTCTGTTGCTTTCTCTACTTTCTGCTTTATCTCCCTTTCTCTCCCTCTCTCTCTCTCTATTTCTCTGTTTCTTGTCTATTCATGTTATATCGGCTAACAATGGTGACAGTAGAGAATTATTATTATTATTATTTAAAAATAAGTTTATTAAAGTTTTCCAATGTTTAATCATCGATAAGTTCTTTTTTTTCTCTGTTCTTGTTTTCTTGTTTGCATAAATTCGATTTTTTTTTAATGTACAAAAAAGTAAACAAACCAACAAACTACTCACTAAACTTCACTGCATAATAATCAATATTTGGTACTATAGGTATTTCTTCACCATTGCATAAATTATTTTAAGTGTTTTGTTCGTTTTTTTTAACAACAACAAAAAAAACTATATATATATATATATATATATATATATATCAATATCATTCACCAATTTCATCTTCATCATCATCAATCAGCATCCACTATCTTCAAGTCAATTTTTTTGTTCTTCAAAGCACAACATACTTCTTAACACAAACTAAACTGGGTTTTAGGATTATTGTTTTGATTGGTTGATTGATTGTTGGTTAGAATTTCCTTGTTATACATTATTATTATTATTATTGTTGTTGTAGTTATTCGCTGATCATTATTAATATCAACAATATAAAATGCCTAAAATCTTACCTTACCTTACCTTATCTTATTCTTGTTATCAACGATAACAAGCATAATAATAATAATAATAATAAGATCATTGTGTTAAATTGGTTGAGCAAATAATGTTACTATTCATTCCTTTATGTTATAAAAATATATGCATATATATATATATATATATATATATATATATATATATATAATTGAATTATGAATTATATTTATTGTTTCTTCATGTTTTGCACATCATTTGTGAATTAGTTCGAATATATACATATATATGTCAAGAATGCGGGTTAACTATTTATTTTCTGTAGATATTGTTTGTTTTTTAAAAAAAATCTTAAATGATTCATCAATCTATATTGAAAAAGACAAAGCATGTTGTTAATTATCATGAAAGATAAACCGATTTTCACAGCGATTATGTAAAATCTATTATATTTGCTATGAAGAGGACCACCAATCATAGTTTGTCCATTATATAATATGTAAATTGAGCTATTTGCATTTTTAGTTATGGATATCGATGATGCTGTTGTTTTTACAAGTAGGAAAATCAAACGGAAGTGAAAAGTGCCAAATGAACCATGAACGAAAATTCGATTGAATGTTAATCACATGTGTGGTGGTCAGTGTCTGACTTCGTAATTTGTTCGTCAAGACAACCGTTATTAAATAGCACCTCATAGTTTATAAATTAGAAGACGAATATGAAGTGTTGAGTATGTTTATTTGGCACACCACAATTAGACCACCAAACTAACAGGAACACAGAGCGAAAAGCAATATGCGAGTGCCGAAGAGCGAATTAGCGAATGAATTAATAAGATTTATATATGAAAATGGCCGAGTCATCGAAATATTTAGGAGGTTAATATTGAAGCTAATAGGAGGAATATGCACGTAGACAGTAAGCAATATTCAGCCGTACCAGCTCATACTAACCAGACAGTAGTAAAAGCCATTGGTACATATAAGTTTTTGTTATACAAATGGCTTGGTTAAATAAGTTAATCGAAGGACAACCAAATTAAATATGAACGAACTAAAAGGTACTGCACATGCTAAATTTCTTTTTGGTGTCGAGTATTGTGGAATTTTTCCTGAAGGGCAAATAAGGAGTGTTGCCTAATATTTAGGGGCCCCCAAGAGCTTGAAGGATCGTGTACTGTTGGAACAAGACATTGAACCTACACATTCCGAATTGATTATTCACTACTTTCTACTGTTTACTTCGTTCACCATGCACTAGGATAACGTTGAGATGATAAAAAGTAAAGCTAATAGGAACCTGAAAGAGCTATCGTAGGTGAGAGTAACTTAAATGATCGTTCAGGTTGTTTCTTTGCCAAATTATAAAAAAACTAATCTAGTTTGTTCATGGTTCTACATTTTGTCACTCATGGAAGCATGTGAGTCTGTTACATGATAACATTTAATTAGTCATTCAATGAAAATAACTTGTTATAAAGGTCAACTGTTCCATTACATAACCTTGAATTTAACAAAACAGTTGTAAGACATTGTTTCGATGAGACGCATTTCTGCATATGTATGTTCAATGGGTTACAACAATCTAGTCTTCTTTGTTACTCTGGTTTATTTTCTAGAATCATTCATTCGAAATGAATTATATACAAAAAATTGGAGTTAAAAAACTAGATTATTTTACAACATATATCAAAAAAGAAAGTGAATCGCATAAGTTACATTGTTCACAACTGATCCTATCGAAGAAGATACTCCAAGATTTTGAGTGGTTATATCTAAGAGACATTTCCCATAATATTTCACGTCAGTCATTATTTGTATGCGGTAAAGTAAAGATAAGACCAGTCCACTCTATCATGATACAGCCTATTGACGCAATTAATTTTTGTATGTTTTCATAGGAGGCTGTGTTAAAACTGGATGGTCTACACCAGTGAGTTCCAGTCAAAACTGAAATAAGACGAAATGATCCGATATCAGAGTAATTAGATAGTTAGTGTAAGGTCCCTCCATGTATACATTTGTAATTTGTTCTTATCGATTCCTTCAGTTGTACATTTTGTTAGTCTGTTCGATTCCATTTGAGATAGTACTATTTGTATTTTATTATAGTTTCTATTTCTTCTGCCTTCACTGAGTTTCTATGTTTCTTTCTGAACTGCATTATGTTGTTTAAGCTGATACTTAGTCATGGCGACAGCCATATTGATTTGTTCCTCTTTTGATTGTGTCAGTTACATTGACTGGAATTGTGCATTTTGATTGTGAATTGAAGCACCCTTCCAGAATAAGAAGCACTCTGTGTTATAAAGCAACCGAATATTATCTGTCGAACTAATCTGATCTATCCAGGAGGGATAGAATATCATTTATTTGTTACTGTTTATTTGAATATTTGGACAATTGTTGGTGGGATAACTGAGTGGTAATATTGTTTAGTTAATGATGTATATTTATATTTATGATGAATATTAGAACCGTTATTTACCCAAATCACTTGTTTTGGTTTTAAACTGGGCAAGACGCGTATCTAAACTACCTGGACAGTTATTCCTTAGTCCAAACCTCAGTTTGGATCCTACAGTTATTTCGTCCCAGTGTAATTATTTTCTCACTTTACAGAATTAATGGCTAGAATGGAAAATCCAATAAATCACACCCTACAATTTAATTCTTAACATATGTAAATGACAATATAGAAATCAGTCAAACTACTTGCATTCGACGACATCAGTTCTCTTCGTGAAATCCAAATTCATTATTCTCTTACAAGAATTCGATAAGAAAAGTCTTCTATTTATGAAAAAATCAATACTGATCTTAAGTTAATTTGAACTTTGAAGAGTGAGGAAACTCATTGTTTATGAATGATTTATTTCGCCATGTTGTAGAATCCAAATTCCTAAATATAGTTAAATAGGAAGAAATTATGTATTGATTGAAATGTGATTTTCATTTGGTCAATTTCCATAACAATAAAGTGTGATTCCTGTTCATCTGACTTATGAATTGATTCACTGAGGCTTTTACTCAATATAAAACTAATTTGTACTCATTAATCCAATGTGACTTGTACACTTGACTTTTGTTAGATATAATATTCCATGTATTATTTAGACGTGACAGTTAATTAGTTCGACAAGTTCTTCAAATAATAATTTATACATAACTGAATATATTTCCAATGACTAACAATCTTCATGTATCGCCATTAATTTGGACAAACATCATAATTGATTCTCAATTGATAAGTTAATTTGTTACTACTGAAATAAGTTATCAGTAGTTATAGTGTTTAGACTGACATTGTCTATTAGTGTTATGTTCATGTTTTCGTTGTTTTGTTTGTCTTCAGAACTCTTAGAATCAGAAACTCATCATGATGAAACTTTTTCGACCTGGTTATTTGTATGTAAGCAACTAGCTATAGTATCGAAATCATGAACCAACCTATGTTAGACAACCATTGAAAGTCAGTTAGGCACTGGATATATGTATGTACCTTTCGAGATTGATTCATGATATCAGTAACGTTCATCAGTCTCCACAAACTTCTATACTAATAACTAGTTTTGCTGTAAATCATAAGTTAAATAATTTTTTGACGTTTAAAAAATAAATTTTCTTCTACAAATTTGAAATAATCAATCAATCATTGTTAGACCACCATTGGAGGTGAGGTCGCGCAAAGTCCGTAGATCAATCATAGTTAGACATTAACACCGTTGGATGCCGACCCAGTGGTCCGATGGTTAGGCATTCGCTCACAATACCGAAGGTCCCGGGTTTGAATCCTGCGAGGTTCATGAGTCGTGGATGCGCACTGCTGATGAGTCCCATACCAGGACAAAATGGCGGTCCAGCGCCTCCAAGTTTCTGATGGTGGTCTAACAATGATTGATTGATGATTCCAAATGTGTAAAAACACAAACCTCCAAAATTCTGCCCGAAAAAAATTTTCTTTTCCTCTGAAAAAATTATATCCATATTAAGATTGACTAAAATTACGTGAATAACTTTTGATGAAATTAAATAAAAACGGTTCTAGTTTTATGTTGTTCAATGGATGTTTAAAATTTAAATCGTTGTTTTAATATATTTTTTCGATATAAATAAATCTTTATTTGTTTTTAAACTGTGAGCTTATTAAAATAAAAACGTTCTATTCTATGTGAAAAATAATAAACGGTATCTCTACTGTTACGTAAAAGTTTACAAATTATGGTAATATTGAATGCCGTAAGATACAAGCAGTAACATCATTTACATCCTCATTTATACTTTAAATAATCGAGAGGAGACAAAGATTAGAATGCATACATTAAACTTATTTATTCCACATGGAAATGACTGTAGAATTTTTACATCGGAAATTGATTAACAATTACATACTGAGGAAATACATTATAATTTTAGAATAATTGCAATGAAAATAATTGTTAAAATGGAATTTATAGTAGCAATGTTGTACGTTTTTGCATTGAAAATGCTTTTCGATCTTGCAACACATATG